GATGCTCGCTCTTTTATTTTCATGTCCTCATTTCCGTCCCGTTCTTCTACATAGTATTCTGTCCCGAATTAGTTGTCTAATACGTTACGTTGTCTTCTTATAGAGACGAAATTAGGTTTGCCCTATTATTCATCAACACACGAGTAAAATCTCGTGTGACATTTTATCCTAAAACTGGAAAGTTTCATACGTACATATCTCTCCACGGAATTTGTCCAACATTTTAATTTCACGAGTTAAAAAGCCCCATAAATCTTGCGGGATGACTTTACGTAGGTACGTAACTTTAAGCGGATCTTTGTGAAATACGCAAATGGAATTTTATAAATGGGCTGTTTCCCACCAACCACCGAGCGGAATCATATCTTAGAAGTGGTCCAAGTGAAAGTGGTCTCGCTCACATTTTCACCAACGGAGCACCAAAGTCCGGTAGGCAGTGTTTCGGGTGCGAGTAACCACGTGCAAGAAATAACGGGAAGAAAGTGGTTTTTGAAAGGGCTATTTTGACCTGCAAGAAATACACAAGAAGCCACTTCCGGCCACGATAGTTCATACGGGGCGTTGCTAGATGACACCTATTTCTTGCACTTTCTCCCAATTTCTTGCACCTCGCATTTCCTGTCTTTCTTGTCTGGACTGTAGGAAATTTAGCAAACCCATAAGAAACGAAACCCTGCCGGTACTGGTCTCGGTAGTGAAAGAGATGCCCTCGTTCTTCTTCGCGGTACGAACGCAGCTCTCTGTTGCATTTTAAATATTCGTATACAAAAATGTGAATTAATAAAGGGACAGACGGCTCTTGGGAATCTCTCGACTGCGCTGCCCTGTCATGATAAAGTTTGTCCTCTCTCTGGAGCGGAATAACTGGGCCAGTGACATAATTACACACGCGGTTAGGCCGCCCGTCCGCTCCAAGAAGAAAATGGGACTTCCTCCTCCCAATTATTAAGTCTTATTAGACCCACGGAAGGAAAAATGGTGGACGGAGGAGAAGATCCAAATAATTTCATACACCCCTTTTTCTTCATAATTCCTGCGAAATGATACAACCTGAAGGATAGAATTTCAAATGGATGAATGAATTCGGGGAAGAAGAAGAAGAAGAGCCGAGATTTTCAGGAAATATATGTAAGGCTGGGATGAGGTTGCTGATAAAATGAGCATCATTTGTTGTCGAGAGAAAGGAGGTATGACAAGACTGTATGATTGCTGTGTGATATGATGTGATCTCATTTGCTCGCCTCTGCAACTCTTCTTCTTCCTCCACCGACCAGACCAGCCAGGTTTTCCCCCCTTTTCCCCATAAAAGAGATGGAATAGAAGGAAGGAAACAACTTTCTCGCTTCTTTTCGAGGTGGATGTACCGTTATGTGCATCACATGATATGCCACACGACGCGATGACGATGCCGTCCCACCGCACCGCTCCTCCTGCTGCTGCTGTGCCCCCATCTTCGTGGCCAGAATTTGTAATGAGAGTCACCTTCACTTGGCGGGGGAAAAGTGCTTTCTCAATTTTTTGGATGCATTTCTATCTAAAATATATTGGAAATATTTTATGGATGAACCTGCTTTTTTAAAATGTGGGAAATGGTCTCTTGGTATAGCATATTTTTTAAAAACTTAGGTTTTTGCAGGAATAAACTGTGCTAACAAAATTAAATTATTATCGTGCCCCTTAAAATTGGCACGTACGAATCATATCTTCCCCCCAGATTAGGGATAGAGAGGGACCAATTTGTGGAAATTATGGGTTCCCCAGTAAATACGTGGAGCCCTGATTATTCCGCGTATTTGTGTCTTGAGCGGTGTTATTATCGTCCAAGTTCGATTCGAAGACGGTATGATATTAAGTACTAGAGTTTCTCGGGGAAGGAATCCTGATCTGGAATTCTGATGAAAGATTTTCTCGATCCACGGCAAGGAAGGGTTTTACTTACTCTTGATGAATACTTAATTCTTACCTCTCGTCGAGAATTTCTCCACCATTTTGTACGTTACGAATTTGAAATGGATTCAGTTCAAGGAGTAGAGTAGAACGTCGTGTCGTGTGTACTTTAAAATTAAGATGTTTGTGTTATCGTCACATAAAGTTCCGGCAGGGAGAAGAGACACTATTTGTGCGAAGCTTCATTATTCTGGCCAAATCTTTAAGTTGTGTGGAGCAAGTAAACAAAGGGTGCACTTCTTGGCACGATTTGGTCGGAGGGGAGTTTACTAATTGGCAAGGAATTTGAAATCTGACACCCTTTGATAATTTAATTAGGAAGATTATGTGACCCTCGTTTATTTATTTCCGTTCCAACTACATGCATACCTTTGTTCTCTTATTTTGTCATTCTCCGCCATCCTCCTCCCTCCCTCCCCGTGTGTCTTCTTATCCTTATCTTGGGACACACCAGGAAAATTACGGAACATCCCTCGCTTTGCATTATGTATCAAGCACATTACGTACGTATGATTGTGACGAGGGAACAACGGGGCAACCCGAAAGTGTAGAATTAGTGAGTGGCGTTGGCCGTTTATTGCGATCGTTTTGTCCGTCCGTCCGTAAGAAGGACATTTCCAGTACGCCTGTACGTAATCAAACGCCGTTTTCGCCAGTGTGCGTCTAATTTTTAGTTCTCGGGCAAGTTCGATAATGGGTTCGATCGGACCACTCCGAGAGGGTGTGGACCAATATTAAGTTTAACCTTAATTTGCATATGGGGCGTCATTTTAAAGGAAATTTCATCATAAAATCAACGCCGTAGAAATATTTTTAACCTCCGATCAACCCATGACCGTAAGGACGAGGTCAAAAGTCATAAAATTACATAATTTTCATGTCATGTCATAAATAAAATTCTACATTGTTTATACGACGCCACTTTGTTACGTTTGTTTCCGACCGTTTATTATTACTGCATCACATCGCATCACATCGCAGAGAAAGGTTGCTCGCTTGATGAGTTGGTTACTTCCTGGCTCGGTGACAGTCAAGTCGTTCTCGTCGCAATGTCCCTGAAGGAATGCACAATTGCACAAATAATTGAAACAACCCCACGTCTAATAAATCATACAATCCCCTCCGACAGTTTTCGGGCGAGATATGATCAAATGTCGACATGGTTGTTCTTCTCCTACTGGGTTAGACTTTTCGGAGTCCATATCTCCTCATCTCGGAAAGAAAGTGGCCTGTGGACAAAAAAAGTGGAATTGGGGAGAGAGAAGAGAAAGGAACGGAGAGAAATAATACCTCTCACAATCACGGACGGAGAGAAAGAAAGAAAGAAAGGTAAAGAAGAGAATCAATTTCTTTTCGATTTTCCACTCTTTTTAACACACCCAGCCAATCCACCAGGCAGGCCAGGAAAAGGACAAGGGATCGAGGAGGGTCTCATTTTTATGGGAGCACCATCACCACCACCAGTGTTGTTTCCTTCGCCCATTGAGGAGACACAATGAGATACATACATACCTGCACACACATGGGACACGGACAGGGGCCGCGGAAGCCGGGGGGACATCTGGGGACATTAACATTGGAGGATAGGGGAGGGAGGGGTTTATACAACATGGACAGGTGATGTGGACATCGATAACCAAGGGGACATTGTCCGCGGCCACTGGACACGGATAAGGTATCCATCGTCCGAGAGTATCTGAAGAAGAAGTGATATTGATACCTTTCTTACTTCTTTTGCTCATTTTGCGTCCATTCTTCCGAGTCAGGTTGATGCTCGCTCTTTTATTTTCATGTCCTCATTTCCGTCCCGTTCTTCTACATAGTATTCTGTCCCGAATTAGTTGTCTAGATGGAAATAGATTCACAAAGTATGTAACGCGTGTTTCTCAAAGTAGTGCAATTTCTCTATGAAATCATCATACCCATGCGTAATTCCGCTACAAGGGGAAAAAGTTGCAGTGACGACTCGTCGCTGCGTGGGTGTAATGTGTCATGCATGCAGGAGAAAGTCGAGGAACGTCTTAAAACCGAAATGTGATACTGCCCGGGGCACACAGCCCGACGTGTGAATAACAGAAAGAAGAAAACCCAGCCCAGCATTTCCGTCGTTTCCGCGTGACACTTACATATCCCACTTTGACTCGAGAGTAGACTACTTTGTTGTTGTTATTATAAGGTGGATGGGTGGGTGGGGAAAGTGAGAGCCGAAATCCGGCTGAATAACACGGTATCGCATTATGATTCCATGCCTTAAATAAAATGAAGTGTGCAGAATAACAAAACATGTCCGCGGATGGTGTGGACACTGCAATGGGTCACATCACACGTTATGTTTCGACTTTCTTGCAGGCCATATTGGATTTTAGTTCGTGTGTTAAATGCGTAATTAAATTTTGGATCAGACAGAGTAATAGCGTTCAGAAACGAAACTCTTGGTGCGTAGTAAGTAATAAACATTTCTGAAATTATGACTCGATGGTGCAGTCTTCTTCTTCAACTTTTGGATGACTTACTGGTATTTTCATAGTTTACTGCAGTATCACGGCCCTCCTGTTGTTGTGGTTTGGTTTCAGCAGCAGCAGAAGCAGCAGAGTATTCTGCTGAGTTAATTCTGCTGAGTTAATTCTGTATGCTGAAGGCAATGCTTCCTCCTCCTCCTCCACGGGATGTGGTGGTTTTGCTCTTGGGTTGTTTGTGATATTAAACGTTGTATATCTGTACTGGATAGTAGTTTGTAGAGTCATGTCAATGTGGCCGTGAGACATGAGACTTTCTCCCAACAGCACAAGTTGTGTTGAAGTGCTCTGAATTTGAGTCAGATGGAAATGGAGAGAAAGTTTAGAGAGTTTGGTGAGGGCGAGAGCAGTTCCTGTTTGTATTATTACCTTTGACATACGTGACTTACTACTATGCGCGGCTGACTGTGGTCAAGTTGACTGTGAAATGAGATATGCCCTGGGAATTCTTGATATTTGACCAGCCAGAGGCTCCGCTTTCAACAAAATTTCGTACGAGATGCCAACAATAAAGTGGAAATGGGACTTAACGTCGTGTGAGGGTTGTAATGATAGTGATAATTCTTTATAAAGTTAATCAGGAAATAGATAATTCAATTTTAGTAATAATTTTAGACAGAGTTGGAAATGAATAATTTCACACTTTCAGGAACCAGTACCGTTGACACACATAAGTAACCATTGAATAATCATTATGGCCTAAATTTACTGGTCATCTTCACCGTCTATCATGAGTCCCTCCAAGTCATACGGAATTGGAATCCTGACTCCGCAAAGTGAGCGAACCTTTCGCTTGCAATTCTGGATGTCGCGTTTCTGCTCGTTAACAAGGTCTTCGTATTCTGCAGTTCAATTGATTAAGCAGAATTTATTTTTCCATTATAGTTAGCATTACCATTATATGAAATTAAAATAACTTTAAGCTACCTTTTAATTCGTCCCTCATTCCTACATATAATAGAAAAGCAATTAAAAATCCAAATATACATATGCACATAATAATAGCGTAATGCACATATTTACTAACCTTTGATATTATCATTCCTGTTCTGAGATGACCATTGCGATAACGGTTCCACTACTCGAGCCGAATCCAAATTGGCATCGTGGCGCTGGACCTCTGCATAATCTTAAAAAATTACATATAGTACAATTAAGGTTTCTTGATAATATATAAATTAGTTTACCAGGAATGGCATTGCTCCTTTCGGTAACCTCAGCATTATACATTACGAGCTGAGAGCGCAACTCAGCGAGCTCTCGCACTATAAAATACTTTTGTATTAGAGTACGTTTTGGTTACAACTATTTAAAAAATACATACAGGAATATTTAGCAAAATGTACGTACTTTTAGAATCAATCAGATTATTCAGGCGATCTCTGTTCATCATAAAGGCACTTGGACACTTAATATGTAATAATTTGTATTAGTTAAATTTGTATTAGTGTAAATATTGAAGAACATGTAGTAGGATGGAGGTGTAGAGAATGCGAAGGGAGTCGATCTCATGCAAATTATGGAATTTGATGCGTCTGTGCAAATGAATGAAATATAGTAGAGTCTCATTTTCATACTGTCGAATTTACTATACATGACATCATACTTTGGGCAAATTCACATATAATTCTGCATGGTGCAAAATGTGAAATTCTTTGTCATAGATGGCTATTCGTATCGTATCCAATATGTAATAGTAACTTATGTAGTTGTAAGTTGTGCTTTATTAGACTCTGCATGGTTTTATTAACTTATACTTACCGCAGGAAAATGTCCATCTCGTCCTTTTCCGCAAACCATTTCTAAATAATAATAATCTTTCTGGTGTCAGTGCTAAGGTTAAAAATCAACTAAAACTGTTTTCAACAAAAGTTCGCACTTTACTTAAATCAGTGTAAAATCGGAGTATGTTTCATGAACCCTTTAGCCTATTGTTGCCTAAAATAAACTGGCCAGAGGCAAACCCTTCCTTAATATTGACATGGGTTAACATTCTAATTGTTGTTACGAAAATGCATGCACACAGAATTATTTTTGTTACAAATGTGTACCTAACCATGATATTTTAAACCTTGTAAATATCAAAACAAACCAACTAACGATGTGCTATTATTATTTTCAGAGCGACCAACTGCCACCGATGTCTGGTCATAAACTCTCGGCACAACAATGTCGTCGAATACAAAGAAAGTAAGTACAACATTTAAATCCTTTCCGATAGATTGAGATCGAACCTGAACAATATCACCGAGACATTTTCTATCCCTCTCGTCCCATCTAACAAGAATTTGTAAGTATTCACTCGAGCACAGGTGTACGTACCTACCTTTAATTATTTCATTGCAAGTACATCAATGCACAGAGATAAGTCGGGCTTAGGATGACTCGTTTTCGTGCACAAGGTGCATCTCATGAAATCCATCCTCGATACATATTATACACGTGCACGTACATGCATGCATAATAAACCCCAGCAACAGCAGGGTCTGGGAGGAAGCTACTTATAGTCAGGGACCCGAGGGGAATTTTGAGCCCGCTTTCTCTCCTCTCTCACCTTTCGAGTCAATCTCGAATATTTCGAAATTTGAAAATAATCCCGTGATCATCCGCATCCATCCATTTGATAAGTCGGAAAGAGAATCGCTCCTCCAAATCACAAAAGTTTTCCCCTCAATTCACTTCCTGCATACACTTCCACCCACCCAGTCAAGCAAATCCTGGGCAGAAGGTTCGGAATAAAAAAGCAATATAATATACATAACGGGACATGAAGCGGTTGGTTGGTTGGTTGGATGACGGACTTCTCCTGTAATGGGAGGAATAATGCGAGGGTGCTGCAAGTCAAGGTGGATTTGAGCCCATCCATCTCAAGAATTAGAGAGAAAGTGAGGGGATTTCTTTTTCCAGGGGAAGAAGATCACATATTCGGACGAGGCGTGCATCGTAATGGTGCAGGCGGATATTTTTGGACAGTGCAGTCGCATCTTTAAGAAATGCATCTCTGACTGACTGACGCGGATATGAAAAGAAAGACGAGGGAAATATATATAATGCGAGTAGAAATTTTTCTTACTTTCGGTAAAACACGGCAGCCAAGATTCACTTCTGTCATATGTAGACAGAGGGTGGATATGTATTTACAAAACAAAAACTGAAATATATATTTAGTATTTGCTAATAAAAGTAACGCCAAAATATTCTCGAAATATGTACAAACAAACTCATAAAAATGAGAATTTTCGAAAAATTTGTACTTTTGAATTGAATACTCGGGGGTTTTTGCAGTCCAATTTCTTTGAGCTAAGCAATTTCGTCTCACATCGTTGAAATATTTACAAAATATATGTATTTTTTTAACAAATTTCTAAAATATTAACGCATTTTTCAAATGATAGCGGAAATATTTCTGAAAACCTAATATGAATATGTGACAATGCATAAAAATATTTTGAAATTTTAATGATCTATTTGAACTAGGGAACACACCCACAAAGTTTTACCGTCGTTCGTCATCAAATGAAAAAGTTGAAACTAAATACATATCCGCCCTCTGGTCATGGAGTAAGCTATACCTGTATCATCATTCATTCATATTTAGGTTTTTGATGGATATCACTCACCCGTAAATACTTTTGTAAAAATGTGCCCTCAATTGCATGGGAGGAGTTTGAGATGACGATCACTTTTGGAGAAAGCCACCTTATAAATTGCAAATCGGATGGACGGGTGGATTGAATTGGATTGGAGGCATGACAGACGAAAGAGAAGGATTCCTGTCTTTTTTTGGCTTTTGACGGAAGCAGTCTGACATTGAATATTGAATTCGGTTACGCACATTTTCTTCCGACATGACTTTGTTGAGCCGGAAAGACTGATCTTTCTTTCCTTTCTTTTAGACGGGCGGAGGGATAATGGTCCTTTATGTCATATTCTTTTGTGGCCTGGTATGCATGTGTATTTCATGAATGAAAATGGAGACTGCAGTCTCAAATGTGCGAGTGGGATGCATTCATACTTGGTAGTTTGTCACGTATGGGGTATATTTATAGGGGCAAGATCAAGGTTGCTGCAAATGATGATATCTCAAGTTACGTAGGTACAGCAGCGTTTTCATGGTCGGAAAATGGGATGGAATACAGTGACCGCGGAACCGTGGGGACAATGCCCCCACGGTTATTCGATGTCCCGATCGTCTCCCCATGGCATATGAACCCCTCCCTCCCCTATCCTACAATGTTAATGTCCCCACTTCCAAGATGTCCCCACGGCCTCCGCAGCCACTGATTCCCTGTTATCTGTTGTATTATAGTGTCCTGATGCTACACAACTCGAATATCTGGTTAACAAATAGATTTCTGCGTTTACTATTATTTGGTTTGCGTCGTCTAAACTTTACAAAATTTCCCATCATCTGCCCATATTGTATAAACCCCTCCCTCCCTTATCCTGCAATGTTAATGTCCCCATGGCTTCCGCGGCCACTGGATGACAGTAGTTGAGCAATTTGCTATACGTGTGGTAAGCGTTTATTGGAGTAAAGAGTAAAAGTCGTCGATAATATATCCGACTCAATAATAGCTCACGTTTCACAATGAAAACTTTAGCGTTTGGTTTCTTTCCCAAGCTAAAACTTTACACTAATATTTTGAGTAGCTTTTCATGTTTCTCAACTTGACGGGAATGAAATCGATTTATCAAAGTTTATAATTTTTTCAAACCGTCTGAATTTTGGGTTGTTCCTGAAACGTGTGAGGTCTTTTGATTTGGTGATAAAATGAAATATTGAATACTTTGCAGGTCCCTATTGTCCCGAGAAGGACTCCTTGGACAATTTGTGCAGCCAAATACCCGGGGATGCGACGCTCTACTCGCTATTTCGGATAGACGCTCAACCAGTGTCGTGTCCTTTTAAGTAAGTTTTATCTCCATATTCCGCTCCTCAATCCGACCAAAGTAGCCAATTAAGCAGCAATGAAGTGAAATGGGTTGAATGTATCTGCTCATTATTCTACTTTCGCTAAGAGGGAGCCCTTTTGATCAAAGAGGAATTAGCGTTCGGGTTGCTTAATAACTGGGCAAGCGAGAGTTGCACAATTCTGGAGAGATCTCTGTTTCCACTACTGTTTCTACTACGCCTCCTCCTCCACGGTTTGTTATACCCATTACATGATCCACTCGAAATAAGTAGTCAAATTTCAGCTTTGTAAATTGCCCTCAAGTAAAGCAAAGCAAAGTGATTAAAGGCGAAGAGGATGCAAAAGTGGGTGAGTTTTAGTGAGTGATGATTATTATGCAAGTCTATCTACACCAGACCAGACCAGACCACAAGGGTGGATCTTTCTTTGGTGAGATTTAGTGCATATGTATGAATGCGAGCAGTGTTTCGTGGCTTGCGGGTTTGCCACATTTTTTGCAGTGGAAAGGAAGAAAAGCAAGAAATGCGAGGTGCAAGAAACTGGGAGAAAGTGCAAGAAATATGCGCCATTTAGCCACGCGCTGTATGAAGTATGGCGACGGGGCGTAGTTTTCTGAGCCTTGCATTTCTTGCAGGTCAAAATATTTAGCTGCAAGAAACCACTTTCTCCCCGTTATTTCTTGCAAGTGGTTACTTTCACCCGAAACACTGCCCGCACTGCCAGAATTACTTGATCAGACGAGATGATGTAAATGCCGGGCTAAAATAAACAAAAGATGGGCAGACAAGGTGGGTCACATCGGAGAGAGAATGAGACCAAAGCAACAATTCATCCCTGGAGACGAATACCACCACCACCACCAATTTAAGTTAACTCTCTTTCTCTGCTTTCACTTTCAGGGGGCCGTACACCTTCACCTACAACAAAGGGACGGGCCTCTGCAAAAGCCCGGTCAGTCATGTCGAAACGTGCACCGAGCCATCCAGACTTCTCCTGAGATATGAAGCATGTCCCGATCCAGAAACGGAAAGCAAAGGTAAATATGTCCGTCAAGAAAAAAGTAAAAGCAATGAATTATGCAGCCTAAAAAAACAAGAGTGTAATCCCTGCTGACCCGATGAATGATTAAAACTTGGATCGAAACCTTGGTGGTCTTTCTGATTGAAAAAGAAGAAAGTTTGACCACACTTTTTTGAGCGATCCCTTCTTAAGCAAACCACTCTGCGATCACTTTCACCACCGGACACAACACACGAGGCGAATGGAATGACTAGTTTCGTACGGATCTGTCTGGTCTCAAGGCCAATTTGGTTTGTCGCATGTACAAAGAAGACGTGGACGTCGTGGTCGTGGTGAAAGTATCCAGAGTGCCGTGGTGCATTTTCAAGTGTAAAAGTTGGCTTGGTTTTTGCTTTTACTTTATTTTACGGGATGGTAAAGTGAGTGGTGGAGTGGCCGGAGTCATTAATGGGTGGCATTTCATTTCCTCTCTTGTACTTTCAGTGGAGGAGTTGCAGTGTCTTGGTGTCTGGCGGGACAGCACTTACCATTATTTGGTCGGCAAATTAAATTATCAGCTCGCCGCGAGTAACGAGGATCGGTACCGATGCTTCATTTACGAGATTGTGAAAGGTCACACCATCGTCAAATTGGCTCAGTCGGGAGATGCAACTTGCAACGGGCTCTCGTCTCCGGTGGAGGGGGCGAAAACAATGACCTTCACTAAAGGTGCGTGCTCAAGTTAATTGTTGATAGTTAATGTCATCAAGATAATATTAGACAAAGATACTTAAAAACCTGGTAGAGTCAGATATTCACTCCGTACTGGTACCGATTTGGTAATAACTTTCTACCGGATTGGTAGTAGGTTGTTTCTGAGTGGTAAATTTTTCAGTACCACAACATTGTTAGCAACGGTAATGCCTGTTTTTACCCGTGCCGGTAGAGTCATAAACACATACTCCGGTCAGTAACGATTTAATACCAATTTGCAGAAAGTGTATTTATGTACATCTAAAATAACGCCAAAATCGCAGAATGCAAGAATATGTAACAATGACTTGGAAATCTCTCACAAAAATTTAGAACAAAATTTTAGGAAAAATAGGGTGAGGTGAGGATAAAAAGTGTTGAATTTACAATGATAAGCCATCTCTCCTCATTTCCGTTTGAGCTGATGCGCGAGGGGAAGGAAGGGAGGAAGGGAGGAAGGAAGACCAAGTTCGACAAATTTTGCATACAGAATCTTTCCTTCCTTCCTTCCTTCGTGATGATGTCAAATATTGAGCAAGTCGTCATCATCAAGCAGTCGTTACACTTGCATCTCTCATGCCACGGGAGGAATGTGAATGAATGAATTAAAGAGAGAGAGGAATAAAATTGGCTGATGGGAGACGCTGCTTGGTGGTTAATTTCCGTCTGAAAAGAGGGGAGCCAAAGTATTTATGAAGAAAGATCGAGTCCCTTCCTTATATAAAATAATATGCTCATTGTTAATCTCTCCTCCAGTGAATGAGAGTGGCGGAGTGAAATGCAAATTCCCGGCCTGGGTGTCATCGCATCATTGGCACTCGTTGGATGGGAAAGTCTCAGCGAAGACGAATCCGAAAAATTCCACCATGCAGATTGCCGACACAACGGTGCAAGACGGCGGATCCTCGTCATCATCGACATCCGGAGGTTATCTGCACCAAAGGAGTGGTGGTGGCGTGGGTGGGGTGTATTACAATACCGGAAATTTTGGAAATTCTGTCCTCTCCTCTCCCGGGAGTGGGAACCCGTACGTTCTGCTCTCTGGGGGGACACGGATCACATGCCAAAATATCAAAGAACTCGGCGAGGATCATGTTGCAGTTGTGGCGCAACATACGGAAGGATGGTGAGTGTGGAAAGTAGTAAAAAATAGGCAGAGTTTGAGATGCATGAAAGTTGAGATGCGGATAAAGATGAGACTCGTCGTCTTTGAAATTTCCGAGTCTACTTTATATATTTCCTTGCAGCGCGAGTACAACCGTGTGCATCCACTTTTTTCGGAGGCATTCCCACGTGATCGAACTGCAAATAGGGAAGAAAGGCTATGATGACTATGACTGTGGGAAAGTGGACGCTTTAGGACCAAATCTGCCTTATGTGACCCTCATTAGAGCAGAAGCGAATTCCCACAGTCACAGATGCCCGTATTTAGGGAAATACATGGCCAGCGGACTCGTCGCTGGGGGTGACCTGTGTCTCACGGGGGGCGTTCAAAATATACAGCAAGCTCAACACGGAGCTTTCCACAGTGTCGTGGTCGGGTAAGTGGAGATATTGCTGCTTTCTCTTTGGGGCAAATTGAGAAATAAATAAATAATTGCTACATTTTCAGTTGTGGCCAACGAGCCACGATGGACTTTCACAGCAAATGCATAACCCAAGAGCCAATCACATGTAAGTCTTTGTCTAGAAAAACATAGAATCGTCCCCATTATCAGTGTGCCCATTAATATCGTTCCCCGAATAATGGAATGTCTCTCTCTCTTTCTCCTTGCGATAATCAGCCTACGTGTGCCACGGAACTTGGGAGGAGAATGGGACGGGGTACTTGATTGCATCGCCATTAAGTCGCTCATCGACGTCGGCTCGTCGTTTTTGTTTCACATACCTCGAGACGGACGAGGGTCTCTCGTTTTTTAGCAGTAGTGAGACCTGTCGCAGAGACGTGAGACCTAATGCGGAAGGCATTTGGGCTTTCAATCTCACAATAGACGGTAAGAGGTGTTTTCTTATCGGAACACATTCCAAAAAATAAATCTTTCCCGTTTTAAGGACTTTCTCTCTTTTAATCTCCGTTTTACTTGAGATGAAAGTGATATAATAATTTTTCTTCTACTTCTGCTTCAGGACAATGTGCCGAACCGATGACGACGGGTGGTGCTGGATCCCGTTCTTCAACCCATTGTGATCCCTGCTTTTTGGCCATGGTGTTATTGGCCCTCCTTCTGGTCGGGTGTCCGGGAGGGATAGCAGATAATACTAATAATATTACCCTTTTTGTGACCACTACGACGCCGAGTGTAGTCAGCTATTTGTTTTATTCTCTGTTTGCCAAAACCTTCTTGGGAAGAATCTCATCTCCTTTATTGACATCTTCGCCCCAGTCTCAACCGCAAGAGGAGGACGAGGCCAGCAGCAGAAGAATGGTGGTGGGGTTAGCTTAGAGAGAAATCCAATATTATGTAATGTCCAGTCCAGTCTCAAAATGTACGTCCAGTCCTCTTCCCAATATAAGAAATAAGTAGCTGTTTTGTGCGAGAGAGAAATCACGGATCACTTGGATTCTGTGAGACAGGGGAAAAAGCAATGAAAGGAATTTCGTTGCCATTGTCCTGTCCAACTGTTCGTTCGTCTCGTCAGTGGTGATGGTGACATGACGCAACAATGGATGAGATGAGGATGACTCTTGTGTGAAGCGATGTGTGGAGAGCTTGACTCTCATCAAATGTTACCCAATCTGAGAAAAGGTTCAGGTCAGGAGCAGATGATGCCGAAAGAAGAACACGGTCAAAAAAGGAGAAAGTGGAGGAATGAAAAAGAGTGCAGATTTTTATACTAAGCTATTGATTGACAATTCAAGAATTGTGATGTGTTTGACCAAATGAACTGATTGTGAAAATTCTATACTCTTCTCGTGTATCGCTTTTTTATTGTTATTCATACACTGTATTAGGGATGAGGAGGGGTCAGTGGGTAGCAGGATATTTGGAGGGGACCAATTTTAATTTGTGCAATGGCAAAAATAAGAAGACAGCGAATTCGAAAATAGTTTCTTAAAATTTTTTCGATTTTATACATTTTTTACCTGTTTCTAAATTTTGAAAAACCCCAAGATTCAACAAGATTTTTAATTTTCAAAATTTGAACACAATTTTGGGCATATGTGCATGTTCTCAATTGTTTTAATAGCTCCAAAATCAAGAAAGTTACAGCGTTCTGACAACTCCAAGTTTTGGCTGAATCTACTTTTGAAAATTCCACCAAGCGGTCAAATTGACACATTAAGAAAAATGCAAAAATTCTTATTTTTGCCACTGAGCAAATTAAAATTGACCCGGTCGATATCTGAGGTTATCCGCTGACACCTTCGCATTATTAGTAGTGCTTCATCATGTAGTTACTCTATCGCTTTTGGTAAATCTATACCTTCACTAAAAAAAACCGCATCCAAACACCAACTATCTATTTATTTAGCCTGAAGTTGTCAGTCACCTAATTCTGTAAGAGATATGAAACGAAATTAAATGAATAGAAATCGCTGTATTAAACCGATAGCACAAAAAGAAAATTCTGCACGCATGAAAATATGGAAAGTACTTATTATTACATACGATTATTAAAAAATAGTACTATAAATATGTATATCCAAAAATAACCTTTTGTAAAAAATTTCATGATAAAACTAATTAATCAATTAATGTTTAACCATAATGATAGCTTAATTCTGTATTTAAATTAAGTATTTTTATGAAATACGTAGTTTCCCATAATTGAGTAAAAAAAGTAGGACTTTAGAAAAAATCCGTGTAAATTTCTCCCCATATACGACTCGACTTATTACATGCTACTAAATATTTACCAGTTGGGCTAAAAAACATGAAACCAACATAATTTAAACAATGCTTATTATTGATGTTTGTACTACGGGCCAATGTGTTAAAACATTAAAAAATATTTATATAAAAAATGACTCTTTGAATATTATGCAAATCTTCGTGTTTAAAAAAATTATCACCCATCAACACCATCATTTTTCTCTTCAAATTGGGCTAAAAAGTAATAAAAACACATCCATACGAATTTTTCTTACATCGTTTCACCTTATTGCGGACATTTCTCAGGCCTTCTTGATCTCCCAAAAGCATGCCATCCCCCAACAGCACCAGACCACCACTAATTTATTAATTTAACAAATTACACCCGCTCCAACCAATCACGTCAAAGACTTATTTGGTAATGCTGATGGATGACGAAATTGAGGGAACCTGATTACACCCAAAGAAACAGAGTCATCTCCTCAATCTACATCACTCATCCGGAGCCCCCAGCAAAATATACAGGTTGTTATTCGTTAGTGGGTAGGGTTACATGTGTATTTGCGTGGTGAAAGCGATCGCTCATGCACATTGTGATACATACCCACGCATACTTTCTCCCTTGTTTTCACTTACTTCTCACATTCACCACGAATGACGAAGAACAAAGATGGATAGATGTGTATGTACACGTTTAATGATTAAATGAAATGAAACGTGATATTAACCGACAGCCCGATGTGAAGTTGCGTGAAGAAGAAGGGAAGCGATCCCATGCATGCGAGCATCTTGTTTGGATTTTGTTGATGAAAACAGTTTGTCATCTGTCATGACTCAAGACAACCTCATCTTCTCGGCCTAATCCACAACCAACAAACAAGGGTTTTATCAAGTCGTGATGTAACTTTTCTACTTTCCTCGAGGCGTCATTATGTACGTACATAGCCTCAGAGTTGAAACAGTATCTGACTTGATGACTCGAATTCACGTCTATTTAGTAGATAAATAGTACACATTTTCGGTATGCATACAGACATGAGTGAAAATGGGATGATTTCCCTCCAAGATTTGACACTCAGCTTTCACCTTAAGAGATCGAGCATATTAACGTTTCCAGACTTTGACAGGCAAGCTTCCGTTGAAATTAGTGATTGAAAGAAAAATGTGTAAGCCGTGCAGATTATTTTTTCACCCTTTGAGCCCCGATAAACCAGACTAAGTGGGGGTGAAAGTGAAATAAGTATTGAGTAAAATCAAAAATAATATTGATCATTGAACCAAGTCTTGTAAATCTTTGAGAAAGTATAAAGTGGGCAGAAAGATGATTAAGATTTGTACGAAAAGTTGCTGCCAAACAGATTTATTTTCTTGTTTCCGTTCCGACTTGACCACGGGGTTTTCTTTAGAGGAACAACTTTGCCAACGTGATGATGACGACGAGGACGTCGACGACTTAGGCTTTTCTTCAGCACTCTTCCATCTTCTTAGGCTGTCAGTACTCAAAGATTTATCTGGAGTGAGATCAGGTGAAGAAGTGAGAAATGGGGATTTGTCCATCCATTCCATCCGATTCGGATTTGAAGTTTGAGTTTGCTTTCTTTCGACTTTCTCCCTGGCCGACTTTGGAGTTTGGATTGACTGACAGGCAGGCAGGCAGGGAGGAGGACGACGAGTTGTATACATAAGAGAACGCTCTCAGCTCAAAAGTTTCCGAGAAATAAAAGTTGTTTCAACAATGGCAGGGCAGAACTAGAGATAGGAAAGGATTGGGTGGAGATTAAATAAATGGGAAATAAGTGATGAGCGTGATAAGAATTTATTAACTGGAAAATTCAAAACTTTAATATAAATCCGTTTTAAATTGGTTTCTGATTTGTTGGGAGTATTTCATTATATTTATCTAGTTTTTTGTAGGTTTTAATATCATGATGGAAATGGGAATGAATGTTTATAATAAATAAAAGACTTTCAGGATTTGCAATTTGAGTGATTTTTCGCTAATGATGGGTTCCATTTGGTCGGATAATTTTCAGTTTTAATGATAAATCATGATATTTTTGTTTTTTGCTACCCATTTCATACGGAAAATTGAGTGGTGATCATAAATTAGTCTTTATCGTGGTGAAATCACCAAGCCCAGAAACGAGCTTTGTCTGAACAATGTGTTTTAGCAGGGGAGAAAGTTGAGACGACTTTCTCCAAGTGAATCTCAAATTGAGTTTGTGCGTTTGTGGGGAAAGCGGGATTTAGGAAGAAACGTCATAACGTTTTTGTTTGTTGAACAAAGTCAGGATAAAACTTGTTCCAGTTTTCAGTATAAATCGTTACGTTTTCCTCGTGTATGTTGTTGTCAGTGATCCACATCCACCAAAAGCACATCTTACGATTTTCAGCAGGTATTGTTGTACTATTTATTTGTTATTGCACATTCAGAAACTTATTGGAATATTAAAAATTTATTTCATTGTTGATGCAGGAGTTTGGAATCTCAATAGAAAAATGGCAACTTGTTCAGAGACTAAGACCCCCATCGTTGTACGAGAGGTCACGACCCCGTTGGGTGTGTGTACCCTTAAAGCGTGCGATAAGGGAGTGCATCATCTCGCCCTTACTAAAATCGACGAGAATTTCGACCCGAACGTTTCTGCAGGGTAAGCATTTATTTACGTAAGCTATGTAATTGATAAGAAGGTTTGAACTTAACAGTGTTACTTATTACAGAAATGTAAAAGAAATACCCAAGAAAGCATTGGAGGCGGAGGAAGGATCAACTCCCATGAACAAAGCGGTGAATTGGCTTGTCTCATATTTTGAAAATCCTTCAAATTTGTCTGGAAAAATTCCCCCCGTCTGCTTTCCAACCGATTCCAGTACCGAATTTGAGCGAAAAGTATGGACAGCGTTGGGGGAGAAGGTGGGGTTTGGGAAAACGGTTACGTACTCACAATTGGCTGGGACTGCTATTGATAATCCAAGTAAGAGCAGTCATACATTTGTTAAGTTTTATATTTATTTATTTAAAATTTACTTATCAATGTTCCATATTAATTAATTATAGAAGCGTCAAGAGCCGTTGGAACTGCAATGAAAAAGAACCCGATTCCACTCATGATTCCGTGTCACCGTGTAATTCGTGCAGATGGCGAAATTGGAAATTATTCTATGGGTGGCTCAACAATCAAGAAATGGTTGTTGGAACATGAAAATACTGGTGCATAAAGTACCCATGCATTGCAAACTTCAAGTTTGAAACTTGCAAACATTTTAATATGTGTACCTGTGGATTAGAGTTTACGTCACAATTTTTTTAATTTTACTAAATACTTTTTACTAAACTAGTTCTTCTTTTAACGAAATGTAGATAATCATTATTCGCTGGACACTTGAATTTTAAACATTAAATAAATAAATAATTTGGTGCTGGGTTTAAATATTGTTTTATTATTCTATTTATTGATTGCATTGAGTTATTTAATACTTAATTAACAGAATGTTACTTATATTTAAGTAATAGCAAGGAAGTATAATTGGAAGGCTAGGATAAGTACAGGTTAGCTTCTTAGGCAGTGGTTGACTAATAAATTTGATCATGGGGTTGCTCATGAAAATTTAACCCTTTGCATTAAACCGACTAATTAATTAATGGCAGAATATTTAGGAATATTCTATCACAACACGCAAAAATATAAGTACACACAAAATTATTAATGAATTTAGGATGAGTTAGCTAGTTCCATGTAACGTAAATAATTATGTATAACAAAAATTAAAGCTTGAGTTGAAATATGACTAAACAGGGACATGGTATACATGACTAACACCAGTAAATCCTAGCACATACGTCCACGAGGGCAATTTTTTGATAAACTGCAACATCTCCGGTGATTTCATTTCAGCGCCGTGCAGATAAAATGCAGAGTAATTTATGTCGACGAGAGGGTCGCTGGATGTGGGGTCGGGTTTTGCCTTCCTTTTGAAGTCAATGGTGACGTCAAATCTTTCAAAAGCAATCCCTCTAGCGTGATACACAAAGTAAGTGGGTCTGCCCTTCCAGAGGACAGACATTGGTTCCGGAACGTTGTCTGTGAGAGTCCATTTGACGATGTCATAATTTTTACCAGGACTAAAGTTGATCGTCATGTGATCAGGTCCCACGAAGGAGAAAGTTATTCGACGAACATCACTTGATATAAAGCTGTCTTGAGTAATTTCCATTCTTACTCTGGAAGTCATTTCATTAGGTAGTGTAATCTGTTTTGGAATCCAATGCGATCTCCTATAAACAATTAGACAGCAAATTTGGAATTAGATAACTTAATTGCTTACCAGCAAATTGGTAAACTTACCGAATCAATTTTTTGACGGGAAAGATAAATGGTAATCCACAATATAAATCTTCACAGTCGTAGGCATCAATTTCGACGTGGTTTTTGTGCTTCAATTCAGGTATATTTTCGCCCAATATATCGTAAAACATGGGAATGTTTGGGTCAACATTGAATAACCAGAGTCCAGCGTCACGTTTCTTTACGGTAGTTAGATCAGCATCGAAATGCGTCCGATCCACCTCCTGACAATAAAAGTTATTATTAGATAATTAGACATATACTGTAGTTGTAAATACGTAAGTTCCAACTGCAAATAATTTTATTCCTTACAATCAAATGAACTCTCATTGGTGTCGTATCAGTGTATGGCACCTTTCCAACGACAAAAATCAGCACACCAAGCAGTACGAGCATAACGATGGCGCTCCCACGAAGAAACGCTTTCTTGAAATACACAAAGATTGGAACAATTCCGGTGGCAGTAGGGACCGTCAGAGTGAATGATGTTAGAATGGCGATGAATAAATTTGGGTTTGAATCTGAACCAGAGCGACCCATGATGGGTACGAACGTGTCTAAACATCCAGCCACCAAGTAGAGGGACAGCGCCATAGGAAATGCTTCTCCGACGGCCAAGTAAAACGCAAGTCGCAATTTGTATCCTACAGATACGGGAGAAGAAGAGACACCTGTACAACAATAAATAATGGGTTCCCCAAAAAAGCGTTAATTAACTGACACAGCACACACACACGAGTAGTTCAAACAGCTAACCTCATACTTGTATTTAATACTTATTTTTGGTTGGTTACCTTTAAAAATCAATCTGGCAATGTACCATCCAACAATTCCAAACAACAGGTTAAACGTGATGGAGAAAACGATTCTCGTGAAAGGCGTTGTAAGGATGAGGCAAAGTGCGAGAGTAGTTTTTCCTGCAATCCAAGTAAAGTCGTTGTCTTCTTTCAGTGCCCAAGAGTAGACGATTACTTGACCAATGAGACATGGCACGCCAAAAATTAGAAATACAGACATTGGGTAAGAGTGATATGGACTAGGCATTTTGAAGGCGTTGAGTAAAAGTCCAACAATAAGGGCGCAAATTACTCCAGCAGTCCAAGCGGCAAGGGTCGAGAAAACATGCCACGCCATTGTTCCGACATTTCGGTCAACTAAGGAAATTATTTAACATTATTTATTTACCTGAATTAGATATACGAATGAATTATTACCCACACATATAAATATTTACCAACCTTCATTCCAAGCAATTGCCAAGACAAGAAACCCAAGGAAAAGATTGAACACGACAGCTACTTTTTGTGAATAAGAGATCATGAAATATCCAAACACATCGAAAAACACCATTTTTGTGTCGCCATATTGAATTTTAGAGAAATCCACATTTCCCAAGCTTTCCAAGAGAGCTAAGACGTTACTTCCTTCATGTTGTAAACTGCCAGGAGTTACATTTTCGACGTTATCAAACTCGGTATGATAAGCGTATCCGTTCTTAACAAAGGCCATATCCAAACCCGGAATTTGTGCGAAATCACGAAAAATGCGAAAATCAGTATCAGATGGAATCAGACCACTTTGGAAGATTTCTGTTATAAAGGAACGACATCTTTATAATTATTTGGTTTTTAGAAAACATGTTTTATAATGCTCAACTACCTTCACCAACAACAGAGCCCCACGGATAAGGAACTTTGGAATACGACTCAACCAACCAACCGTTTCCTAAAAATAAACGTGTAGAAAATTAGTACGTCTGCCATTTTTTATGACTAGCAAAATTATATTATCTATATCGAACCTGGTCCTGTCTGAAATAGAATTTCTCTTGCTCCAGCACCAGCACTTTCCAAATTCAAAAAACATTTTAGATTTCTCGTCCATTCGTGTCCAACCTCATCCGATCCAGCAACTTTCCCCTTGATAAATCCATGTGCTCCTTGCAAGACATTTTCTTCAGCACCATTAAACAAGAACACGATAGTATTTCGAAGTGGGGTTGGATCTCGAGAAAGCACTCGTATCGCCTCCAACATGACAGCGCAGCTTATCATATCATCACTAGCACCAGGCGATCCAGGCACAGTGTCAAAATGACAGTTTACCAAAACGGAATCATTTGTAACTCGATTCACTGGTTCCAATTTGACAACAAAATTTGGAATCTGTGCTCAGAAAACAATGTTTTAGAAGAGTTTCGCAACTATTAATTATTATGTCTTGTGTACACTTACATTTGAATACGACGATGTCAAACCGTCTTGAAATTTCCTGAAAAAAATTAAACTTTACAATAAATTTCCCGTTAATTGGAAAAATAAGTAGAAAGGACTATAACTAATTTACATGTAAAAAGATCCGATTGGTTTTTGTACTTCAAACTCAATATTATGAATTGCTAGCTTTGTTCTTTGAATCTCTTGCATAATCCTCGTCAACGTGTCTACAGTGGTGATATCATTAACATGACTTCCGGCAACGCGAGGTCCCACACTTGTCAAAATTATTAAATCATTCCTGGCTCTTTCTTCAATGAAACTGAGTGATAAATATTAAACAGAACAATTTAAGTAAACTTCTTTTAATCACAGTAGTTTCACATAATTTTAGATCCTTACCTCTTCGGATTCTCTCCAATATCGGCGACGCTTAATGGCGTTGGAAGACGAAAGTCGACATACCGTATAAAGCAAAAAACTGCCAAGGTAAACAGAATGACTGGAAGTAAGGTAAGCACGCTGGGTTCTTCTGTACGACGCTGTCTCTTCTTGGAATCATAGGAGCGACTTGGAAGCTCAAAGTTAGATGAAGAACTTTCGAACGTGCGACGCTCTCCGCGATAACGAGTCGTTCTGGTCTCCATTTTAAGGGAAATCCTTACAAATCACCGAATTGTCAAACACTTTAGTTCAGTCAGTCTCCGTTAATTGGAATAATTACAAACGAGTGAGTATCTTTAGAATTTGATTGAGAAGCTCTTGTTTTGCTGCTCCTAAAAGTGACTAGTTCCACTCCCTGTAAATTAGAATCAACATGAGCAATTAATAGTGTGATATATATCACATAATAACTTCAAAAACCTGATAAAAAATTGTCCGAATTTTTTTAACCTACTTTTTCGACAACCACGGTCGTCTTCAAAATTCAAACCTTGTATTCAATATAATTGCTGGTGAGGTGGTCATGGTGTGGAGTGGTTCGTAAAAAAAGTAGCTCCACTAAAATATTTAATTTTAATTGCAGTTGCAAAGTTGGCAGTGATCGATCCTTGGCGAAATCAATACTTTATTGACATGCTTGTTGTGGAGTGAAGTGAATAAGCGAAATCTGGTCCGGTTGTTCCCACACTCAAATCGATGGAGCTTGAGGAACAACGATACGTTTTGTTTCACAAACTTTTATCATGCATGCATGTATTGAAACAATGATAACATAAGTAAATATGGGCTTATCACCAACTTTGTTACTTATTTACATATCAAATGGTGGAACCTAAATAGAACTCAATTTATAAGCGTAAAGGATTTTAGAAATGTCAAATGTATATGAACTATGTAATATGAAATGGGTGTTAACAAAGTCAGAATCATGCGATGATCTAATGATGTACCTAAATAGTGATGACATTAATGGGCATGGATGGATTACGTCATAAATATAATAATTAAGTAATACATGTCATCAATTTTACAGTTTGCATCGAATAGCCGAGTGGATGGAGGTGTGCCAGCCATGGCATGCAAATATTGACATTGTATTATGTTTGTCAATAATTCAATATTACTAATGCAATTTTAAGTTCAATTAAGCAAGTACTCTTCTTAATTTAACGGAATTTATTTTAGACTGCTTACTTTTTATTTTAAACTAAGTTTCTCTAACCTACACACATATCGAACTATTTATTACTTTATATCACATTGCAGATAAAAGATAGCATGCTTCTTAGGCTTATATTAGATTAGGGATGAAATGTACTTTACATATGACAGCGTATCATTTGAAAATAAGTGACCGAACTAAAATAGCTGAATAATTAAGAAGTTACATGGATTATAAAGTTACAAGGTTATCTAAAATTTTCGAAACCTTGCCTAACTCTTCATTAATAAAAGACACTTGTTGTACAAATTGTTCTCCTCCCACGTTGCCCTTTTGCGGAGAACTCTTGGGTGCCAGGCTGTGTCGTTTAAATCGAAGCTGGATAGAATCTTGATAAGTAGTTGAAAATTTATGCATTACATTCGCCCATTCTTGAAGCTTAGATCTGTAAACAAGGTCAAGCTGATCTATCTCTGCGGGAATCCAAAATGGCTGGAATCAATTAACATTAAACAGCATATTTATCATTCGTTATCACATACGTAGAGAAGTAATTTATTTAACTAACGCAGTCATTTATTACCTGATTCTTGGCTTCACAATAAATAGCGAGGGCTTCTTCCTGTGACTGTTCTATTTTTGAAAGAACGTCATCCATCCTGGTGATAAGAAGTTGATCGTCTTTTGATTTAAATTTTCTTTTTTGATATTCTTTTGCAATTTCCTAAATGAAAAACAAATAACAATCTATTTTCTCTAAAAACCCTTTGTAAGTTAGCTAAAATATATAGATTTTAATTACCTTGAGACTATGATCTTGTAAAAACATTTCAGTTTGATAATGCATCCTATCCATGAAATTTGGCGAATTTGCGACTTGAAGAAGTGGTTCGTCGTCAAATTGTATGCGCATCAATTTTTCTAAATTGTTCAGCAAATCTGGATCATTTAAATCAGCGTTCTTGTTATCCGTGTTGGTGTTCTGAGCACTAACAGAAGTCGGCACAGAGAACATAGAACTTGATGTCAAATCCTGTGTATGAAAAAAATAATTAAGTATTACCAAATTTATTTAGATTTAATTTAATACTTTAATTACGTTCAATGAGCTCTGTTGAAGTTGAGAGCGACGTTTGGCAGTTAAACTGTTCAAGGTCCTATTATTATTACTCTTTGACGAAGAATTCATTTCGGAAATTACGTAGAAAATTTGTTAAAAAATATTAAAATAGCAAATTATGGAGTGTGTCGTGTCGGTCGGTTGTTTATAAAATACGAAGTGACAGTGACAACAAGCATTTTGCCTCCTCATATTTCAATCTCACGGTACATAAATACAACAGGGCAGAATGATTCCATGCACTTTCCGAGAAATAATAAAATCCGATAAGGAAAACTCGGTCGTATTATCTTGACAAACACTCGTGCCCAAAAACATTTGAAAATTCGAAAATTTATAAACATAATAACTTCATAATTTCATAACTTCATAATGCGACATTAAGAAGACCTGTATTATTTTGCGTATCATTTATTTGCCTCAAATGTGCTAATGGCGTATTAATATTACATTACTATTACAAAAATGTTATGTTGTTTATGGTTTACAACCTCCAAATCTGGGTCGAATTTGCGACGCGTCGACTAATTTTAAAACTTCGGGTTCCCATTTTGCTCGGTCGGATGAGTAGATTTGAATCTTATTAATTGTTCGAGCTGTCATTAAGGGTTTCATTAAATTGAATAGGACCGAAAACACTGCTGGAGCTGAGATTGATAATTTTTGATAAGTACTTGATAACGATAAGTTAGTGATTTTCATTTTCATGTAAGTAATAATGATGCGTTACCATTTATGATTAATGCGGTATTCAGCGTCTCGGGATAATGTGCCTGCATTTGAAAGAACATCATTAACAAGTTCCGAATAGTATATCTCAAATTATATATGCATAAGTACCTCGTATGATCCAACAATCTGCAAGATGGTATTTACACCTAAATATTGAAAATTTAATCCTATATTCATTCTGAAATTGAAAATTTTTTTAGTCTAAACTTTACTTTTCATATTTGCAAGCTGGCGAAGCCCGAATCCCTCGTAGTCACAAATCATGGTGTAACCTAATAATTAGTATTTAATTATTAATAAATTAATTATTACCTAATAAATAAGTGATAACTAATCATACGAATTCCTTTGGGCAGATTGCTTCCAGATTCCTCATGCACGGCACGCACCCTGCGACTCACAGTTTCGAGAAGTTGTCGCGAATACCGGATAAATTTCTCGGGGCCATCTTTTTCGACAGATTCTCGAACATCCCATTCTCCAATTGGACATGTGAGGGCTGAATTCATGCAAATAATGTTGATAAATTTTCACCTAAAAATCCCAGAACATCGCTCTGATAATAAATCAATTTGTCTTTTTTTACCAACTCGGCCTTCCCTGTCAATCGCGTCGATGTAAAACGGGAACAATTTTTGCATTTCAGAATCAATCCCGGACTCAATTATGGTATCGATCTTGTTGTCCTGTCTCCATTGCATTGACTGGAAATATTCGTATTAAATTGTCAGAGTGCAAAACTGTAAATTTTTACGCAAATCCCAATACCTTTTTGACGAGGTCTTCCGCTTTGTCCAAGTCCAGATCTCTTGCTATTTATGATAAACTTATGCATTACATACCTTACAAATATATTTTTTGACACGATAAAAATAATATTTAAAGTAGTCAAAATTCACCTCTCAACCATCGGATTAAGTTTTCATCTTTTCTAGCATACTCGTCCGGAAGTACGTCAACGACACGAGGTCGGAACTGTGAAAATGTGGAGATTTATAAAAATTTATAATTCAGAAATATATGATTTTTTATGTACTTGTTCCAAAGCTGCAAGTTCAGCATCTGTAAATACTTCCATGATTGTTGAAAATGATAAATTTTGTGCAAAAATATCAACAAGCTGACAGACCAAGCAATTTTATACAGTAAAATATTTCAGGTTGATCTTTCATTTTATAAACTTCTGTTTTCAGGTAGGTTAATGGGAAGAGCATTAATTTTTCATATACCTAACGGATACACTGCATGCCTGTAATGATGGGTTTCGATTCACATGCATTTTTCTAACCTATTAATAACTAAGAACTGGATTATAACAATTAAATAAAAAGTAATGACCACAGATTCATAACTGCAAAAAAGCATCATTATGTTTTTTATTGGGGAAAATTCATTACTTTTTATACGTCATCCGGAAATTATATATTATTCCAGTAAAAATGATAATAATACTTCCCGATATCTCATAATACGAATACCATTCATTACGTTGGATTTGGATGTCAAGGTTGTTTGTCTGCTCGAAATTTTAATAATTGATTTTAAATGACAGGACTATGATTTTCATTCTCATTCATAATTGGGCATGATTTTGTTAATAGAGATAACAATTATAGCATATATGAAAAATTGAGATTTTTAAATGTTCAAGTATCTACCAAACTAGTCACTAACTTATCATAGTCAAATTTTATGCATGTATGTATGTACTAGCTACTCGTTCAATCCAGTTGAAATTGGTTTTATACCATGATGCCGTTTCATGATATTATGTACATAAATACGTATTGCATGTTAACTGCAAGTGAATGGAAGAATTGCATGAAATACACCGCAGTGCATGGAATTTTGCCGAGAAACTTTCTCTGGAGAAATATTGATCTTTCTCCGAATGGAGAGAAAGTAGCCAGCATTCCATGTAGGCCTACTTTCTCTAATATACCGAGACATACATATCGTGCAAGGTCTCACGTACCCAGTTTGATCACGTCGGTCCAGAGGCTAAAAGTAAGATCGGACGGTATAAAGTTTGACATTTGTGTTCGAGCAGTACTTGAGAATTCTACAGCTCCGAAAAACTGACCTGCCACACCTGTCGTAAGTAATTCTAAAAACGTGGTCATTATATAGTTACAAAAGTTATAACATATTCCTAATTCATACAGAAAATAATGTTCCCCCTCCGAACTCTGGTCCCCTTCGGAAACTATTCTCCGCATCGGATATTTTGTCAACATTTTGGAAATGGGATACCGATGGACTCTGACGTCCACATTCCGCCCTCATTTGGTCATCTGCACCACCACTTTCCCCTCCACCTCCTGCCTCACAGGAAGTCTGGCTTTTCCGAAGTGACGTCCAACCAGGACAAATTTCAGGTTTGGTTTTGTTGTGATAAGAAAAATGAAACGAAACGAATCGGTGTAATGCATTACATTTGTGTGGCTTGGCTTTATTGATTCGTCAATAAATCAATATTTTTTAGCCCGAACCAGGGCTTATGTAATCGTCATGTCCGTCCGTCTGTCCGTCTGTCTTTCGATAACTCTCGAACGAGTTGACTGATTTGGACCAAATTTGGTACAGACATGTATCTGGGCAATGCAACGACCGAGTTCGAAGATGGGTTCGACCAGAAAAGTTTTGGACCGGTGGGGGTCATCGGAGTGGGTGGGGTATTAAGCACCAAATTTTCAAAATTGTCGTAGAAAGCTGAAATTTGGCACAGAGGTTGCTAATGGTTCCTAATGAAAGAATATGAAGTGAAATTGGAAAATTTGGCAACCGGAGGTACCCGAGGGGGTGACCCATACCGATTTTTCAGAATCATCCAATCGAGCTGAAATTTGGTATAGAGGCTGCTAATGGCCCCTAATGGAAGAATATGAAGTGAAATTGGTAAAATTTTCATATGCCGGGACCCGTTGGGGTGACCCATATCGATTTTCAGAACTTGTCGTAAAAAGCTTAAATTCGGAACGATGACACCTAATGGCTTCTCATGAAATTATATGAAGTCAAAGATGAACAAAAAGTAACCGGAGGGGTAATAAGGGGTACCCATACCGATTTCTAAGAGTTTATATATTGAGCTAAAATTTAGTAAGGAGTCGAAAAATAACTTAGGATTAATTAGGACCTGGTTCGGGCTAAGCAAAGCTGTACTGATAGGTTTTTTGCAATGTCGTCATTCTATTGTGTTGTTATCTAGATCCGACTGGATTGCCAGCATTTCAGCCCTGACGAACTCACGGTGAAAGCAGTGGATAAAAATGTCGTGGTGGAAGCGAAACATGAAGAAGTTCGTGCATAGATTTTGGAATGTTAAAATGAACGTTTCATGATTTTCAAAATCTCATCTTTTCCAGAAAGAGGATGAGCATGGATACATCACTCGCTCCTTCACGCGTCGATATCCACTCCCTGCAGATATCAATCCTGACGATTTTGATGATAAAGTCGTCTGCGAGCTGAGTACCGATGGCGTTCTCATGATCACCATTCCAAGAGTGAAGGTCGTTACGGGGGACGCTAACGAAAAGATTATCCCAATTACACACACAGGAAAAATGGCTAATGGTGCAGACCCATTGTAAAAAGATCTCATTCCAAATAATTCTACAACTTCCAATCAAAATGTATGAAACATTTTATCGAAAAAAATAAAATGCTGCACTCATTGCAAAAATATGTAATTCTTTCACACCTATTATTAATTTACATTAAGTTTTCATTCATTTCAAATGCATATAGATGACTAATGATCCTTGTCCGGGTTGTAAAAATATTAGTTGCAAAAATAACCCTAATGTGTCAAATGTCCTTGAAACCGAACAATCACCGCTGGACAAGGACAGAGGAGAGTGAATGAATATGCCTGGTAGACGGTGAGCACATAAAGGAAAAGGATACACCACAAAATCTAGGAATTTGGCGTGTATTTGCTCAATTCGCGAATTATTTGCAACGTCCACATAAGTACGTTGAGCGTGGTGGACCCGGCGTTTGGTTTTTGGTTTGAAACAAATCGGAGGAGTCCACTTGTTTGAGCTTCAGTCGGTAGTTGGCTTTTGCTTGGTTTTGACAACAAAAAAATCACTCCTCTTTCTTTCCAGACAGACGGCTGCAAAAATCAACAATTAAATATTTCTGAACTGGTAAGTATTGATCCTAAAATTGTTCAATTGTCCTTGCCCTCTGTGTTTCAGAATATTTCGAATTGTTAACCACGTGAAATAACTAAATTTTATGTTGAATCTATTTTTTGTAGGTAGCAGCATCTCTCGAGCATAATGGCAGAAATGGATTATAAGCTTACGTATTTCAACATGAAAGGTAAGATTAGTAGTTAATGAATTATTATTAATTATTGAATACTACTTGCTTATTTATTATACAGGTCTTGCCGAGCCGATTAGAATGATTTTCGCAGTCGCTGGTCAAAAGTACGAAGATGTGCGAATTCCAAGGGAGGAGTGGGCCCAGCATAAGGAGAGTATGTGGTTAAAACAAATTTGAACTCTAATTTGTACGAGATTTGGTACATTGTTTAATTCTATTTTAAATATTTAGAGTTTGAATATGGCCAGTTGCCCGTGTTGGAAGTGGGGGACAAAAAACTTGCCCAATCGAACGCTATAACGCGATTTTTGGCGAAAAAATTCAACTTGGGAGGAGCAGATGACTGGGAAGCTGCTAAAGTTGATGAATTGGCGGATGTTATGGTTGATTTCCGTTCGGGTATGGTATGACATTAATATGTGCTTAATATAATGGGAATAGTGTGTAGCGACGATATGCAAATTGTGAGGTTTTTTAAAAGCAATTCTATTTGCATATTTCTTCAGAATGGCGAAAGTATTTCATGGAAAAGGACCCAGAGAAGAAGGAAGAATTAAAGAAAACCTTAATTGAGACCACCGTTCCAAAGTATCTCGGAAAAGTGGAGAACATTCAAAAAGAGAACGGTGGAGATTTCCTCGTCGGACAAAAACTGACTTGGATTGATATTCAATACGCCCATTTCTTGGAAATGTTTGAAGTTACCACTGGCCCTGAAGTTACTGCAGCTTATCCGAATTTGAAAAAGCTGCAGAAGGCTGTCTTTGAAACTCCAGAGATTAAGGAGTGGATTGATAAGCGACCAGTAACCGAGTTTTAAACTACAATGGCTTCAGCTCTTACCTTGTATGTATTGCTTTTCTAATCAGAATTAATAGTTCAGCACACAACAGAATTTACCAAAATTTTTGAATCTCGACACAAGTCTGATTTATTATTTAAAATTAGTTAATTGAATGTAAAATGTTACTAAAATTTCAGTGTTCTTAATAAATATAAGCTAGGCTATGCTAATTCAATAATAGTGAGAGTATTATTCTGTCCCGTTCTCAACTTTTGTAGTAGCTTAAGGATCTAAAATGTGTATTCTTATTTTCAATTTTTGATGAAATTAAAAAACAGTATTGCAACTGCTAGATATTTACAATTGACCTTGAAACTAATTAATTTTTTTCATTATGAAACGTGACGAGCAACAAATTCATAAGATTCCCATTGCATTGTCTGAATTTTAATCGACGCCTTTGGGCATCTTCCCTTCCGCCTGACAAGGCAATTATTAGTAGTACCAGCTACTTAAGATAGGAAAATTATGCTCATTCCACAAAACTCTGATTAAGACAGGTTAATCAATCATTAATCCACAATTCGTGTCTGCTAATAACCTGTGAAGGAAACTATTATGGGTACTGGACCAGGAACAAGTCTTCACATATATAGATCTTCGACGTTAAAAATGTGCCGTTAGTTGTTGTTATCCTTCTCATCATCGATACATCTGATTCGCCATGAATCTCAAGGTAATTTATTGTATTGCCTCAATTTTCATATGCAATTTTATATTTTACACATTATTTTTTCATATGTAGATTTACATTTATATTGCAATTCTACTTGCAACCCTTGCCACAATAATTACCCCAGCGGACGCAGGATTGAAAAAAATACATCGAAAGTTTCATGGCGGTGGGGGACGAAGACATGGTGGACACGGTCACGGTCATGGTCACAGAGGAGGAGGACATGGGAAATTTGGAGGAAAGTTTGGGGGGAAGCATGGATGAAAATATATTGATTCAGATCGGGTGATTCTTCAATTTTTAGTGGAGTGTAGAAACAAAAGACGTAATATAAATTTTATAATAAAGACAATCATACTGAAACTATTATCACAGTTGAGATTCAGTTTATCGATTTAAAGTTATACCGTTGAATTTATTCAATGAATAAAAAGAAAGCGATCTATCATAAGGCTGCTTAACACAAGTAATTGTCAATTGACAAAACATCGTGTCACTCATAAATACAATATATGTATATGTAAAGAATACTAATAATAAGGCAAATAATTGTGGTACATTTGTTATTTCGAATAAAAAAGTAGTCTCGTTTTGATTTTGATATAAAATAACATCTTTGTAACAAAGCGTTTAAAAATAACCTAACTGCCTTCATCAAGAGAGATCATGACATATCCAAGAACCGCTACCTCATGGGGGTCATTGTTTTCCATCATGTACGGAGTATATGGTTGAACAACAATGCAAGCACCTGTCGTTAAAGATTTTCCGATGAGGTAATTAGTTCCGTCAACGACTTCATACTGTGTTGATCGTACGACCACGCTGCCTTTCAATACCCAACAGATCTACAAATACACCCAAACAAAATCAGTTTATACATTAGTAAAACAAAAATAAAACGAAAACTTAATGTAATAAATACTTAATAGCAACATACAATTTGAACATTTTTAGAAATACTCATCGGTTTCAATGTTCTCGGAGCGATGTTAATGTATCCAGTAACTCTATTTTCATACAGACCAAACGAAGCAACCATAACTCCTGGATCAGATTCTTGAAACAGTAAGGGATCGCTTAGTTCTTTAATGTCGACAGAATTGTTGACGATGGATGCTCTGATTTCAACATTGTTCCCGGTGGCAGCAGAGTTCCGTAATTCTAAAAATGCAGCCTCGTCAGCATTGATTCTGAATTGCATATCTGCATTCTCTTCATCATTTTCGACATCAGTATGTGCACTAGGTACACCAGTATCACTATGTTCACTAGGTTCGGGTGTGGATGGGACAATTTCCTCAATCTCATCAGCTTCCGACTTTACACTTTGTGGTGGGGATGGGGTAATTTCACTAATTTCATTACTTTCATCATCTTCCGACTTTACATTTTGTGGTGGGGATGGGGTAATTTCACTAATTTCATCACTTTCATCATCTTCCGATTTCACATTTTGTGGTGGTGATATTTCATACTTGTGATGAAGAAGAGGCACACATACATCTGAAGATGATGACGACGATGATGAAATTTGACGTGGTCGTCGTCGCCAGATTGAAGGTTTTTCTTCCTCTGAGTCGCTAAGTTCTCTTTCCGGTCTTTGTGGAGGAATTGTAGAACTAACCCTTTCCCGTCTTTGTGGAGGTATTATTGTAGAACTAACCCTTTTCGGTCTTTGTGGAGATATTGTAGAACTAACCCTTTCCCGTCTTTGTGGAGGTATTATTGTAGAACTAACCCTTTTCGGTCTTTGTGTAGAACTAACCCTTTCCCGTCTTTGTGGAGATATTGTAGAATTAACCCTTTCCGGCCTTTGTGGAGGTATTGTAGAATTAACCCTTTTGAGGACTTTTTGTTGTTTATGATGGCCAACGCCAAAGTTAAAGTTGAATAGTGAATTTTTAGGGGCGTCGATACTCTGAAAATTGTTAGCAATAGTTCAACTATAATTTCGTGTATATTTGGGGCCACATTTTTGAAGTAACGACGATGTAAAATAACAAACAATTTACTTACCGAAGTATTCGTTGGAAAATAGCGTGTAGTTCCAACCGTTTGGTTATGCCTGGTATCCCTCGCATGCTTATTCAAGATAATCAGCGATGTCGTCGCTTTTTTCTCCACCTTTGCAGCAGTAACAGAATTCTTCTTCATCTTACTGCTGGTCACGCCTTAACAACTTTCGTGTTCCAAAAATTAATTTGTGACTGAGCTGTGCCGTGAAAAAGTTTAGATTTAATTTACATGTGCACAAATATTTGTGATTGTTTGTGATTTTTACATTGGATCAATCCCGCTGCGGTGTGATGAATTCGAGCCACAAAAACAGGAGCGACAGTTCTATGCAAGACTGGTTGAGTCGTAGAAACTACCTGCTTTAGGCTGAAAATTAGTGAAAATTGATATATTGTTTGTATTTGACATAATTTATTTAAATATTGCATTTCATTTATTTTTCCGTCATCTCAACACAGTAAAGCTATTATTTTAATTTATAATCTAACCATGAACTTCACACATGCATTATTCCTAATATTTTAAGAACGCAATCAAATCACAGTCATATATAGATATTTGTTATAGTTTAAAACAGAACAATTATTGGTATTTAATTTCATTCACGGGGTAAAGAATTAATAAATTGATGCGCACAATCTTGACTCGAGAGGTCATAATTATTATGACATTTTTGTCTACCACATGCATACAATTTGGTTTTCATTTGTATGTATTTAATTTAAACAACTTCTTCCATCGTAAGCTCAAAGGTTTCTTCAGACGGTTGAACTAGTCCTTCGAAGTCGTAGAAGGCAGCGTGGGCCATGATGAGAAAGCAGGAAGCTCCAAGGACCCAGAACATGACGCCACCCGCACCCACCAAGTAGAAGAGGGGCATAGAACACAGGCCGACGAGACTGTACTGCTGAGCGAGAGACACCTCCCTCCCAAACAAGGTCACTTGACGATTCGTGTTCTTGACAAAGATTCCGTAACATACTCCGAGAACGATGGCAAATGCGAACAGCAAGAGAGGCGATGTTATCCTAAAAAGTCGGGATATTATTAAACTTACGAGAATTTAAATGGTATAATATTCCACAAACTTACAAACAGTAAATGAACAATCCAATGAATACGAAGAAGTAATTGCTCTGAAAATGGTCTACATTTTGCACGACTCGACGACTCAGGCGCTGTGCTGATTTGGGATATTTAAATCGAGACGTGGAAAAGAACGTGGACCAGGGGCGAATACTTTGTCGTCTTGTCGAAAACCATTCCATCGCTTCTTGTTTCGTCAATGGGATTGGAATACTGGGAAGACTGAACTTTCCATCGTTTCTGCAAAGTCAAATGTAATTTAGTAAATAACAACAAATACTTTTCTGGATTTGGTAAATGCCAACTCTGATCTTATCTCGCGGACTCACGGAAGTTTGAACCCCTTGAAGGTTTCGGCAGGCTCCATGTCTCCTTCCACGTCTATTTTCATGTTGAAAGTTAATTTTAATGTGAAAGTTTCAAATTATGACAGGAAACAGGTGATCTTCTCGTCGTCAGCCTCCACAATGGTTCAGAGTCGAGGTGCTGTTCTCCTGGAAATGATTTTAATAGTACAATTTCTAGAATTGGTGATAAATTACCAGCCAAAATTACTTAAATGTTACACCAAAAATTTACTTTAACTTACAAAAATACAAAAATCGAACTTTCGTTAGCAGCTGTCCAAAAATTGGACTCCAAACGATGAATTATGGCATTTAGTTTAGGTTGGGTAAACTTTAGTAAACTGGCAAACTTACTGAACAAATATTTAGTTTAACTGTTAACTTTAATTCATATTGAACAAACTAAAATTAGCTCTTGTCAAAACAAATGTTTACGTGTAACTTTTTACTCAATTTGTAAGTCTTGAATGCCGGGAGAAGTTTCTCTCATTCTCAATGCCTACACAATTCAGTTTCATGATAAATAAATCTCCAGAATGGTTTTTATAATTAATTTTTAACCTGTAATTATTCTAGATTTATTTTTAAACCGCAATGGATTTGAAATAAGTGTATGATATATTAATTTAATATCTTAAATTGCAAAAGATGAATCACATTAAATGAATCACATCATTAAATTCGTGATGATATTCATTTTTGTGCATTTTCTAAATTTTATTTGCATGTATTGCAGGAGAAATAATTTTTGTATTATTATTTTTAATTGTTTTATTATGTTAAATTATTCATTATTTATTATTATTTTTGCGAATAATTCTTAATTAATAAATAATTCAAAGTTCAGTCAATTAATTACATAACATCAACGCTGTGATTTTAGGTGTTTGCTCTGTGTAATAAAACTCCACAATGCAAAAAGCATGGACTAAAAGTCAAGTGCATTTTATTACATAAGGGTAAAAAAATGATGACCACTTGAATCATTCATAACATAACGTTTCATTCAAGCATTACTGGATTGCAGACTGATGAAATGACACAACGATGCATGATGAAGATAATAAGGGTCAATTGAATAGTTGCATTTAAATGCAATTGCATACCGGTCAGTCAGTACGATTTTCCTCGAGCATCTGTCTGACAAATTAATTACTCCGAAAATACATAAATTTTTGAGTTGCATTTCGTTTTTGGATTTAAAAAATTCTAACTTTATTAGCGAGACAAGAAGATGGACCAGGATTACAAACTTACGTATTTCAACATGCGAAGTAAATATGATACCTGTTGCACTTATTGCATTTTCGACAAAAGTTAACATGTCGCAAACTTATTTCTAAATATTATGTAGGCATCGCCGAGCCGATAAGAATGGTATTCGTCGTTGCTGGCGTCAAGTTCGAGGACATTCGAATTCCAAGAGAAACGTGGCCAGAACACAATAAAGAAAGTGAGTTTATTTTAAACCAAATTTTGAATTATTTGAAATTTTAGTGGAGTGCAAGTATTCCAATAAAATTTTGAAATTTAGTTTGCAAGCCTAATAATATAATTTCATAACATTTTGTTCAAATTCAGAATATGACTACGGTCTATTGCCCGTTCTTCATATCGGAGACAAACAACTTTCCCAGTCGAACGCTATAATTCGATTTTTGGCAAAACAATTCAACCTGTCCGGATCAAATGATTGGGAAAATGCAAAAATTGACGAGCTGGCATTTGTGCTTTCTGACATTTTTGCAGGTGACATTTTTAAAAATAAAATCTACACGAATTAGCATTTTAATCGGTAACATTAATAGTTGAATTTGATTGTTCGTCAGAATGGCGAGCTTATTTTATTGAGAAGGATGCTGAGAAGAAAGCAGAGCTAAAAACGGCCTTGGTGAAAGTTACAGTTCCAAAATATTTCAACAAAGTGGATAAAATTATCAGCCAGAAAAATAGTGGAGGCTATCTCGTCGGAGAGAAATTGACATGGGTCGACATTCAGTATGCAAATTATTTGGATTTGTTCGAAGTAACAGTTGGTCCCGAAATTACTGCGGATTATCCAAATTTGAAAAGTTGCAGAAAACTGTGTTCGAAATTCCGGCAATTAAGGAATGGATTAAAAAGAGGCCTGTAACTGAATTTTAATAAATGAAAAAATAAAGGATTTTTCCCACCTCAGGTCAATAACGCATTAATCTATCTATGAATTTTATCTCTGAAAACTATAATTTTTCCAATTCAGGCGTTATTCCTTTCAAATACGAAATCCTTTCGACTTTTGAAATTTAGTAAGAAATAAAATGCCAGTAGGCAATTGTCTATTTAAAAAGTATGAAACTCAACGTGCAGCATATAAATCTAATCTTCCTCAGATCAGGATTGTCATGTGCCAGAGTACATAATTGTTGAGTCGATCGGGAAATAGTGACCCAAATAGTGACCCAAATAATTCCCCAGCTTACGACTAGTGTCCCAAATAGTGTCCCAAAATTTTCAAGTAGTGGAATTCATTCGTCTAACCAATTTTTACAAGCATCGCATCGCATGTTTCTTTCTACCGAGTGATCCCACGAACCATCTCATCCAACATTGCATATTACCTCCCCATCATCGTGGCGTCAAGTCGAGTGTGTTGTTTTTTTATGATAAAACAAGTGAAGGTCGCTCCGCTCTGTCCAGCAATGAATGCAAAAATCAACTCATTTTCATGGTAAGTAGGTAATAGAGATGTAATAATATGCATTTCAAATGATGTAGCGAAATATGGACATGAGTCAGTCCGAATGGCAGACACGTTATTCTTCAGTATTTATTAATAAGACAAACATTGATTTTTACCAAGGACGCGGATTGAATAGATCAACAAAGCGGTTTACACTAATCCAATAATAATATTTATTCGTAATCCTAAGACTGCATTCAATTAGTAAAACATGGCAAACCTCTTATATACTTGAAAAATTGCGAAAATGCGAAATATGTGTAATGGACGTGGTTTATAAGTGTATGTACTAATTTTGATATGATCTTATGCAAATAAGCTAGATAGATTTTATTAAGTCTCAAATTAACTGGATTCTTTGACAAGAGATCCTAAAGGCGACACGTTCTGTCTCAATTTGCCTCCAGATCTCAAAACTATTTCGTTATGTGTGCCGAGTGTGCCTTGCACTTCATCATTTAGTATGTACCACTAAACACATTCAACAGTTTGATATTTTTCTCGGTTATTAAAACTTATCATATGACAATTGATAACCGCATGATTTTAAATCTTTACATTACACACGCAATGTTCATATTAGCATCAGGCACCTGACGTGACGAAAACAGAGGTGTGTTTTATAATTATAGACAAATCCATGCTTTTTTAGTCCTACATAACCGAATGAATATGACAATGAGTCATGCATAGCATATGTACAATTAATACAGACCAGACTTATGTACGCACAAAGCTAAAATATACGAATAAATTTGAAGGACATTGCTATATAAATACATCACATCGATCGCACCAGTACCACAGTTTGCTTTCTGAATCCGGCCCAACTCCTCAGTGTCCAGTTTCTCGTAACTTGCTACAACAAACATGTCTCAATACAAGCTCACCTACTACGACATTCAAGGTAAATTTTACAAAATTTCATAGAAAAATGTGCATCAAGTACATTCGTAATTTACCCGATTTAACTTGTTATCATAATCCATAGGTCTTGCCGAACCTTGCAGATATCTCTTTAAGCTGGCTGGCGTGGAGTTTGAGGACTATCGAATTCCAAAAAACGACACGACCTATCCCAAGCTCTCGGCCCATATTAAGGATTGTGAGTCGAAACATTTTTTTGACGGATAGAATTCATGTCAAAATGGAAGATTACAATATGCACTTGATTTTCGTACCAGCTCTCCCCTGGGGAAATATCCCCGTGTTGGACGTGGATGGAAAGAGGATCGCGCAGTCATCCGCGATTTGCAGATTCTTGGCAAACCGGTTCAAATTGGCAGGCGCTGATGAGTTTGAAAAGGCCAAATGTGACGAGATTGTTGATTCCATGCGGGATTTTGCACAGGGTATTTATGTAAATACTGTCAATTTTGATTGGACCTTATCTTACAGTCTTACCCAACTATTTAGAATGGAGAGGCATCATGACGGCAACGGATGACGCCCAGAAAGCCGAGATGATGAAGAAAATGATGGATATTACGTGTCCCTTCTACATGGGGAAGTTTGAAAAAATTGCGAAAGATAATGATGGGAAATGGCTCGTTGGGAAAAATGTGACCTGGGCGGATGTCATCGTTGCCCATTTTCTTTTGATGCTCATCGCTCGAACTAAACTGCCAGTGGTGGAAAATTATCCATCCTTGAAAAAATTGTTGGATGATTTCCAGGACGTGCCACAAATCAAAGAGTGGATTAAAGAGCGACCGGTCGAGGGATAATTATATACAAATCTCAATTTCATACATGTATTCACTTTGACGGAATAAATCATATGTTTCGATTAAGTAGAAAAATCTTATCTAAAATTTTGTAAATGTTTTTGCATTTTTTGCATAAATCGGTTCTAGTCGTCGAAGTGTATCAATACTTACGCTTTTGAATGATTGTAGTTTGCAAAAAAATGTACACGTACATCAAAGCATGTGATGATTGACATACGTATTATTACGTATACATAACGTTGCATAAAATACATTCACAGTGCTTAAGCAGATACGGACAATTAGTTTGAAGGACATCGATCGCTGAGTCACAACAGAACACACGAATAAGTGGGTTTATTACAAATACATGCATACAATTTTTTGACTTGTCACACAGTTGTTGCTCAGAGTTAGACCGGACACAAGGTTTCTCTTCACCTGGAATTTTCTGTTCCGAACTTCAAATTGCGATAACATGTCACAATACAAACTCACCTATTACGATCTTCAAGGTAAATAATCAAACAGTTTTTTTAGGTACACTTTCTAAGTAAGTCACAATTTTGTAAGGATTCTTCCATCTCCGCATTTGCATATGTATTAGGTCTTGGCGAACCGGCACGATACCTCTTCAAAGTGGCTGGCGTGGAGTTCGAGGACCACCGAATTCCTAAAAATGAATCAACTTACCCTAAATTGCCTGCAGACTTGAAGGATTGTAAGTTTAAGATTGGATTCAAAATAAATATTTGACGGAAATAATTTCTTTGACATCAGCACTTCCTTAGGGGAAAATTCCCGTTCTCGAAGTGGACGGAAAGACGATTGCACAATCTTCCGCGATCTGCAGATTCTTGGCGTTGAGGTTCAACTTGGCAGGCGCTGATGAATTTGAGCAGGCAAAATGTGACGAGATTATTGATGCCATGAGGGATTTTGGGAGAGGTAAGTAAATAATATTAAAGCATCATATTCATGTAAAAAGTGTGTAAACGATACGATTTTTAGAATTAATGGGGGTCACAATGGTTCCGGACGAAGATGCGAAAAAAGGAGAACTGTTTAAGCAACTGAAAGAAGTCACGATTCCATTTTACATGGGAAAGTTTGACAAAATCGCGCAAGAGAATGAGAAATGGCTCGTGGGGAAAAATATGACCTGGGTGGACATCGTGTTTGCTCACTGTATGACGATTTTTATGAATCGAAGCAAAATTCCACTCGTGGATGGATATCCAGCCCTTAAAAAATTGATAGATGACTTTTACGCCGTTCCACAAATTAAGGAGTGGATAGCTCAGAGACCAAATACTGATTAACAAGATCTTCTGGTTTTGTGTCCCGAATATTCAAAGTGTGTGTGAAATCCTAAATTTAATAGGGTATACATAATTTATAATTAGTTATACCGTATTAAAGTTCTATGGTCAAAATCGTTCAATGTGTTTCTGTTAATAAAGATACGTCTATTTAGAAAAAATTAATCCTACATGCATACGTAACTAATATTGCCCGTTTTTATTGCATTGCATGTATTACAATTTTTTCTGACCGTTTATTATTTTGACATTTTGATGTTCCCTTGCTTGTTTGTACATTATAAAAAACTTACCAATATTAAGTAGTCGTTTGCAAATTTTTGCAATTGCAAAACGCTAAATATGTTAAAACAAAGCCCATATTTCATCCGCCCTTCATAAGCTCGAGCTAGTTATTTGTTGTCTTGCTAATCTCAAGGACCTATGCAGGCCACCATGACCAGTATTATTTTTTAAAAGTGCAATTTTTAATTTCATTTTATGTTTTCCTAATATCGGAAGATGTGTAAGATTTGAACGCCAAAATCGAAGTGGTAAGAATCGGGATTTTATTTAATTAAACCGTGGTGGTGGTACTATTCCTCCTCGCTGGCCAAATGACGTCACATTTTTGACCACCATTTTTATTTATTTCGTCCTTTCATCTCACTCACATTTCCGAAAGATCTGCTCCTTCCTTATTCATTTAAAATATTTTAATTCTGGAAGCAGAGATGTCAAAGGCCGATCAATCCGTCCCTGGACCTTCTCACGCCGGAATTAGCAGCCAGGTCGTGGCTGACACCGTCACCACGACCTCAACGGTCACGCCGCATCAAAAGAGAAAGGAACTCCTGCTGGAACAGTTTGGGAACGAGGTTGAGGTTGAGGAGAACAAAATGGTGAGGAAATGGCCATAAAAATTGCGCAGTTTGTGGTCCTGTTGTTATCATTTTTCTAGTCAATGGCTGTCACATTGATTCTTGATTCGCGTCCAATTTATTTGTATTTTTTAAATTTACTGGTTATCATTTTTTCCAGGTATCCGCTCCAATTTTGTGTAGGATTTTCCGCTCATGTGGCGAACTGATCAACGTGTGTGGACGCGCTCTGGGTAATCTTATCGGCGTTCTGGACGATACGACACCCCGAGGGTTTCCTATTTATGAGAAGAGGAGAGCTCAACGCCATCATCTGCTGAAACTAGCAGTGCCAGAAATAGTTGACTGCGTTCAAGACGAGGAAATGTCGACAACTCCGGAACCGCCAGTCGCTCCTCCAAGGTCAGTCTCAAGCCAATTTGCAGCTCAGAGAAAATCAAGGCCGACTGGGAGACAAATTCGGAAATCAAACGATTCCACTTCTGGTAGAAAGAAGGTAATCTTTCCTTGATTTTAATTATTTACCATTACGTTATAATCGAGATTACGATTACGATTACGAGAATTGTGGCTCACTATATCCTTTACTCATGCAGTGTTCTAAAACCAAACGCCACCGCTGCAACATTTGTCGCAAAAATTACTCCACCAAATCAAGCCTGACCTCTCACCATTTCACCCATCTCACCGAAGAGGAAAAGACCGTGGTGAAACAGGGTTGGAGACACGTGTGCTTCTTTTGCCAGAAGAGGTTCTCCGCGGAATTTGGGTATCATACTCACCTGGTCACCCATACGATGGAAAAACCCTTTCGTTGTGACCAGTGCGGAAAGCAATACGCTCAGAAGGGTCAATTAAAGGAGCACCAGCGTAGCCACAGCGCCAACCCAAGACCATTCAATTGCGAAGAATGTGACAAAGCGTTGTCCACCAAGCGATCTCTGTTCATCCACAAAAAAATGGTTCATCAGAAGCTGAAGGACGTCGACTGCCCCCAATGCCCCAAAAAGTTCAGCACCAAGGGGAAAATGGTTGTTCATATGAACGGAGTGCATCTTAAAATTCCGCACCTCTGCCCCCACTGCAATAAGTCATTCACTCAGAAAGGGAATGTTCAAACACACGTGAAGAACTTTCATCCCTAATAATTTAACGCTTCTCCTGCTAAGCGATCCAGTATCAACTTCAACTGATCCATTTCAACTTCTTTATTTTACGATGTAGTATAGTTTAAATGATAGGTTAATTTGTTTCAAAAATCTTGTAAAGGGCCGAATGGTGATCTCGGACGCCTATCTGAATCAAATGAATGTTTTCCCATGCAACACACCAAAATCAGGTTTTTCCTCTACTGCGCCCAAGCCAACTATCAATAATTAAGTGTACTTTATATTTTATCAATAAATGTGTTTTTGTTAATAAATAGCAATCGTAATATTGAATTTAATCCTTCACAAGTCACACATCACGTAAATATCTAATTTCACTCGTTTTTATTGCTCGTTTTTATTGATTTAACGTATATGTATTTCAAAGTTGCGATTCCCCGTGACAAGAGATGCACTTGACTGCTAAGAAATTTGGTGCATTTTACGAAATAGTAATAAATGAGCTCGATGGGTTTTTAGTTTAACTTTGTAATTAATTATGCAGCCATCCATTACAAATTTATGAAATCTGTTTATTATTATAGAATAAAACAGTATCGTTTATTTTTACTAGTTTTCTCTTCTACTTAAGCTTCAACCTTTCCCTTGCTGCAAATTGGCAACTGTGGAGAAAAGTTGCACACCGGGTTCGCATTTATCGGTGCGGGTGGCTTTGTAGATTGCAAGCCATCCTCTACATTTGCCAACGTGGGACCTACAAATTTCGATAACTTTACTTATGGCATACTTTTGATAGCGTTTTTTAAATTTTTTTTATGTATGTACAATCGTATTTTTTGTTAAGCATGTCCACGTCGCCTTGACTGAGATATTCCCTTTGCCCAATGTTGTCTCCCTTTCCACTGGCACCAGGATGGTTCTGCAAAATCAAACAAGTGCAAATTTTGTACCAAAAATAGCAATCGACTGACTAACCAAAGGTTCCACAGTTTTGGCACCATTTTTTGAAAAATAATTTGTCCCGTAATGCATAATGCTGTCATAGTTGTACGGATGGTCAAACACGCTCGTTTCGGGTGGTGGGTCCAATTCGTTCTCTTTTCGAAAGTTGTTTTCTTGTCCTGTTCCAAAAATTAGTAAACATGTAAAAATTACATCAACAAAAACCTACAGTGTGCAGTGTTTATATAGCCCGAGTCAGGGACAGAGTCCTCTTCCAAATGTTTGTCAAGTGACCGGTACAAACCAACTACTAATAGTAGTTGGTACCGGTCATTATGGGGAAATTTTTGTCGATTGCGAATTATTCGCAATCGTCGCAGAAAAATTGCAGCTTCTTTAACCAATTCCAAAAACCCCACTGGGTCCTCCTGGCAAAAAAATCTTAAAGTTTACTTTACATTTATTAAGCTAATCTAACCCTGCAGGACCACGCCAACTTTTAGTCGTCTACGCCCGTTTTCCAAACCAATGGGGGTGACCAGTGTGTGCAAAAAGTCAGCCTTGTTGCTATTTGTTCCTATTTGCCTATTTGCCTTTTTGCGTGCCTTTTTGAACTGTATAGAAAACGCAATGAATAGCTTTCACTTTAATTTTATTTCTTCTCATCTCGCCAATTCAAGTATGACCAATTTCTCGAATATCAGTTACCAATTTTTAAAATAGCTACTTTTAGACGGTATGGGTCACCCCCTAGGCTACTCTGGTTCCACTTTGTTCGCTTTTAACTTGATATACTTCCATACGAGACCATTAAGTATCACCATACCGAATTTCATCTTTTTAAGACAATTTATAAAAATCGGTATGGGCCACCCCCTAGGATCGCTCCACATAAAAATTTTACTAATTTAACTTCATATTATTTCATTAGGAGCTATTAGAAACGTCAATGGTAAATTTCAGCTCAATTAAATGATTATCAAAAATCAATATGGGTCACCCCCTCGGGTCCCTCCAGATAAAAAATTTGACCAATTTCATTTAATGTTCTTCCTTAAACCCCATACGCAACCTATCTACCAAATTTCAACTCGATATGACGATTTTGACAAATCAGTATGGGTCACCCCCTAGGGTCTTTCAAAATAAAATTTTTTCCAACTTAAATTCATACTCTTTCATTAGACATCATTAGCAACCTCAGTGCCAAATTTCTGCCTTCTATGACAATTTTGAAATTTTGATGCATAATACCCCATCCACCTATATGACCCCCACTGGTCAACCACTTGACCGATTTCGCCCATCTTCGAACTTAACTCCTCATTTGCCCCATACTACATGTGTACCAAATTTCAAGTCGATAGGACGAGTTTAACGAGAGTTATCGTAAGACGGACAGACGGACGGACGGACGGACGGACGGCCGGACGGACATGATGGTTCCATAAGCCCTGACTCGGGCTAAAAATTGGGGAAAAAATTGTAATTTTTCTTAATTATTAGTTATGCACATACCGGGATTTACATTAGCATAATTCACCACGATATACTCATCACGATCGTTTCGCGTGTGTTCATGGTAAAAGCCGACGGCATGAATAATCTCATGAATTGCATTTCCTTTCGCACAGTTCGTGCTTAGTTGGACTTGCTGAATAAAAAATGTGCAAATTAATTAATTGATTAATTAGCCCGTTAACTAGCAGACAGACAGTTTTTTTGAATGCATAATATTCTACAGTGCAGTTAATAGACCTGATTTTTCCTATTTTGCCATCCCACGTACGATGTACAGCCCTGATTCATGGGGTCATTTTGAAATAAAAGCCAATACGCGTCGTCCTTCTTTGCGGGTCGGAATTGGAGGCATGTTCTCGTCGAGAGTTCGGCAATTGCAGAAGTTATCATCGCCTTTTGCTGCGGGACTGAAGCAAAGCAAATTCAATTTCCAATTTATAATTGATAGAGTAATTTTCTACTTGTCAACAACTCGCGTGTCGACATGTGAGTAATTATTTGTCGTGATACATAATTACACAACGATCAAATCACAATTTTATGCATGATTAATTAAGTTCCTTATGCATACAACATAATCAGTAGAGGGCGGATATGTATTTACATTAAATTACCGAAATTCGAAAATAATTACAAAAAACGCATAAATATATACGAAATATGTTAGACCAAACCGACAGAAGCGATCATTTTTTTGAGATAAATCTCTAAATTTGTTTGGATCTAATTTCTTTGGGCTAAAAATTTCGTCTCACGTCGTTGAAATATTTACAAAAATTTACAAAATATACGTATTTTTGAAAAAATACCTAAGATATTTACGTATTTTTCAAATAATGGAGAAAATGTTTACAAATATGTCTTTAAAGTTAAACCTAGAAATATGTGACAATATGTAAAAATATTTCGAAATTTTTTGTGAGTTTTTGTGAGTAGTCGAGCAAATGAAAAAGTTGAAAATACATGCATACATAACCGCCCTCTGATATTCATACGAGTTAAGGACGATTTTCTTAAGTAGATTATTATTAAGCACTTAAAAAATTGCTTACTTATCGTCAACGCAAAGGTGTAGGGAACGATGGCGTTTGGCCAGGCGTGATTTATCAGGCCAGCCTTGTTGAGGTCTTTTGTCAGCACCATGTCGTCAATGACCAAATATTTCTTCGTGTCATTGAAGTCGTCCCTCACAACTGAATATAAATGTGACAAATCCTTTAGTATCGTAATTATGCGAGCAGTTAAAAGCTTAATTAATCTGTAGGCAGGAATGCGCTTATAATAATTAGCTTACACAAGACAGGGTCTGCTCCACTACCTGGCAGCAGCAAAATGATCACAGATTACGTAATTCAATATTAGAATGACACCAAAATTTTTAGAGTGCAATTGGATATATAAATACCTTCCGCATCCTGGGAGGACGATGGTGCCCCGAAATCTTCCCGTATAAAAAATAGTAGCAAGAAAATAATTTGTTGCAGTTTTACATGCCCCATTTTTTATCAATATGGATAATTTGTGTTATCAATTTGAGACCCAAGCTTCGTCTGAGCAGACAAATGGGGATCCTCCTCATATACATATATTTATTATTAGATACATAAATACCCCTAATTCGCAACTGTTTGGATCATGGTCATCACACTGTTTTGCAGGTGCAACTGCATAAAATTGGCAAATTTTCATGGGTAGTTTTCCCAAAAGTATTGTGTGGCAAACAAATGATAGAATTAAATGCAATGCAATAATTTGAGGTCAAAATATTCACAATAGAATCATTGGCTCATTGTGTGGATTACCATGAAATGAGAGAGAAAAAATGGCAAGATGAAATTGGTTGAGCCCAATTCTGTCAAAATGATGACACACAATAAGAAAAAGATGAATGGTAATATAAACATCAGTAATCGATAATCGGTCCATTTCGTGGCAAAATAAGATTAATTTCTTACCCTGGCACATACATGCAGAAAATATTTTCTGCATAATCGTAAACTTCCACCTACGCCACGCTTTCCTTCGTTGTCTCTGCACCAGTTCTGGTCGTATTGCAGAAAGTCTACAATAAAATGAACTCATTTATTTGTCCATGGGAATTTTGCAATCCTCTTCACAACCTGCACAACACAACGAACGACCAAGGCGACCCAGATATGGAAATGCCAAAGCAAGTTCATATGTACATATGTAACAGAATACATAACTATTTTGTGAAAATTGGAGTAATCTGCTATATAGCAAAAGTGTTGCATAGAGAATCTCAGAGAATCTCAGTCTCTGATTATAACATTAAAACTACAATAATTATCCCCTCAAAAAAACTGCTGTTGAAAAGAAATAGAGCTGTTTTTTAAGGGATTATGGATCTGACGCTAAATTGTATGTGGTAAAGTAGTCTCTGTAAATCAAGGGTTGTTTCTAATTAATCATTTTTATGGCCCATTTTACATGAGAGGTACAGATAAACGTGTAGGCTGACTTGTGCTTTGCTTGGTGGTAACATGTCCAGTTCGCTTTTTTTTCTCGCCCAAACTATCTCCCAAACCAAAAAAAGTTTTGACATTAAATGTTTTATGGTCACTGGCAAAATGGTTTTTATCAAAAATATGGAATTTTTCATGTCTTTTTTCTCTCTTTTGGCAGGAGAAGATGTTTGTCGCGTCTTGTTGGTTATCAAATCAAGGTGCCAAAACAATAAGATGACAAATAAATCACGTTCTTTCGCTACGTATGTAAGCCCACGTGCAATTATTACCATTGTTTCGCTCTGTGTGCAATAATTACGGCACATTACTCTCAAAAGCGTCACAATTTAGCCATATTGTTGTGCATGCAGTTCACTCTACATACACACGACCGCGGGGTAATAAATTGTAAATTGATTGTTGATTTATATTTATTGTTCGCTAATTACTCCTTCCTTGAGAAACATGACGATTAAGAGAGAGCAATACTGTACTTCTTGATGTACTCTGGCGATGACAATGATGACGACGATGGCGGCAGCGGCGTTTTTTCTTAATCACACCTTTTCAGGGGAGTCGACGAGGAAAAAGTACATAAACGAACAATTATTATGCACACAAGAGCTAAACTATTGTAATTTGCGCATGGTAAGTGCAGTTGCATTGGATGGATGGATGGGTGAATGCATTATTAAGTGGCGTCAACTGCTTATTGTGATCGTTTTGTCCGTCTGTAGACAGATATCTCCAGAATGCCTCAACATAATCAAACACCGTTTAGCCATTGTGCTTCTAATTTTTAGTTTTCTTTCGAGTTCAGCAATGGGGTCAATCGGACGACCCCCCACAGCGACAGGGGGTGTGGTCCATAAGTAAATTGAATTTAATTTACATATAGCGTGCCATTTTGAAGAAATTTTCACTGCGAAACCAACGCCGTCAATATTTCTGACCTCTGACCAATCCATGATCGTAAGGAGGAGGTCAAAGGTCACAAATACATAATTTTCATATGCTGTCATTTTACATTTTACTGTATGACGCCACTTTTTTATGTTCGTTTGTAACGGTTTATTTATTTACTTGCACTCTGTATTTGTACATGTGTAAAATATGCAAGAGGTGTAAAATGATTAATCTTCATCATCTCTTCAAACAGACGAAGGACGTGCGTTTCAACTTTAAGTCGCTGTTCTTTTAAAATTTGGAGCAATAATGAAATTGTGGTATGGATTTAATCCTCATTTCTTATCAGATATGGCAATTACTAAAATATTGCACATCCTCCCACTCTAAAATCAATTGTATCACTTTTTTAAACACCTTTTTATCCCGATGATCAATCCACCACAACAATAATAAGCGTTTACTTGTGTAATTGTAAATCCTCCTCTGACCAAATTGGGGATGCAGGTCCTCTCAACAATACGCAGTAATTAGACACATGTAGATTTAAAGTCGGTCTGGTCATTGAGCCATGCACTGATTTTCATTGTTAAATTAGTCCATAAATTGTGCACATTCTTCGAGTCATTGCTACCGTGATGCTGCTCAAAACGCTGAAGAAAGTGGCTTCAAGGTTCAGCAATGTTTCTGCCACTGCCACCTCATTTTGTAGAAAGTGTCATTGTTCATAATTTTACGTTTTCTTCACCAAGATCTTTTTGACCAGGTGGTGGTGCATGCATGCCAAAAAAAGCTGTGTAAATCCAACAAGAAAGTGACAAGTGGCCAGTGGGATGGATTTTGCATTTTAAATTAAACACATGTGGCCCGTCAAGCTAAATTTGCAAAATACGAATGGACTACTGTCGCAAATGCAAAATAAACGTCAACTCAATCTTTCCTCGAATCTGGCAAAGTTTCATTGTTACAATGAACGTATGCATAATGCACATTAAAAAATGGAGACAGGACTGACTGGACTGGAGGCTTGTCTAACTCATATCGCATTACATTTATTTAAACAACCACAATTTTCTGAATTTCCATTCATATCAGTCGCCATTTCTCTTAAATTTGATTTGCAGTCTGTGTCTTGTTATCCATCCCTGTTTACGCCTGAACATGAATATCACATTAAAAGGATGACAATTAATGAAGGAATCCAACTTTGTAAACATACCACATGAGACAACTTTTGTATTATTTTTCTAATTTATTAATGCATACTTTTTTTAAACGAGTAGATATGATACAGAAGAAAAAGTACATAGTTTTCGGTCTCATTTGTTTGCATCTCCTCAGTTTTTGTCTACCACACCGTCTCAAACAATGTTACTTGCTCATTGTCTTAAAACACAAATGTATTTGTAATCTTACCCCTTATATTAAATATTCTGCAGTTTTATTTCTTAGGCTGCAGTGCTTCCCCTCATCGATCATGTACACGCAGCCAAGCTTGGGCACTGCCAATTTAATCGGTCACTTTTCCACAAGCCATCCTTTCTTTCACTATATTCTCGTGATTATCATATCAAAAAGGTAACTAACTGGCTGATTGTTTAGTTGGGGGATGGATGGATGGATGGACGCCGAGTGAGATTTTTAGTCAGTGGAATATCCTCAGTCAGTTCATACGATTGCAAATTTCACTTCACTTTATGATTTTATATAATTGTTAAATTGTTGACTTTACGTTTAGTGGTTGGTCTTGGTGTTGAGTGAGATTCTTGAGATTTTTACCGACGACATCTCAACTTGCAACACTTATTATTATTCTTCTCGTACCACGTATTCCTAAATATCTGCTTGCCCTCTGTCACCATTCAGCAAGATCTTGCCCACTTCTGCTCGACGTAAAATAATAAAGTGACTAAAAGGAAAATATTAAAGCACTCTGTCATACGGATACTCACGTCAGTTTACAACAACCAACAACTTGAACCAATCAAAGTGACCAACTTTTGGACTTTCATACATGGCATGGAATCAAGGAGACGCCGTGGGAATGATTTTTGTGGCGTTGTTAAATTGACTTTATTTACTTTCGAACGTGTTTGAAATCCGTGATAAAATTCCCACTTTGGAAAAAGAGTAAAAGTAAGTTGGGCTTTTTTATGGCGTAGTTAATTCCCGATGCATAACGTATCGTCGTTACTGGACTGGATGGAGAGAGAAATGCATAAATATGACACGTTGTAAAACAGTAATTATTAATAGAGGGCGGATATGTATTTACGAAAAATCGCTGAAATGTGTAGTTAATATTTACGAAAAAACACGAGACTATTTAAGGAATATATATGTACGAAAAAAAAGGAAAAAAATATACAATTATCGCGAAATTTTTATATGAATTTTTTGTGGTCTAATTTCTTCGAGCAATAAAATTTCATCTCGTTTCGTTCAAATATTTACAAAATATATTCAAAATATATTCAAAATATATGTATTTTTGAAAAAAAATATCAGAAAGATTTTGCAAATAATAGCTGAAATATTTATAAATATGTCCGAAAGCCTAGAAATAAGTGACAATATGTAAAAACAAAAATTATGATCTAAAAAGTTAAGCACACGCACAAAGTTTGACCGTATCTCGTAATCAATGAAAAAGTTGAAAATAAATACATATCCACCCTCTGATTATTAAAGAAAGCAGTCATAATAATTTGGCTTGTGCATGAAGAGTTGTTATTTTTTACGGTACCAAAACGCAATTTCGTCTGAATTTGTTTACAAATATTGATATCACAACAATAAATTCTGTACGCGATTTTATCAAGAATTGTGTGCACACAAAAGGGCTTCCTCTACTGGTATATTTTTGCCTTTTCACTCCATGTAAAAACATTTCATGTAGAAGTTTTCAACGATTTAAGATTTCGTGTTGATTGATTGATTGAGTTTTTTCACAATTGTGCGTGAATGTTTTTGGCAAACAAAAAATCAGATAAAGTGCGTGAGTGATGTCAAATGTGACGAGGTGTCAATCAAAAATATGGTTTTGGTCGAAAACTTAATTGAGAACACACCCACACACACGTGTAAATCGTAAGCACTTAGGCGTTACATAAAATTATTTTATTTTTTAACTTCGTATTCATCATTCCGTTACGTATGTGGCGACGTCGTAAGAGAAACTAAAGGTCAGGAAATATTGATTCTGTTCGTTTGAAAAGTAATTAAAGGTTTAGGTTTAAAGGTTTAAAGATGTGGGAAAATACACAAAATAAAATTTTACGACGAAATTATGAAAATTTTTACAATAAGCGTGCCTTGTATTGGATGGGAGAAGACTTGAACTTAAGGTCTTTTTAATTTTAGAATCCATTGTGAACTTGGTTAATGTTTGCGACCACATTTACGAGACGACAAATGTTATTGTATTTACATTTAAATTGTAAAATCACAACCTTGCAAACTGCATTTAATTTCTCGCTTTTTCTCAGTAACCAAATCTCCACCTTCGGTTCTGGAAGGTTGACATGTGTAATTCGTCTCCTTAATAATAATGCAGCTCTTATTGTTAGAGTGAGATAGTTTTCTTGGCAGATTTGTAAATTTTAAGAAATTTTAAGCCATGTTCATAAAACGTGGAAGTCGTGGAAGTTTAACCATCTTAAAAGATGGGTGGGCAAATATTCAATGTCCAAAGTGTCATTCGGAGTGTTTTCGCACTTTAAATCGATCAGCAGAGGTAAAATTCATAATTAGTGAACAATTAGCTGAAATAAATACAACCTGCAATCAGATTTACTGTCTAAATACGTAAAGATCCAGTGACCTGAATTAATAACAAATTGCAGCAATTCCGTAAAATGAGCAACGCGGAGTCAACCTTGGACAAAAAGGATGGTGACGTTTCCGACTTGGAGAAACCACCGCCACCTCGGCGACGTTTCTCGGCGCATCAAGGTCCCGACAAGGAACTCGGCAAGACCAACTTGTCCTTCGTCCTGGAAGAAAGTGAGGACGAGGACGAGGAATCTTTCAACCATAAACGACACAAAAGCAAGTACGACAAAGAACAAGAGGTGACCAAGAGTCAAGGGGAAAGTGAGACTGATAAAGTTTCTGAAACTAATAATAACAATAATAACACCGTCATTGTTGCGAAACCCGATGAACTAAACGAGTCACAAATAGTGGTGCAAAAAAGGAAAGAAAGTGAGACGAGTGTTCTTAGTGCGGCGACAACAATTGCCGAAACGACAGATAGGAGACGTTCCAGTGCGGAGATAATTCGACAGAGCCGAGCGTACAAGCGGATTTCGAAGGCTCTCAGCCAAGTCTCGCTTTATCAGAAGGAAGTTGTCTACCAATTGCAAGGAATTGAGGAAGAGGTGAGTCTGCTTTTCTTATTTTTGGACAAAATGGAGAAAATATGACATTTTTCTGTAAAAATATTCACCAAAATTGACATTCTCAATTTATGCATATTAAAAATAATGAAAATGAAAGCAGCCCATTTTTTGCGGCTTTTGGAAACAAAGACTGATTTCGTGACCAATAAAATAATGTGAAATTTGGATATGAGAAACGTGAAAGATATTTGTCACCGACAAAAACATATAATATAATTTAAATTCGAGATTTTCTAAATTGTTTGAATTAAAGATTTTTGAAATTTTTGACTGTCTCTTAATTCGAGATTTTCTAAGTTTCTTCAATTATTTTTGAAATATTTTATTACATTCTCTTTTGGAACTTGTTCTTCATAGAATATTCTTTCTCTGCTACTTGATTACACTTGAGTACAATTTACGTGTTCAATTGCAAAGTAGACAATCGAATCCTACCCTCATAATAAACAACTTTGCATGAAACCTCATATTTTATGTCACCTCTGAACGCACAATGGGAGGATTAAGAAATAATCGGGTAGCCAACAAACACGCGGACGGGTGGGTTCGTCTCATCCTTCTCAGATGACTTATGATGATTGGTTTAGCAGAAAAAAAACATTTTCATTATGAATTGCAACTTCTCGTCTTTTTGTAATTTAAACGGAAAGGTGACCAATAACAATGGAGATTTCCAGCGTACAAATTAGTGTCAATCGATCACAAATTTAATTAGAATGGAATTTGCAAAAGACATGATCTCTCAATTTTGGCAGGGATATTTGAATCCAAATAGGAGAAAATGTGCCTTAAATTTTTCGTTTTCCAAATTTACTGCACGTTCGTTTTCCCCTATTTCGGAATGTTGTATATTGAAACTTTTCATCCAACCTGTATCAAATTTATGACACTTTTTAGCTTATTCACACCTGTGAATTGTAAACCAATTTTTCTACGTATCCTTGTTCCCTGCTTTGTTCTTATGCTAATTACGCCCATCTCATCTCACCTAATGAGATCAAGTTACATTGACAAATGGTTCTCCCTCTTTGTTGGGCAAGGTATGCAAAATTAAGTATTTTGACGCTGCAAACTTTCCATATGTATCGTCAGATAAGTAAGTAAATTCCGACCATTGACCACCAAACCAGGCGCAACTTTTTTTTTTGCATGTACACAATTTTATGGAAGTTGCTTACTGCCTCCTGCATGTTTGTTTGTGTCATATGCAGATCACATCACATTACGTAAATTAACTTTCCTGAGTGCCAATTATTCTCATATTTCATCGAGATACAGATACAGATATACAGCTCTCTTTACTGCATAAAATGAGGTAAAAAAGGTGTGAAGATTATCTTGTACTTTGTACATGGGCCACCTTGGACAACAAGTTTTTACGTATTATTTATGCTGCAATAACTACTAGGAGATATGTAGACAAAGACGAGTAAAATAAATAATACTAAATATTTACCAATTTCTAAAACATTTTATGAAATGAAATTTTAATTGAAAAGATAAATGGGAATTAAATTAAGTTAATGTTATGTTATGTTAAAGTAGAAGCTCCCCTTCATTCAAGACAAAGAGATGAGGTCACTCATTCATTGTTTACTTTTCTCATATTTGTGTAGGATTCTCAAAAAATAGGTACTTTTTGCTACTATCTTACGATTATTTATGGAATATGTATGTACTACATATTCCATAAATAATCGTCTCCTGCTTTGATATGACACTCTCTGAAGAAGGGATAGGCCACCAACCAAACATCTAAATAAAGTCTGCCTTGTGGTTGGTCAACATTTAGGATTTTTTTACAATGACAAGTGGAATTTAGAAAAATAAGTGACCAACCAAAAACAGAAATGATATATCGAGGCCGATTAGGTACGTAAGGACGATTTCGTGTTATTACACGAAGTGACATGACATGACACGATGATAAGTACATGCATGATACCTAAGTATTTAAGGAGGGAGGTGGAGGATAGGCCAAAAATATTTATTATGTGCACGGAAGATAAGTTATGTAGTTGAGCAGAATCAAATAAAAGTACTCATTACGTATTTGTTTAGCAGCAATTACAATTATCCTTGGCTTAAAAATAAGTAAATGGTGTTTGATTTGATTCTGCCTTCAGTGCTTAAAAAACGTATTTGGACGAGGACGAAGGGACGGGACAGGACACATGGCATTAATTTCACTCATTGATGAGCACACAATTACATAAGCTCGTGATGTGACGTCCTTTTACTTAATTCCACTCATTTAACAGTGTAATTGGAGAAAGCTGATTGAATTTTTAAGCATAATGATCAAAATTTCTTCAAAATTGTTGGAATCACCTTGATAATTGATTGTATTTTACTTTGGTGAAAATTATTACCAGGGTGTGCACGTGCCATAAAAATGTTTATGCATGCATGTCGGATAAGTTAGAAACGTAACTGCAGTTTTTTTTGCCTAATGAAGCTTTGAAAACCTTAATTGCTCTGGGTTATAAGTTGCTCCGTTGTGTGGTTGACAGTTCAAATTGCATTCTTTGATTTGTGTGGTCGGAACACGCTACACGACGTGGACTCGATATCGGAATTTGGCTTCTTTTTAAAAAATTCCCTTCTTCACCGATCTATAAATTTACTTTACGGGCACGATTTGTGGGGTACGAAATGAAGAACAGGTCCACCAAGAGTATGAATATTTGAAGAATTGACATCCTAAAATGGCCGTAATCAGCGGAATTTCATCCATGAAAGGACTGATGATCAACTATAACGTGTCATTAAGTTGTTACTTATGCGTGAACAAGTGAACATTACATTACTGAGAATCAAGTCAGGGATGAGATGTATTCATTGTTGCCCATTTAATCCCATCCAATCCAGTAATTATGGTTTATTTGATGTCCCCCCGCTGTTCCGTATTAGTCGAACGTAATTACCTTGCATACCCGTTTGACGCCTTCTTGCTGACTGCATTTTCGCTATTATTATTTAGCAAGGTGCGATTATTAGCGGAATAATTGGCAATTTTTATGCTTTGTTAGCCGAAACTTGTAGATATGTACATATGTACATAAGACATGACATAAGTATGATGTATGCATAATAAGTTGTTGCGACAAGGACGAAAGATTTATATTTATTCGCGTCGAATGTCACACGCAAAATTGTTTTAATTTACTTGTTAACTTTGAAGAATTTTGGATGGCATGTGATTACAACGTCAAAAGATTGGCCATTCTTGAAAAAGTGAAAGTCCTCTTTCTCATTGTATCCGTCTCTTCATTGCTGCAAAAAACATGGCTAAAATGATAATTGTTTTAATAGCGTTATTAATAAAATTTGACAACAGTTTTTTAAGCTTGGTTAATTATTATTTCAGTTAAGAATATATGAAGTACATAGTTTTTTTTTATTTACAAATTTTGATTACAAATTTCAATGCTATTATTGCACTATTCAAAATTTTGATAACACGTGGATCAAAAATTTGGTTTAAAAATTCTACTTGTAGATTGTTTCCCATCCAATTGTCCATTATATGACACCTGGTAAACCTAGGGAAACACTGAGGGAACTCACGTCAAAGTTTGTAACCTTCGTAACTGCGTAAGGTTTGTAAGCTTACAAACTTTTACGAACTTTTACACACATTTCTAAGGAAAATTGACTTACGAACATTTACGAAACTTACGCACTTCAAACGCATGTTTTTGGTTCGTAAACAAAAGTTCGTAAATAATTCGAGTTTGATATTTGCATTTTCGGTTGAAATTGTCTTAGAGACGAATTGTCTATTGTAATTTTTTTGTGATTTCGTCCCATCAACATGCAAATTAATTTAATTATTTAACAAAAGATTGCTGCCAGCCGAAAATATTGGTCGCTATCCGAAGTCCCCAAATGTTAAATCCGGGCTAAATTGACACACTTCATCCAGTGGGGATCGATCAATCGATCGGTCTTGATCATACGATCATTTTGGTATATTATAGAATTTTGTGACATAAGAAATGGCTGTGTAATTCCTGAAAAACTGATATTTTAGGCAAAAAAATTCAAAAATAATTACATTTCATTTGGTCTACGCTAGGATAAAGTTGGCTAGCAACATTTTGATGACGTTTTATATGTGATATTTTTTTACAAAAAAAAGTTTACGAAAATGTTTACAAAGTCAACTCACGTCAAGAGTGTGTAAACTTACAAACCTAACGCAGTTACGTAGGTTACGAACTTGACGTGAAATCCCTCACTGTAAGAGCGAGAGAGCGACTATACGGCGTCGAAGTATAACATTTTTTGTACACTAATCTAATTTATTTTTCTACTTACAATATTTTTTCACCGTTGTTTTTCATCTGTATTCAAAACAAAATGTCCATAAATACTTCATTCTCCTTGAAATTATGTATGAACAATTGTATTTCAGGCCTTGGCTGAAGGTACGATTTGTAGACTTGTTTACATGTCATGCCACTGACGAAAGTTTATTTTATGGCAATAATGCCCAACCTGTAAATGAAATGCCTAAAAATATGTAAAAATGGGTTTCTTTAACTAAACTGATTTTATTTAGTGAAAAAGTTTCCCCCATCACTCTGCGTGCGATGTGAGTACAATTTACATAAGAATCTGTCTAATGTAATGTGTAAATGCTATTTACTTTTATGGTTATTACGACAAGTGCTCTGTGAGGAGCCGCATGCTACCAACCACTACTTATTATTTGTAGTATTATTATTATTATTACAAAATGCGCACTTGTGGTTTGGTAAGAGTAAAGTACGTACGTAATTCTCAACAAGTCATATGCAACCTTTGAGTTTTCATAGCGTCAAAACACCGTACTGAGATTCCGCATGAGTATCATTTGTCATCATTTAAGTTGGACTTTTAAAGCTTAAATGACCACCGAGTTGTCAAATGTTGGTATTTGTTTGTACATAGTTTTCCTTGGGACAAAAAATTTGACAAGTAATTTGCCTTTCTCTCTAAATACAAGCCTTTTGTACGTACATGTGTCCCAGTGTTTTGGGTGGAAGTGACCACTTGCAAGAAATAACGGGGAGAAAGTGATTTCTTGCAGCTAAATATTTTGACCTGCAAGAAATGCAAGGCACAAGAAACTACGTCCCGTCGCTGTATTCCATACGGCGCGTGGCTAGATGTCGCATATTTCCTGCACTTTCTCCCAGTTTCTTGCACCTCGAATTTCTTGCACTTCTTGCCTTGCAGTGCTAGAAATGTAGCAAACCCACAAGAAACGAAACCCTGATATACCTGGCCTGCACACATGAATGGAAAAGTAAGTCACATAAGAAACGCTGCAGGGATTGGATTACGTATGTTTGGCTGATTTTAATTCTAAAACCACGACAAGAATGCAATGCCGTCATCCAAAGAAAAAATCGTAACTTTATTACTACACACCTTCTGGCAGTTTTGATGATCTCCTGCTCATCTTTCACCCAAATAATGGAACACTTGCCATAAAAATGAGCACAATATGTGTGCACGATGAGGACGATGGGGTATAAATGTCAAATTTGAAATCCACTCGTATTGAATGCAGTCTGAGAAACGAGGCACGACTGCCCATCAGGGACTCGTGGTCACAGCAGGAAAGAAAGGACAGGTGGGTCCACGTATGTACATTTGCATCGAGGGTGCAGTTTTCGTTCAGAAAATCAATTGGAGGTGGTTGAATTTACACAAACAGCGCTTTCTGACCCAATTATACAAGGGCTTGTAACTAATTTTAAACAATGGGGATGTTAAGTTGGTTATTGACATGGCATTGCTCCATCCTCGAAAAATTATTAAATTTCTGCTTCAGAATTGGCATCTGTTCAAAGTATTTTTATTTTTTGGGGTTTCATTGACACCTGATGATTACCATTTCACTATTTGTGACCACCTCGCTACTTTGTGTGCTGTAATAAGTAGGTAGCGAAAGTTATGGGCAAAAGCATGCAACAATTGACAATAAAATTCTCATAAAGTTGACAAAATTGGCAGGAGTCAATTTCTCCATGTGTTGCATGTAATTAGCATCGTGCACATAATATATGCACATTTCATTAATTAATTATCAGATTGACAGTGTCATTCACATTCATGACGAGATGACGCAGTATTGTCGTGAAGGACATGCGAAAATTAGGTGTGCTGTAATGTTACACGTCATGTTCGAAATGTATGTACATAATTGAAAGATGTCGCATGAGATCCACCCACCTTTGTGGTAATGAAATGATGATTGCATGACGAGTTAAACCCAATAATGAACCACAAATTAGCACCTTTCTTTATACGGTAAAATTCTATTTCATTGTTTTCCCATATTTTATGAGTTTTCTCTTGGTTTGTGGATATTTTGGTGCAGGATAACTAGCTCTTGCTTTAACCATGGTATACTTCATAAGAATTGATGTATTCCATGAAGCTAGGAGTATTTTATGTACATACTCTTAATTTACACTTGTATTATAATCTCCGTTATAATTTTTTGATTTAAATGTTATTGGTTATGCAAATTAACAAGGATATACATTTCAAATCATCCTTCGGATAAATGTATAATTTATTAATCAACGAACATTACAAAAACATTAAAAAAATTGAAAATCTGTTATGTATCTATTTCTTAAAAATCCGATTACGTTTCGTAAATTTTTGCGCAAAAATAACCACAGTCCGTAAGAAATTATTTATCAATGTATTTTATAAACCGGACAGTAGTGTCAAGTGTTGTACATAAATACATATGTATGTACTCGATTTCATATTTATTATGATCACCATCATAAATGTGTGTACACCAGCCAGTCCGGTTATTAAAATGTCAGTGTCAAGTTTTATTAACCTCATGAAGAAATTATCGGATTTATGTGTAGCACGTTTCTCCGTCCAAAACCACCAATCACGCAGTTTATTCCAGGGAAGAGAGATAGAGAGCCCCAGTCTACATGGAACAGGCAGTTGTATTCTTGTCATGTTAAAAAAAGGGGCTGCACTTTCGAGCAAAACTGCCCGAAAGTTACAGCCCACTTTCAGGGCAACATGAGAATTAGGTAAATATGAGACTTGTTGGGAAACTTTCTCATGCAGTAAAATAAATTATGCAATTGTTCGAATCTTGGAGGACCTTTAAAAATTAAATAAATAGTTTAATTCTAAAACCAACATGCTGGATACAATACAATGTGATGACGTCGATACGTTTCAAGATTTGATCTTACTAATAACATACGACGACACGAAGAGAATATCTAATAAATATTCTCTGTGATAAAAATTGGGATTGATTTTACGAGCAATAAAATTACGCACCAAACCGAAATTAAAATGACTATAAAATGAATTGTTAGAATAATTAATTGAGATATCAGGGATTGAGGTGACGATTAAGCTATTACGATAATTAAAACTAATGAACTATGATTCTAAATCATATACAAACAACATTTCATTTTTTCTTAATCCAACGTCCATGAATGTCGGAGGAGTTGGATTGCCTTTGGACGTCGTCTTGCAAGGAAGACTGCGCTTGGGGAAGTTTGTGGCGATATCAAAATTGTTGGGTGCTTCGGCATGACTAAAGACAAACTGGTAGAGATGCTATATAAAGCAAAAATAAATAAATCCATTAATATTATTTTCATGAAGAGAAGAAGTAGAAATAAATAATAATTAATTACCGATAATGAATCTGTTTTAAGAAAACGTCGTTCCAGTCTTGTACCATTTGGAATCTTAATTATGGTACGGATAGTGTCGGGATGATCGACTGGGGGTTGATCTTCAGTGCTTCACCAGCTTCCTTTTGCTGCCGTTTAATATCCTGTAGAAAGAAAACAAAAAGTTTAATTTTTGTACGACATATTAAACGGATTAAACATAGGATATTTGTTATTCCAGAACTAACTACTTAATAATAATACTTACAATACACACACCTCAATATGTTGAATTTCTTCGTCGATTTTTCCTTGTTTTTCCATTTCTTCTTCCTGTAATTTCTTTACTTACTCCTTCTTTCGTTTCTCCTTTTCCTGATCAGCTTTAAAACTTTGTAAGTAGGCTTCGTCCTGTTGCTGACGTAAATGTTGCGTCATGTCCCGTTCATAGCGATCCTGTCTTGCAGCGACAAGGAAATCTTCATTGTCAGCAACACCTTGGTGAAGTCAAGGGAGCACCACCGAAGGATCTGTTTCTCCTTCAATTCTAAATACATAGTAACTTTGTAAATATTGTGGGCGCGAGCAGTACATATAATACATAAATATAGCAAATCGGTATTAATCAATTTTACCTTCGCACAATGGTCATTGGATTATTTTTGTAGAACAATAAGAGCTAAGAATGGGTATTTATTCTCTCTCCACACTTGTAGGGTTCGGTAGCCCTCAGGCTTGGAAACTGAACAGGCCCAGAACAACATGTTTTCATGCACAAAGTCGTTAAAATATGATGTCGTAATGGTATCACCAGTTGACGATCCTTTGCCGACACTTTTCTCATCTTTTTCATTGACCAGCAGGACTTCCTAAAATTCAAAATCACCAAATTAAAAATACAAATGTTCAAGGGAGGCCGTAGTTTTCATAAAGTTAAGCTGGCTAAAAATTGCAGGATTTTGGTGCATTGCTGGATGGTGAGTTGGAGGATTTATCGACCCAGAGCGTGTCACCATTCTCTAGATAATACAAATTACACCAGAATTAAATCCATGTAAATAGTGTGGTATTTTGCGGAGCAATTTTTGATTATATGTATGTAATAAATAATCTGCAAACCAGCCTAGCCACAAACTCCACGATAGGTACACGACCCGTGTGTCGTAAACGTAATAGGCAGTATATTGATAAACTGCAAAAAAGAACATTTAATCATTATTTTGACTCTTGGGACGACTTATTTCAAAATTACTCACCCTTTGGAAGGTTTGAAGTTTTGTTTAACTAAAATGCGTTTGCCACGATCCAGACATTGAATATTTATGTTACAACGTTATGGAATTTTAATAGTAATAAGTAATACGTTTAGAATCAAGTTGTTTATCTTTTAAATATTTGTTTTCTTAATTTTAATTAACACTTTTCGTGTGAAATGAAAAAAGTAAACATTTTTAAGCAGGTGAGTGTGATTTGAGATTGCCGCAGATTTGGGTGAAAGTGGGAGTGCCACCTGCTGCTTAGCTCCGCCCCTCCCCTGACCGTTCCCTTCTGAAATGCGCTATCTATATAGAGTGCTGCTGCAACACAATCTCTCATCTATGGTTTATTCGTCAAGAATTTCAGAATCAACTGCAACAAACATTATTTCTTTCGTGCAATCTCAAGTTTTCTGCAATACAAAAAATCCTACGGGAATTTTTTTCTGTTTCTAAATAAATACGATGCATTTTAGACTTGGTTCAGTTTTACCTTTGAACATTTGTTTGTATTCTTGGTTGAATTATTGCCGCAAGGAAACGCCTCGTAATATTTGCATGAGCGAGTACCTATGACTATTTTTACAACACTCAATAAGAAGGAACGCATAGCCGATAATAACGAGGAAGCCGACCTATTGACTATTAATGCTACGTAGTTGCTTATTATTGGGTGGGAGATAATGGGAGATAAAACTCAGTGATAGTTTTTATTACCAAGTTGAAGTATTGTTAAAGGCCAGGCCAGCAAATGCATCCTTTGTTTAATTTAAGTTAGCTGTTTGTTCACCAAAAATATCCGGATTATCCCTAATTCTTATTACTGTCGAATACAGATAATCAGGTGCAACAGCAAGTGCCCTTCTTTCTGCGTCACGATTCGTTCTGATTTTGACTTTGATACTAATTTTGTATTGTTCTAAACTTGAAAGAAATCTGTATTATGACATTTGTGCAGTAGCATGATACCAATTATTACTTTGGCAAATTATGTTCCCCAGTTTAAATTGGGCTTATCATAAAATCTAGAAAATATTTTGATGGAAAGATAGTATCTGTATTAGTTTGTTGTCTGCCAGGACATTTTGCAAAAATGTTGTGCACAATTTTGAATAGCTTGCAGAAATAAATGAAAGTCTTGTAAACATTGGGTTTTGCACAACTGAAAGGTATCATTTGTGAAGATGCATATGCAATTATTTGCAAGGAACAAACAATTTGCAAACTTCGAATGGAATGCATGCCGAGAATATTCAGGAGTTTAATATCATCAATGATGCGACCAACCAATTCATGGAAAATGTTTTTGCAAGAGTAATAAACAAACGCTTATCTTGACTCCTCAAATATTTTTTCAAGTTCAATTTCGCACAATGAACTGGCATAAACTTCCTATTTATCCACCGATGTTCAGATAAGTATCCGGGTATTTGGCGTCATTCTCACTTAACAGAATTTAAATTCGCTTTGCGACGACAATAACCTCACTCAAATTCTTCCGATGGAATTATGTTTTAAATTGAAAGACATGTACCCCACGTCAATCAGTGCTATCTATTTGTCATTGTCATTTTTAGCCATCTTTCTCGTGATTTTGATACGTAATGATTTCTTAAACCATGTTTTTGCGCCATGAAGCATGTGTTCAATGACAAGACAACAATGACCAAGAAATTATACGAATGACAGTTTGGAGTGTGAGGAATAATCGTGCTGGACAAATTAGTAAAATATCTCTGGGGGAAAACCACTTCCAAGCAGAAAATTCTGCAGAAATTGGGAATGACATTGCATTTTAGTTATTACGTTAACCACAAAAAAGTAAAAGTAATTGTCTTCTTGATACTTTTTTAGTAGAGAAACAAATTAGGTGATGACCTGTACGTTGTATTGTTTGCGTGTTAATTCGACGCTTACAAGCCCAGGAGGAGAGCCGATTATGTAAAAGTCTTTGAAACCGATCACGCCACACGTACACGTTACAGGACGTCACCACATTTTTGATTGTACGTCACTGTAAATGAATTAGTAATTCGTTAACCTTTCAAAAAGCGGTATGAATAGATTACTAACGTAATTGGAGACTTGATACATGCGCGAATTAATAAAAATACAAGGAGAGAGAGATTACAATCAAAATTCACACCATCATCATCTCCATCCACCAACTTCTCAATCGGCTGGACAAATTATGATTATGCAGACCATTTGAGCCTGGGTATTTTCACGATGAATTCTTCTTCCATTGTTTCTTCACTTGAAACAACAATGACTTGCTTGGCCATAAACACATCAATTTTCTTCAGAACCTCCAGCTCACTAAAATATACCCACAGACTTATTAGCTCGCCCAACAACACGGAAAGGTACTGACTGAGATGGAGGGTGGAACATCATTTTTATGCATAAGATTTTTTTTTCAAGTCGCTGTTCGTATCTTTAAGACTTGATGATGATAATGGTAATAATGTGTTCCTTGTGCTTGTGTGTAGATATGTACCACATTTTGCAGGCAGAGTCTCAGAATAGCTTGATTTGCCTCAAGTTTTTTTGTCCGATGTCTTCAAAAAGTTTATAAGTGTGTTCAACTAACAGAACATAATCCATCCGCTCATTAGGCGTTTAATGTTAAGACTGGAAAATGAAACATCAATCAAACCGTCGAAAGGATTAGATTTTTAGTTTGCGAGTGAGTGTTGGCAGGCATGCTTGGATGAGGTTCATTCTTGTGTGACATTGTTGTTCCAGAAATGTGGTGGTCGTGTCGTCGTAGATTGTTGAGATAAGAAAGTAATATTTTCGGAATTATAAAATTTTTGGAAATTGGAAATAGTTTTTGTCATGCGTTAACGCCGTGACAAATTTTAAAAAAAGAAAGCGTGTGGATTGTTTTTCTCGAAGATTTCCATTGCGTCCAGTGATGATTTGGTGTACGTGATTAATAATTTTATTTGTACGGACTTGTCAATGCTAATTGACATGCTAATTTAATAAAGTTCTGTGCTCACCCACAATTACATTGCCAATTAGCACAAAAGTCGCCAAAAAAAGGGAGACAGACGTGTGACATTGGACAATTAGTGGTCGAAATGTGTCGCATTATAAAACCATCAATTCATTCATTCATTCATTTGATTAGCTCAACTCAACAATAGTTGACGACGACGCTCCGTATAACCAGATACATTTCCTCAGAATGAGATTCACCCGTTGACTCGCTGCTGCAGAACCAGTTCAGTTAATTCCAGAATGATTATTGTGTTTGTTAACGAGTCGTCGCAAATATTTGTATTGTTTTATTAGCACGAATAATCGCGTATTTGCTAATCGAGGCCTAGACCTTTCGACGCAGCGTGAAACTTGTATTGTGTTCGTGCCCTCCGACTTTTTTCTGAATGAGTTAAATTTGCGACTTTTCAAGCATCTATCCAGTATCTACTGCCAACAATTAAAATATTCGGTGGGGATTGCTACTGAGAAAAAATAGCACCCACCCAAAAATAGCGTCATTAATTCATTCATTTCATTACACCAATTTATCCAGTAACAACGAACACGGTTTATTACTTCTCTGCTGATTAGCTTAAACCAACAAAGGGCAAGTTTGCATATAAAGGTGTGTGAATACTTTCGGTAAAGTCACTTGAGTGAGATTGACGTGGTTTTACTTTGTGCAGTGAAAACCTTATTATTATGCGGGACACGGCGTCGTCGTCGTTCTCTGCTGGATATTAGTTTATTTATGGAATCTTGACATTGTGAGGGTTACCGATAAATTGGCCGTATCGCGAATATTTAATTGAGTGTGAGATTAGTTTTGCGTAACAGTGGATGTTGCGTGTGGGTGGTTGAAATCTTGTCAGTATTGAGAACATGGTTCAACAAAAGCAGGAAAATCAGGGGGACCAAGTTCAGTCGAATAATGGGAAGAGTAGCCCATTAAAAATGTCACAAGTAACGAATTACCTCCACAACCGGAATAAAAGGAGGCAAAAATCCAAATCTGAGGGGGACGTGATGCCCTTCAAGGCACCCGAAGTATTAAGCAAGCACGAATTAACCGAGAAAAACGGGCATCACCAAAAAAATGGTAAAAATGGCGACACACCGAAGTCTTGTTCCATTGAAGAGGACTTGGCCAGTAGTGGAATCCACTCAGAATCCACAAGTCCGGACAGTGCGGCAGGAGGAAACGTGCGGAATCGGAGGTCTTCTTCCTCCTCCGCGTCCAGTAATGTGGGGATTATTGACATCGAAAACGACGTTTTTCTCCCCGACGGAAAACGTAAAGAAGCCACAGATTATCAATTCAGTACAAATTCGATTCCAGTCGAAATCGGAAACTTTGAGGTAATCGAACTCGGAGAAAACAGCTCAAACAGTTCGTCACTGTCATCAAGGACGGCACACGCGACAAAAAGTGATCTCTTCCTGGCCAGACATCGTCTCTACAAGAGTCAGACCAGCACCAGCACGACGGGCAGTGGGGTGGACAACCTGGCCTACATTAGTGAAGAAGTGGACGATGGCTTTTCCGTCGTGGTGGAGGCGAAGGGAAAAGCGGACGCGGTTGACATCGAGGGAGAAAGCAGTGGTTGCGAGTATGTGGACTGCTCTGCTCTGGCGAGTCCGTCCATGCAGGAGGAATGCTTCCTGGAAAATGCGCACCGGAAGTGTATCAGAGATTTGAGGAAAATGGTGCAGGCTGTGACGATGGGACAAAAAGGGATCAGCGAGGTCATGTTTGTTGACATATTTAGCAAAAAGGTTAGTGAAGACGTTCTCCCTGGCTGGTTGATCTAAATCAATTTATTTATTTCAGTGCAAATATTGTTTTACAATATTGCCAAAAACAGAAATCTGCACTGGAAGTAAATAATCTCACTTATCGCAGATGCAAATCTGTTAACCAGTTGATCTCAGAATGCAAATCTCTCAGCGTATGCTCTGCGATTTCGACCAAATTAGGGTCAATCGACCACAAATTTAATTAATATGACATTTGTACAAAAGGCGTTAGGACATGGTTTTGACGAATTCGCGGATGAATATCTCTGGCGGGGAGTTGAATTTTGAACTGATTTTTTGTAGGCTGTAAGATCATACTCTCAGAAAGATATGTTTAAAATTTTAGGGCGATAGCTTCAAAAATGCCCCCTCCAGTGCCCCCAGAGTTGGAAGGAGCCAAAAAAACACTTTCCAAACTGAATTACTCATATAGCATGATAACCCAAGAGGTCAGAGGTGGATGATTGTTAATATTACAACCCTAGATAATCATTGCATGAAATAATAAAAGAATCCACAATGAATTACATAACGTTGTGCCTCCATCGTCGCTGATACTTTTCCATGAAAAGTGATAAATCCGGCCGTGCACCGGGAAATTGACCTGCTGACCTTGAAAACGGACAGACTGGGTCAAATGAAGATTGAGGGTAAAGCTGGAAGTGTCCTAAGTAATATTAAAACAAACAGTCAAGATTTTGTATAAACAGTTTTAGAGAAGGACCCGAGTTAATCAGCTGTCGTGGAATCCTAAAAAACTCGTGAACTTATTTGGAAAATTAATGGTAAAATTTTTTCGAAAATAAATTTTAATAATCTTTTGGTGTCCCCTACTGCAGAACTATTTTATCTACAAGGTACAAGTGCCAAAATAATAAAATTATTGCGTTTTGGTTAGTTAAATTATTTCTGAAGTTCGACATCGAAAACGACGGGAACTTTTCCAAAAATTTTATAAGGTCTGATGAAAACTCAGTCCGTGGGGTATAACCACTTATCAAAATTTTGTCAAAAGTACTTACAGTGCAATATACTATATGTACCTTGGATAAAAACCACGTTAGGGATTTTTAGCATCAAACTCGTAAAATGTGGGGGCCTTAAAAGTGGAAGAGTTGCGTTAAAGAGCGCATTCCATTAGGACAAGTATGAAATTAGACTGCAAAACGGACTTAAAAGATAAGCATAAGGCAAAAGTGGTTTTATATAGTGAAAAGCATGCTAAGTCCATTGATAATAGTCGCAAAGACGATTTTTGCATCAGGACCTCAGAAAAAAATATATCGCTCAACGCCATTTTATAAGAACACTGGTTTGGAAAACTAAAAAAGGACACCTCTCCAAATTTGACCTTGCCTCATTTCGCAGAGTACACAAAATCGGAAGCCAGATATGCTTACCTATAGTTTGAGACATGGGCTTTCAAATAAAAAAAGTTAGAAATCTCTACGACTAAAAACCATCCCACAATTAAGGTATGAATTCGTCAAAACCATGTCCTAACGCCTTTTGTAAATGACACTATCGCCCAATAACACGTTTGGTAAAGATATTTGCATCCAAAGTCTGAAAACGCAGTAAATTTGAAAAGTATAAAATTTGTGTACGGTAGATTATCACGAAAATATTATCTATTAATAACTACTGTTCATCCCACGATTGCTTGACCTTAAGTATCTAGGTAACGCGTCTCCCTTAACGGTTGCGACAAATGGTCGAGTTACAAATAAAACATTCATTTTTAAATCGTTGGTTCAAAAACGGCGTTTGAGTCTCCAACTACTTTGACCCTTAATAACTTTTGAATGGGCAGACATAGAGACTTAATTATTTAGGATTAAATCATCGTAATTTTTAGCTTGATTTTTTAAGCTAAAAATCTCGAGGGTACTATTTCGAATAGTAAACTTAAAATCTCCAGTGTGCAGCCCGAGTCAGGGCTTATGTACTCGTCACGTCCGTCTGCCCGTCTTGCGATAACTGTTGTAAAACTAATCCGATTGAGTTGAAATTTTGAACGCATGTAGTATGGGTCAAATGAGGAGTTAAGTTCGAAGATAAGCGAAACAAGTGGTTGACCGGTGGGGGTCATATAAGTTTGTCGGGTATTATGTATAGAAATTGCAAAATCGTCGTAGAAAGGTGAAATTCGGTACAGAGGTTGATAATGGTTTCTACTGAAAAAATTTTTACAAAGTACAATTGTAAAAATTTTTATCTGGATGGACCCTACCGATATCTAAAACTCATCCAATAGAGCTGAAATTTTTGTGGGGATTGTTAATGGCTACTAATGGAAGAGTATGAATTCAAGGTATTTTCATCTGGGCAGACTCTATGGGATGATCCATACCAATTTTTCAAATTCGTCACATCGAGCAGAAATCTGATAGAAAAGTTGGTAATGGCTCCTAATGTAACAATATGAATTAAAATAGGAAAAAATTTCAGAGTTTATTAAGTTAGTGTTTTGTAATGGTTTATGCCAAAAATAAATTATATGCACATGTTCGTTACGAATCCTGCTCTTAGAATCAGTGAATAATGCAATCTTAAAAGGCCCCGCAAAGTTGCTTTCTTTTTAGCCTCAGTAAGTTCTTATCGAACCATATGTCCTTCCGGAACACGATAGACAAAATGGCTGAACAGACTAAAAAAAATATGCACCCCACAAGTTTAAATGTATTTGGTACAATAAAATTTCATTGAAAATGTTTGGTTTGACCAATAACTGCAGTCTGACTCGGGGTACATAAAGGTTGGAAATTTCAAGTTTACTATTCGAAATAGTACCCTCGAGATTTTCAGCTTAAAAAATCAAGCTAAAAATTACGATGATTTCATCTTTCAGAATTAAGTCTCTATGTCTGCCCATTCAAAAGTTATTACAGGTCAAAGTAGTTGGTGTCTGTGCGATGGACTTCAGACACCAATGATTTTAAAAATAATTATTTTATTTGTAACTCGACCATTTGTCGCAACCGTTAAGGGTAACTAGGCACTAAAAGTCAAGCAATCGTGTGTTCATCCAGTATTATTCACGATTAACTGACATCGTTTCTATGGGCGGTGCCCCATACGGTTGCGACAAATGAATTATTTTGAAAAAAAATTTTCATTTTTAAATCTTTGGGCCGGAAGTCCCCTTGTCGGGCCCAACGACTTTAACCTTGAATAACTTTTGAACAGGCAGATATGGAGACTTAATTCCTGAGGTTGAAATCATCCTAATTTTTAGCTTGATTTTTTAAGCTAAAAATCTCGAGTGTACTATTTCAGAAAACTAAAACGTTTATTTTGAAGAATATCTCCAAAATATAAGTTTTTCAGGAATTTCACAGCCAATTCTTATCTCACAAAATTCTATAATATACCAAAGTGATCGTATGATCTAGACCGATCGATTGACACCCCACTGGAGGGTGTGAGATCACTTGAGCCGGATTTGACCTGGGGGGTCATCTCAATCTTCCAGCTTAGCAACGGTCCACTCACACCATTTTTTCAGTACATAATTTTAATTTCTTCAAAAATGAAAATTTGTGTTGGAAACAATTCATTTGTCGCAACATGTATAGAATGATAAAGTGTCAAATAATATTGAGTATTATTAGTCGCAAAAAATTCTGAAAGGTTACCTGGCAGATTATTTATTTTTCAATTAGCAACCAAATAACCTCTCAGAAAATTTTCCAAGAAATTGCGACTATTAATATTGGATGAACAGTAATAATAAATGCATTTTGGAAATTTTTTACAAATGACGTTGAGCTGAGTCCAAGAATCTGCAAAAATCACAGTGTTGTAAGCCTGTGTCTAGCCGAATGATGTAAATAGTTTAGCCTCCGGCAAAGTATTTACACGGCTGAATAATGTTTTGTTGATCACTAAAGCCGGTGATCAAGAAGATTTTAGAGCTACAAAATATGCAGTAAATAATGCATGTGCGAGAGAGGTGGACAGCACCACGCCGCCCATTATTTCATGAGACATATAGTTAATATTAACAAGGGTTACATAGATTCAGCCTTCGTCATGAGAAACTCTAATCATAGGTCCGGGTCTCACTTTTTGGCGAAAAAAAAATCACGACTCGATTGATGACTTGTTGGTTGGTGGGGGTGCTGCGAAATATGTAGTTTCCTCACTCTGAGTATTGGTGATCTCAGCTTAGTTTGTAGATTGTTGCGCTTTTATTGTGGTCGTGTGTGAGTGACGGATTGCACCTGTCTCATTTTGGTTAAACCAGGTTTTTAAGCAGTGAGATTTGAGACTGCGATGATTTGCAGGGGTGGACAATAATGAGTTGAAGGTTGCAAAAGAGAGTGAAAAAAATTACACCAATTTATTTAGTTCCTAGTCGAGAATACAGTACAACATTCTTATATGACGAATGTGATGGACAGATATCATTGACGAAAACCTGAACGTTAATTATTTTCCGGTCGATTACAACCTTCTCGATATCAACATCAATTAAAATATCTATTTCATGTGTGTAAGTGGTTTCAATTTGTGACATTTCACATATTGCAAAGTTTTCAGTAAACAAACTGCATGCAAAATTAAGAGTAATTTACATATGATCAGATAATTATATGCAAATCAATTTGTACGAATTGTCACATCCTTTTGCTTATGAACTAAAATTGACTTTTAATCAATCAAAGTATTTTTTGCATATCAAAATTATTAAGCTACATACGTACGAATGATTAGCATATGTAATATTGCACTATAAGAATACTGATATGCTTCGCGTGGCTCGTCTCATCCTCAGCATGGTTGTGAAGACCTTGACGTGCAGATCGTCTCGGTCCTGCTGCATAAATCTAATTTTGAATCTGTCAAGTTTTAAATTATTCCATGTGTGTAAGTACTTACGTCTTACTGTTTTTTGCTCATTGATGAAATCGAAATGTCGTGGCATTAAACAAATCACGAAGATGATGATGACGAATGAAGCTGGCTGGCACAAGAATTTGCAAAGTTTTACTTGATCAAAAGTCTCATAGTGGAATTTGAGTGGTCATTTTGGAAACAATTCTTGTCCAATACAATTTAAATGTACCGGAATACTTTCCCGTGAATTCAGTTTAATTTAATTGAATGACATCAGCAGAATGTCGTGTCACTCTTCTCAGAATGGATTCTGAGAATGCGATATCAATATTTAAACTCCGGACTGGCACATGGCAGGCATTAGTCATGACCAGATTTATGAGGCTGTGTAGGTAAATGCAATTTTTTCTTAAATTTAGAGTCAGAAAAATGATTTCGAAATACATACTTTGTAAGACTTTATGAAGTGCAATGTATTTACTTGAAATACGTTCAAATATTAAATATATAAACTATTGTTTAGTAACTTTCGGTTTTTTGTATTTATTATAAATCTGGAGAAAACAATTTTCTTTCCAAATGTTCTATTTGAGAGTTTATGCAGTTGTACAAAGTTATACAAAATTACTTTTGGCACCAAATATATACAAAAAAGTATCTTGTTACTGTACACAAAATTATGGTAAAATACCATCTCTAATTTGTACATAAAATTTTGACACATTTTCAGGAAGTAAATTCAAGCAAATGTGTTAAACGGGATCAAATGAAACGTATGTATAAAAAATCCATTAAATTTCTTTCTTCACGCTGCGCAATAACCTTAAAACTCTGAAAATCAAATTCTGAAAATTGTAATTTGAAGGTTCCATTTTCTTTCTATTTTTTACATCCTGCTGGGAACTGTCACTTATGAATCGAAAGAGCTTATGTGAGCCTGGTTTTGTTCAAGACTAAATTAACACAGGATTTCTTTGCACAAAAGTGCATTATTGCACTTGATTAGTTCATTGAGCTGCAAGTTTGCTGCACTTTTTGTCCCACCTGAGTGAATCCTTGACAATGTAATGGCTGCGATGGAACCGAGTAACAATACTCGAGCAAAAAAGAAACCACAACTTCTCGATACTATAATTCATGATTGCATTTTTAATATTTTTTGCAGGATTTGCTTCGGAAACTTTTCGAACTGTTTGATTACAAGAAGCAACAAGAGCTGAATCAGGATGAGTGGATTGAATTTCTCAAATCTCGGTTGGACAGGTAATTACAGAATTTTTTGTTATTACCCAAATTTCTAGCATATCAAACAACCGCTACATGTAGTCCAATTAAATCATTAATATGTACTTTGTAAATTTCTTGCCACCGGCGTTAAGACTGTGGAAAGACATTCGAGTAGTTTAAATTTTGCCTTATTAGTAGCAAAAATTCATTTTTCATGAAAAAAAAGTTAGAATTTTAAAGACGAATCTAAATTTCATAATATTCTTTAGCTCGCCCTGCGTAACATGGGAGGAATTGATCTCCTCTTATCTGTTAACGAGTTTTTTTTGCATCAATTTGTGCCAATTAAATAGGAATCCCTCCCCTATTGAATAACACAATTAGTATCGAACAATCAGTGGCGCAAAATGGTGCGAAAGAATTGGTGGAATCAGTGCAAAATGCACAAAATGTGTAGAATAGCCAAAAAAATTATACAATTTTTACAGCAACTTTGAGTTTTTGACAAAATTTCGAAAATTATGGATCTATTTTGCCCCTTTGTGATGAAGAGGTCGTCAAAAGTATGTCAAAATATTGTGACCATTTTGTCCAAGTTGTATCTATTATCCCCGTATTACAAGACGAGGAACTCACTTTTAATGTTACAACGATTTATATTTAATTAATTAGTAACATCCCTACAGTGTACGTACGTTGTTAGATAGCATCTCTTTGTTTAAGAAGGAAAGATGTTACTTCCATCTAGGCAGACAAAATCACACCTGTTGCTGCATACGCGTTCAATTTCGCGAACAAAGGATTACCTTTGTTCATCATTTGTTGATTTGTTGATTTACAAAATTTGTTTTTCTTGATACCTTTGCAAAGGTATCAAGAAAAACAAATTACTTAATAAGATTTTTTTAAATAATTTAATTATCATGTAATTTTGCAAAAAAATGATTAAAGATGAAGGTTGTCTGATTGGAAAATATGCACAAGGTGTGAATAATATGGCATTTATAGTTATCCATAACTAAATTATTAGTGCTTCAAATTACTTGTTCCCATTTTATTGCTGGTACTGGTGCCAGTGTCAATCTCGTTAAATTTATGAGTCTTTAACGTGCGAAGTACATACTTACATGGAAATATGTGCAGCATTTTGGGATTAAAGAGATCAAAGTTAAGTAAAGCTGGTCAAGATGTAAATGATGTAATGGGATTACAACTCTTCTCAATTCATGTTTCAGCTCAGCTCATCCGTTAAATGTATGAGATGAGATCAGTCCAGTGATTACGAATTCTTCAGTTTTTATATGTCCAGTCAATCTCAATGATTAGATCAATCAATTACCAAATAGACGCCACCACCACCACCGCCGTTGTCCTAAAGTCCCAATGGTTTGGTTATTACCGAGGTGTTGTTGTTGTTCCACTTTTTATAAAGAAAACCAGCCTCCTCCTTCTAACCCAACTATTTAACAACAATGCAAGCAAACTTATTAAATTATGTACAAGCAAACATAACTTTTTCATGGTGGACAACAGTGGCTGCGGAAGCGTGGGGACTGTTATTCGATGTCCCCATCATCTCCCCACGTTATGTAAACCCCTCCTCCCCCTATCCTACGATTTTAATGTCCCCCGATGTCCCCACGGCTTCCGCGGCCCCATGAGTGAGCAATTAGCATGAACTTTGTTATTGAAATAGTGCGACTTGCATGATTTTTGAGCATTTAATTATTAACTAGTCAGTCAACGAGAGAGGAAACATTGACAAGACACGCAAACTGTTAGCATTCTTACCAACATTCCTGGACCCCACCACAATTGTTGTGAATGCTCTTACACATTTTTTTGCAAATTCTTCCACGATCTTTTGTATATTTTAGCAGAGGGGAGGAGGAGGAATCACGAAGTATCGAAATTTTATGACGTTCTAATACTTACGATATTCCTCATTTTTATAACACACCAAAACCAAATAATTCCAGTCAGTCGGCTTTGTATAACACAAATACAAAACCAGTACCAATTATGTTACACTTGCCGAGTAGTAGTTTAGCCATACTGGGACATATGATGAGATGAGTAACCACTAAGGAATAGTAATTGCTGTTTTTTCGCATATTGTCCCCAACTTACTGAAGTAAGTAAAATAAATGATGGCTTTAGTCATGCAACATTTGCAACTAACCGACCGTATTACATACATACATTTCAACCTTTGACTTCAACTTGGCCAGCAACAGGTTCTCAGAATTTACCGAGAATCATGAATCTCGTTCTCTTCTCATCAGTACAATACAATGATTCATAAAATCTTGTGTTCAGTTTACTCCAATCTGTGATCTTCTTAAGAAGGCGAAGATTTTTCTGGTCCGCAAAAGAGAATTGCTGTGCTTTGCTGCACATGGGAAAGATGATTTAATTCAATATAAAAGTTCTTGATCTTTTGCGAAATGTTTGTGTTTCTCGTCTGGAGGAGATACATATACGGCTCGTGGTACAGACTTTTGATGGGTTTATAAATATAAAAATGCCGTCTTGAAAAGGGCTTTTTTAATAATTAAGCCTATAAGAATGATTGCTGAGAGATGGGAGATAACCATATTTGACTGATTTATTGGACTCATTAATATTTACAGAGAGGAGAAACAAGTGGATTTCGTGGAGGTTGTGGAGTCTGTAGCTTACGCGCTGTGTGGCGAAGACAATGTCCAGTTTGATCAGTTTTGTATGATCTTCCGGACCAAGAATGTATGTAAAGTAGTGATTTTTGTCTTTATTTTACGGAATAAGGGAATGAGTGATAAGTGAAGGAAAAATTATGGGGCAGGTTCTAAACAAATTTTTCCGGCTTATCGACCGGGATTTGGATGGGGTTGTTACGGCGGAGGAAATCATGGAATTTATCTCGGCGTTGAGTACTGCCAGGTAATAATTTAGGTTTTAAAGCATACATGACATGAATTTTTGCTTAAATTTTTGACAAATTTTTTGACTTACTTAAATATTTTAAATTTAAAAAATATATTATAGACATTCACACAAATCAAAATATTTTTTTTACAGAACGAACAATAGATTAACGAAGGAGAGTATTAAGTGGTACGTAATTAATTTGTAGTAAACTAGTCATGTTAGGGTTAAAATATGTATTGCAAAATGTGCCTATTTTTCAGGTTGGAACATTTATTTCGACAATATGTCGGACAAAATAATGAAATTACGAAGGAAGACTTTAAGAAAATTATACAAACTAAAAATGTAAGTTCTTCTATTGTCATTAAAAAAATATATGTCAAATAAATAATTAATCAATTATTTCAGCAATTTTTTACCGATCGAGTATTTGACATTTTTGACAATGATGCCTCCGGTTCAATCAGCTTACAGGAATTTATCGATGCTGTAAGTTCAACTAAAATATTTAACATAGCGAAAAGTATGTCAAATGATGTTTTTTGTAGATGCATCAATTCGCCGGAAAAGAGCCTGATGACAAGCTGCGATTTCTCTTTAAAATTTACGACGTCGATGGCGACGGTTCCATCCAGTGCGAGGAGTTGGGCAAGGTTATGAGGGCTTGGTAAAATAAAAACTTGTTGAATCAAAAATTTAGCTTAATAATTAAATTACAAAAACATATTTTGTAAAGTATGGAGGAAAACGGAATGAAATTCAGCGATGATCAAATCCACGAGCTGACCATGGCGTTATTTGAGGACGCTGACGTGGAACGGCGTGGGGCGCTGACGTTTGACGCGTTGAAAGCGCAGTTACAAAAGCATGAAGGATTATTAGAGAATCTCTCCATCAGGTAAACGATTTATGAAATACATCTGTGTATGCATACAATAATTTCTATTTTTCCCGAAAAAGTATTGAACGGTGGCTAGTCCCTCCAAAACCGAAAGAGTCGGATCGGTCGAGATTACAAAATTCGTTAAAGAAACTTAAACCTCATCAAATGTCGTTAAAATATTTCAAGAATAATACCGTGTACCTGTGTTGGTTGTGTTTATATTTGGTCACAAATGTCAGGTAATTATAATTAATTAATAATTAAAATAGTTAAGTTAAGTGCCTTGAATTTGATTTCTTCTAAAAATTGTCAGTTTATTCGTGTCGAGATGCATAGTATTTCACCGGGATGATCCGGATAAGACTATTTTCTTAATGTTGGCTCGTGGCGCAGGTAATAAATTATTTGACACGAGACGTAAATCAATTGAATCAAGAATTAAATTAATTGAATTGAAAAAGACTTACCTCATTTTTAGGCCAATGCTTAAATTTTAATTGTACATTTATCGTCGTATGGTAAGTAAATTAATTACTTGCATTCTATTAATTTCTCTAGTAAATTTGATGATAAAACCTGATTTTTTTAGGATGTTACGAGGTCTCTTGACCTTTCTCCGGTCGCGGGGAGCCTCTGCATTTCTGCCAATCGATCAGGTCTGCAGTTAATTTTTTGCATGCATTTTTTAGCATGAAAATGACATGATGAATTTATTGTTACAAAACGACAGCACATGTATTTTCACAAGATGGCCGGATGGTTCATATTTTTCTTTGGGATTCTTCACACCGTGATGCATTTGATTAATATTGGTAAAACGGTTTTATTATGATTCTCGAGTGAAATTCATTCATCATTATTGCCTGACTTTTACATATTATTATTATTAATTTGGTTTTCCTCAGACGTTAGCCTCGTACCATCGCCGGTCGTCAACTCTGGAAATTGGACATATTTGGACTTTCTCTTCGTGCCGGAACCCACGAGTCAGAAAGGCGTCCTCAGTCTGGGGCTCGTTCCAGGCTACGCGTTCAACACGGGGGTCGCCTTAATGATGATTTTGACCATAATGGTTATCTGCTCGTTACCCTTTGTACGAAGGGGTGGATGCTTTGAGGTAAAAATACCGGACTAATTGTGACTCTGTTTCCGGTTCTAATTGTGATTTTGATATGCTCAGGTGTTTTACTGGACGCACCTTCTCTACTCTGCATTCTGGATTATATTGATAATTCACGCCCCCAACTTTTGGAAATGGTTTATTGCCGTTGGAATTATCTTTTTAATAGAAAAGGTGTGTGGATATATAAGTCGATCAATATCGATTCACATATTTTTTTTGCGGACTGACTGACACGCTCATTTAATACACACGTCATGTCATTCTACGTCAGACACATATTTTTTTCTTCTCTTGCATCAATTCAATCTTGCTGTCATTTTTTAATTCAGGTTGTTCGCTACTACAATTGGAGAATGGGGAGAGGACGGACCTCTGTCAGTTCGGGAATCCTGCTTCCTTCCAAAGTTACTCACTTGGTGATTCGTCGCCCCCCAAATTTCGAGTTCCATCCCGGCGATTACGTGTTTATCCGTATTCCCCGCATAGCAAAGTATGAATGGCATCCTTTCACCATTTCCAGTGCTCCTGAACAATCCGGTTAGTTATAGTTGGAGGCAGTGGAAGTGTGGGGAGAATGTCCCCACGGTTGTTCGATGTCCCCACCATCTGCCCATGTTATATACACTCCTCCCTCCCCTATCCTGCAATGTTAATGTCCCCACGGCTTCTGCGGCCACTGGAGTTGATACGTTTTCTTTCGCGAAATAAAATCCAATTTCTTGATAGACGCCATTTGGCTTCACATACGAGCCGTTGGAGAATGGACGACCCGGTTGTACGAGTTTTTTGAGAATGAGCAGCAGAAAATTAATGTTATTGATGACTACGGACGAGATCGGCTCAACACATTTGTGTCCGTCGCGACAATAAAATCTGCTGATGCTTACAATAAGTATGCGAAGATGTTAAATTAAAGAAATTTATGGCTTGGGAGTTGACAATTTGTTTCTATAAAAGGCGAGAGTTTGGGGAAGATAAGAGCGCCGGAAATGTGGAGCTCATCGCGGTATCGGAGAAGAGGAGGAATCGGTTGCCCACGGTGGGCGTGCCGGACTCGCAAGAAACGATCGATCCCACTTCAAACTCGTCGAAAACTTCGGTCAACAGATCTGCTCAAGGTTCGTACATAATTAGGTAGCATTATGTACAGTCTGAAGTGCAGGGCTGGGCTAAATACTTGAAAATACAGGATTTTGAGCCCGTTCTGGGTTGCAAGGGTTTGGATTTCCGGGCCTGTTGCACTCACAAAAAGACGAAAATTTAGGTGGGGAAGGCAATAGTCTTACGAAAGTACACGTTTTGTTAAGAAATTAACTTTTTACCGGTGTCAAAATGTATTGTTTTCACGATATTTTATTTCTGTCAAAATACTTGATTTATATATACAGATAGAGAGCCCAATTTATGGTAAGAACTTCAAGATTTTAATCTTGTTACAATTCAACGTCAGTTAATAAATTCATAAGTGAATTAGAATTACAAAATATTATTAGATCAATCTTTTCCCGTTATTTACAACTGTATGGTTTTTTGTTAGGACAAATCTATTGTTTTACATGTGTATTAAATTATGGCAAATTCAGAGCAGACTCGAATTTCTAAGTCTTTTTCTCCGGTATTTTCTGTAATGTTTTTTATATCATCGTTTAGTTTAAAATGTATTTTGACAGCGATAAAAAGTTACATTATTCACAAAATCTGTATTTTCATACATCTGATGTCTTCCCCACGCAAATTATCACCATTTTGTGGGTGTAACATACCTGGAAGAACGGAGCTCAAAATCCTATATTTTGCCATAGTATTTTACCCACCTCTGTCACACTGTGTGTAACATAATCTTCCCCCAAACTCTACAGACTTGTCCAGCTCAGTGGAAACAATGAGTGAGCAAGATGCCATAATTAGGGACAAAAAGGTCCCCCTCAGACTGAGACCGAGGCCACAATTAACTTCAACAAAATCTTTGCCAAATGTCCACGAGCGTGTCGTTAAGCTCAAGTAAGTTACGTTACGAGGCACTCGACGCTGCAAGATTTATGAATATTTATAGTTTTATTGCTCTCAAAACACAAGATTTATTAACACTAACATCTCTCTCTCCGGCTGGATTTTATTACTTGTCCATAGCTTAAGGAACTCTCCCAAGAACTTTCACCGCTCCGCATCTGTGAATGAGGTGGAGGAAGATTTAGGTCATGGATCTGGTGGAAAACCGTCCACCACCCGATCCACCAGTGTCTCATCTCCTATCGGACTCAGCGAACGGAACAACAGAGTCCCACGAAGTTTACGATACATGCGAAATAAACCAGTTATCATCTCTCTCAAAACCCCCAGCTATGAATATGATGGGGCCACTGCGACGCTCGAGCAGAAACAGCAGCAGCAACAGCAGCAGAACGTTGGTGGTGGTGGTGCGGATAAAGACCGACTGGCGGAGGAAGGACGAGCCAACAACTGTGACACCTCGTTGGACGTCTTTGAAGTGATTGAGGCTAATGAGCTCCACCCCATTATGGGGACGACCAGGACGGGTCAAGGGTCACTGGTCGTGGGGAGACCGTTGGAGGTACGGAATTCTTTTTATTTACACGGTTTATAAGACACAAAGAGTAAGATGGAATTGTCCCCGGACTGCTTGTCGACATGCACGAGCCATGCGAAATGCGAGGCCAAGATCGAAACCGAGATGTGACTTTAATGTCCCAGATAGTGGAGATGAGAGGACTCTTCTTTAGTGATATGTATGGTTGAAATTGTCGTCGTTCTCTGGAGGAGGAAAGAGATGCCAGTAATCTAGATCGTAGAAGGAGGAGGAGAGATAGCACTTATGTAACGTAGTGGTGGTAGCAGTCTGTTTGTGTGGATGTATACAGTTTACTACAGAGAATGGGATTTTTATGACAGATTTATGTCGATGGACCGTATGGAGCGCCGTCGAGTCATATATTCCGAGCACAACATGCTGTTCTAATAGGTAAGTAGGTTACGGGTTGAATTGACCCAGCCACAAATTTACCCCACGATATAGTGACCCCATACCAAAAAATACAGTAAGTAGTACCGTACTACTTACTGTATTCTTGGTACGTGTATGTCATGGGGTCAATATAGCGTGGGGTCAATTTGTCCGGGTCAATTTGTTACTGGTCAATTTGACATGGTTTTAAAATAGGTACGGGAATAGGGGTCACGCCATTTGCCTCGATTCTTCAGTCCATTATGCACCGATACTGGACCACGAGGTATGCACACCCATATTTTTCACCGGCTCTCCTTAATGTAACATAACATAATCCAAAAATACAATAAATTCTTGACTTTCCAGGGTTTGCTGTCCAAGATGCAGATTCACATGGTGTGCAGAATTGCCACAGTCGGTGATCAACTTGAAAAAGGTTACTTTCACCCCATTATTACTGCACTTTCACCCAAATGACACACTTCTTTTCCTCTGGCTGCGTATATCTAGGTCGACTTTTTCTGGATAAATAGGGATCAAAGATCCTTTGAATGGTTTGTCCACCTATTGTCGCAGCTCGAAATTGAGCAAGCCGAGCTGGGCGGAGCGATGGAGAGATTTTTAGACCTGCACATGTAAGTCGTTGGATAAAATATTCACGAGAAGGTGAAATGGTTAACCTCCTCGTGGTCGTGGTCGTTGGTGCTATTGCCACCACGACAGCATGACATGACAGCACCACTACACCGTCCCTGTTGTCACTTGAGACTGGAGTGTGTAGGCGTTGAGTAGACCTCTGAATAATTCATTACCTCCCAAAATTTGCAGGTATATAACGAGTGCTCTCGCTAAAACTGATATGAAAGCGGTCGGGCTCCAACTTGCCCTAGATCTTTTGCACGATCGGGTAAATTAATAAATTAGTCCTTTGTTCTCTTGCGACCACGGTGGAGATGTTTATTGATAACGAAATATTTTACATTTAGGAAAAACGCGACCTCATCACCGGACTAAAGACGAGGACGCATGCAGGAAGACCAAATTGGAGCAAGGTGGGTGGTGCAGAACGGGGCAAATGCGCATAATTTGGTGGTATGTACTTACATTTCTTCTTTTCTTAGGTTTTCAAACAACTGCAGGACCAGAAGAAGGGGAAAGTTACGGTATTTTACTGCGGACCCCCGGCGTTAGCTCGCTCCTTAAAGATTAAGTGTGACGAGTTTGGATTCTCATTTCGCAAAGAACTGTTTTAAAAGTTTCGCATCATATTCTTGGATTTCAACTTTTATTTTATTTTTCATTTCAAATTTTTGTGTCATATTTAAAATTATTAAAATACAGGCTGAAATTTGCTCTTGTTTATGTAAATCTCTCTCGTTGTTATTATTCAAGTCATCATTTATGCGCTCACGCCTCGCAGATAATAATTTTCCATGGTCCAGTATCCCATCCGGTGCGTTGAAAATGTGCCCCTCGGCATAAACCAGGTCACCACGTGTGCAGTGCAGTAACTTTGGATGACTGGGAGCTCTGGAGGGAATCACAACTTTTCATACGCATCCTTTTTATTCATGATGAGTTAAATAACCCTGTTTTACATTACAATTTATTCGACCGTGTATTTTTATTGATATTTAGTGCTCCATTATGCTCACTTTCATTTTCCTTTGGTGAGCAACATGGGGCATATGCCATTAAGGAAGGAAGAGAGAAGCACCCTTATGACGAGGATGATGTAATGTATTCGTAATAAAATTAATGGTTCCGTTGTTGACGATGAACTGACGGAGTGACTCCGTCCAAACTCTGGCAACCCTTTTGTCCCACAAATCGGTTCCTGATGTGATGATCGTTCCAGTTCCAGGGTTTCGCTGTGGTTTTAACCAAAGACAGTACGAAATCGTTTTAACCAGTTTTGGACACCCAATTTTGGACGTCCAGAATGTTCAAAAGTGTCCAAAATAGAAAATGGGGCAAAATGTTACAAGTATTATTGAATCTTTCGATAATCCATTGACGTATATGTAATCTCCCATTAATTTTGAGAAATTTGCTGTGTAATATGACATGGTTTAGAAAATTTCTTAATTTTTCATTAGAAAATGCGTTAAAATAAAGGTTTCTCCTAATTTTGTGGTATTACGCACCAAAATGCTCAAAATAAATGGGAGATTGCATATGCCTGTGCATAAATTTGCAAAAACGGCGTTAATAAGGAACTTGTAACGTTTGCCCCGTTTTCCAATGTTAGACGCTTTTTGGACATTTTGTTTGGGACATTTTTGGACAATACCAAATAAGTTTTTGTAGGTCCAAAACGAAACACTGGTTCCTTCTGCAAACGTACTTTTACTGCTGGCTCACGTACAAACTTTACGTTATGTTATGTGTTTTAAATAAACTTCTCTGCAGGAGAAGCATAGACCACAAAGCTGGAAGAAAATACGTAGGCAACCCATGAGGGCTGACTTTCCACACAACGAAACAAAAGATGAGATGGTTGGTTGGTAAAGAATCGGGATTGAATTGGCCATTTAGCTCAATTTCAAGTAAGCACTTCGTGCATAACGAGTTAAAGCTGAAACCAAATCTAAATAAATAAACGTAAATGTGAGGCGTGAGAAAATTAAGCTGGGTGAAATGGATCCTTAATTGGATATGATATCATCATATCTCCACGAGTAGATTTATGTATGGAGGAGGACGAGAAATAAATAAATAAATGAAAAATTATTTGCTTTTTGACCATCCTTCCTTCCTTTCCACGATAAATGTGCAGTCTGCATTTGGTTGGAGGATGCATGATTAAGCCCTTTTTGTTCTCGTGACTATTTTTATTCTCCGGATTTTTAGGGTGCTGGATATTTATTTGAGTTGACTGTGGCTAAGCATGACCCATAATATTCAAGTGTTGGCTGACCAAAAGTCTGGTTTTTCGGACACGAACGAAACGAAACTGGATTACGTAAGCATTACTGATTCAGCTGCATGTACATGTGCGCCTTAATTCTCTCATGTCCACCGCGTACGTATGTACGTACATTTGGTATAATTACCCGTATTGGAAAGAGGTGGATCGGCTTTTCATAAATTGTGGTGATAATGACGGGTTTGCCTTCTTGATAATTCGATTACGAATGTATGTTGGTTGGTTGGCCGGGTGAAAATTAAAACACTTTTAAAAGAGTGAGTAGAGTGGGTTTAAAAAAAGACCATCTATTTCAATAGGTACAAGTTGAATATTGCTTTGCTGCTGGAAAAGCCCGAGGTGGTGATTAAGATCGTGCATGGGCAATGAATTTATTAAATTTTTGTATATAGGACACCACGTTCAGTGGAGTCTGGAAATATGAATGTGTTAGATTTCGTAGATTAAGATTAATATCGGGTAAGAGCAGATGTCGATTTATTATGAATTTTGGGTTAGAGTAGAATTGTGAAGAATGCATTTTTTAGAACCATTTCCCGTTACAGGGAATATATTCTTTTTGTGGAATATCAAATATGTTCTTCATTTTGAGAAAAAAATTAATTTCACGTAATTTAATTACTTCGTCATTTTAACGTCTTTTGTAAAATTTTATATTTTAAATGATTAAAACTTATAAACAGATCGGAAATATGCTATTTTGTAACTCGACAAAATTTATGATTTCTAAATCCAGAATTCTGGATTTGCAGCGCTTTTATCTCGATTTTCATATTAGCATTGCTTTCAAGCGTCACAAGACTAAAATATTCCAAGCTGAAGAGAATAATGAAGTGTATTTGTAATAAGCATACCCCGGACAAATATTTTTTTATCCTACCCTACTCGTGTTGAGCTCAACATGAGTAGGGTAGGATAAAAAAATATTTTTCCGGGGTATGGTAATAAGTGTGCAATGTCCAACGGGACACAAAAAAGTAGGACAAAACTGGAACTGGATTTAGCAATTTTCCGTCATTATGGTGAAATAGATGTAAAGATTTAATGATTCCATTCCACTTATACAACCAACCACACATAGCACTTTGTATTTCAACCATGTTCAAAATTCATCCTTGACTATGAACGGGCATTTTATAATAATTTCTTCGAGAAACTATTACGCACAACCTTCAAACCAGAAATAGGACACAGAGACTGGAAATGATTGGATACGCATGCATAATAATGGTAAAAATACCATTATGGAGGCTGTGCCGCAATAAAATTAACATATTTAATTGATTTGGTCACCTATAAAAGACTGCTGTATATTTCCCACTGTTATCACTACCAACTCATCTTCTTCAATAACTAAAACCAATCTGCTCAGGCAAAAATCATCTCCAAAATTTCAAAAATGAACAAAATCCTGATTTTCGTTCTCTTCTCCGCAATCTTGGTCCAAGGTAAGGAAACGCTACATACCTTCCATGAAAAATGCTTCGAATTTTTGAACGATTTTCTAAAATATTTTGTCCATTTTTGTATTTAGCCTTGGCCCAAGACTCCAGCAAGTATACGCAAGATGCTGCCTGCACTGGAAAGAGCGGAGTAAGATTTAATTTAAATTATGATTAAGATTTAAATTATGCAGCGTTTCGGGTGGAAGTGACCACTTGCAAGAAAGTGGTTTCTTGCAGCTAAATATTTTGACCTGCAAGAAATGTAAGGCACAAGAAACTACGTCCCGTCGCTGTATTCCATACGGCGCGTGGCTAGATGTCGCATATTTCCTGCACTTTCTCCCAGTTTCTTGCACCTCGCATTTCTTGCATTTCTTGCTTCGCAGTGCAAGAAATGTAGAAAGACGAACCACTGAAATTATGATTGATTAAGTTTGCATTATAAATTAAATCTATTTCCTTTTTAGGTCTGCACGGACGCCGCAGCTTGCACTGCTGCTGGGAAAATGCTTCATGGATCTGGTAGCTCTGCCCCCACTTCGGATTGTCCCAGCACTCCGGCCACCGTGCAGTGTTGCTTCTAATAATTCATGGCTGGCTGCACACAATGGGATCAAGTCAACGATTCAAATGGACAATATTTTTTTTCTTGAAATGAATGAATTTAAATCTTCATTTAACCTTAAATCTTGAAATGCTTTAACTGTTTGTGAAATAAAAAAAGATTCGGACCCTCAATAATATTTATTGTGGTTTTCTAAATTCGGATTTATTATTCATGTCATTTCATAAATATGATGAATTGGTTAAAGTGTGGTTAATTGGATGACTTTTTTTACGGCAATAATTTCCTTACGAGGAGGACGCGTCGAAATCATGTCATAAAAATTAGTCCTATTTTCTTTCCTGACTGCCGTTGACCTTATCTTGACTTAATAAATATAAATAATTCCATATCCGGATAAATTCCATTTTGTAAATCACAATCTATCAACAAATATGTGTACCCACCACACCACAAAATGTGATTTTTTTGCACGTGTTGAACGCCAATATTGCATATGCAGCAATAAATAATTAAGCACGTCGTATAAGAGATGCAAACTTCTATCGGAACGTATTGTTGTTGACACAAATGTTAAATGAAACAAAATAAATTTAGTAACGTGTGTAAGTAGTGATGAAAAAAGACAACGATTTAGAGTGCAAAGTTTTCACTGCAAACTTATTTATTTTGTGTGAAAGCCTATTTCTCGAACCATAACGTGACACTTCAAGTTTCCAGTTTCCCGTTTTGTACACTTTGGCAATGTTGTCCACAATTATCAAATTATTTATTTATGTACTATACACTTATGTAAAAATAAAGGGGAGTGAGTGTCAAGTTTTCATAGTGTTTGATAACCTCAAAATACGAACTGTTTTAATAGACATGTATGTACGTACGTACCAAATTTACCAAATTTTTGCACGTGCTGGACGCCAGTATGCAATAAATAATTTTTTTAAAAATTAAATAATCAAATAATTTAAGATGAACGTGAAGGTTTTCTTTGAACGATAGAAACTAAGCTGGCAACAATCAAGCTAGAAATCATGCAAATTATGCTTCGATTTTAATCTCGCTGTCAAAACCCCTCTCCATAAAAAAATCGTGTCAACTAACTACATACGACCACAATCTGGACGAAAAATTCCATCACTCTGAGCACCACCACCAAGTTTTACATAATAATAAAAAAGTTTATTATATAAAAACGTACTTGAGAATCATGACCAGAAATCAAGTTTTTTTTATATCTTCCTCCCTTTCAAAACAGAGTGTCACAGTCAAGTCAAATCCAAAATCTGCCCCTTTCTCGCGTGTACGTCTGTCAAATCAGAGTTTAATTCGTGTTCCTCTCAGTCAGTTTTCATATCTGGACACAAAGAAGAGTGGACCAGCGAGCAGAATAAAGAAAAAGGGTTCAAAGTGGTGGTTCATACGGTTGATTGTGTTTTTATTAAATTATTGACTATTCACAAAGAAAGAGCACAAAGCACGAGATATGTCATACGAATGCTTAAACTCATAAAAAAGCAGAACCAATTTTCATATTATTTTCATATTCATGTCTTCCTTCTCATCTTCTTTTGTAGGAATTCTTACTGTGTACGACTTATTGCTGAATTCGTCGTAATCATAAAAATATGGGGGAATTGTTGGCTGGTTGGTGGGGTTTCGACTTGTTGTTGTTGTATTGTTGGATTTAATTCCCCGGAAAATAAAATAAAAACGGGGGAAACCTTACTTACGATTTATGTTGTGCTATGCGAATCATGTAATGTTTTCTTTGTTTTGTTTTCCTGCATGAAATGAAATTGGATCGTGAATTTTATTACGATTTTTCTATTTGAGGAAAAACGAAGGGGTTCACGAGAGTTCTTTCATCTCAGGAAAAAAACAGAGTGACATACACAGCAATGGTTTAGCTTTACGACGTGTTCTCCACGAAATATGGGTGTAGTTTGATGATAAGGTGAACCAGATAAGATGCTGATGGATAATAGAAATGGTAGTACGTAGTAAAAAAAGAAGTAAGGAAGGATTGTCAATATTGTTTGGAGCGAAGGAAATCAATACGCATACAAATAGAGCGAATGTGGGGGTGGAGTGCATGTATGACTGACGATGGAGGTTTCCTAGTGTATGCTCTCAGATTTTGAGCAAACTAGTGTCAATGGATCATAAATTTAAATAATATGAAATTTGCAAAATGCATCATATGTAAATTCTCATGTTTTGCGGAGGCATTTGCATCCGAAGAGGAGAAAGCGCAAGCAAAGTTAAAAAGTGTAAAATTTGTCAACTTTATGGCGCGTTTTCTCCTCTTCGGATGCAAATACCTCCGCCAAACCTGTGGATTTGCATGCAATGTATTCTGCAAATTTCATATTAATTAAATTTTTAATCAATTGACACTATTTTGATCGAAGAGAACATACGCTGGGAGACCTCCATTGTTGGATTTGGATTTCCGAAGGGAGGATTGATATCGACTTTACTTTCTCGGTGTGTGTGCATAATCACATTGTTGACTTAATTTATAAGGATTTAAATTAAGATACCCCTCCCGGTTTGGCTTAGAATAGTCCGCATTAGGTTCTTATTTACCTAAGTAAATTAGTTCCCCTGACATTGAGAAACAGTGAGTGAGCATGGGGTTGCGTCGTGTTTGGCATTATTGATTCGAAGAATAGCTGACAGCTTTTTTAAGGTTTTGTTGTGTTCTTCATCCGATTAAACTGATGCAAGAACGAGATTCTAGTTAGTTAGTTAGCGGTTAGGTTCAGATGTAAAAAGCATATTTTATTTGTTACCGACTCGCGTAAATAAAACAGCTTTTTATTATTACGACCCGAACAGGAAGTCGGGTTCAGACCTGTTTTTGGTGCAGTTTTTGTTTGTCGCAGAGTTCCAAAAAGTCGGAGAAAGGTCCCACTGACATTTTTATAAAGGAGAGAAATTCTGAAATAAATCGACTAATGTAAAAGTTGCATGACGCCGAGTGAGGTGTTCCTTTATGTATTATTATATGCACTATTGACCACTCACTCACTTAGGCAGGACTCATCAAAAGAATAAATGCTCCCTCGAGGTGGTCTTTATTACTTGGAGCTTGCTAATTTCACATAAATCACTATTTGTATGGAAATTAAATGGCGAAATTAAATGTCCTTTCACCTTTTGTGAGAGGAAAGTTTGACAAAAGTGGGTTTTGTCGTCGGTTCGGTTTTGACATAATTCGCTGTCGAGCAAATAGCAGGATTTTTCTATAAATAGGTATGTATCCGACTCGCAAATATGTATGCACTATGAAATTGAATCCATGTCTTTACAGACTTACACGCAAAAAATAAAGAGAAAAGTATGTATGAGAATGGGAATGGTTTTTGTAATATACACTCCGCCATCAGTGGCCGCGGAAGGAAGCGTGGGACAGAGGGGTAATGTCCCCACGGTTATTCGGTGTCCTCATTATCTTCCCATGTTATATAAACCCCTTGCCCCCCCTATCCTACAATGTTAACGTCCCCGATGTCCCCACGGCTTCTTCCGCGGCCACTGTACCGCCATCCATTGTACTGCGGGATTATTTCTACCAACCACGATACATAATTCCACAATGCATCACCACCCAACTTTTCTCCATTGTGAAGTACTTTTCCCGAATTTATTCACCACTGGTGCACGCAGCGAGAGAGCGGAAACGAGTGAAAGTGAGGTTTCACAAGGGTGGACAGGAAGTGGGACCGTTTTTACCTGAAATTGTGTGGATTTGAGCGAAGCCTTGCATGTCCGACGGGACAAACTACTCTTCCAACAAATGCTGGCTTAATCCGAAGCAATCATTTTCATGCTCCAACTTTGTCCAACCTTTTCCCGTTTACAAAAGCAAACACAATTCTTTGCAATCTGCCGCCCAGAAAGATTTACAACCTCACTTTGACTCACTTGCAGTGGTTTGTTCGGCCCCAAAGGTCAAATCTCTCTCGGGACAAAAATGCCCCCTCTCTGACCTCGTGCACACTTACCACTAAAAGCTTATTTACTCTGTTACGCTATTAGAGGTCCGGCCAGGCCATCCCGTCATCTTATTGACAGCTACAGGTGACATACGCACGTAGAGTAATTTGGGGAGATAAATGCGTGAGCGCGTGTCCTGAACTTTCAGGCAGGCAACCCTTGCCCCTAAACAAAAGTGCTTTTGCTCTCTTCCTTTACTTACTTTGGAGCAGACCTGCTGCTGCTTTTACTTTCGTGGCGTAAAATACTGGTGGTTTTGTGAGTGTGTGTGTGAGTAGCGTTGGCCATCACATAATTCACTTCCGCTCCGTAATATTTCAGCCCCACGGTTTCCCTGTCGTTGTCGCACCCTCCCACCCACAACAATTACACGTATGAGATGACGCAACGTGGAGGAAAACGCTACGCAATTTTCCCTCATAAAATAAAATGAAATGATTTTCTCCACTAACAGAAATATCTACAATGTCGAAACAACTTTCACTCCCACCACCCACCATTTCTGAACGAGTGGAAGGAAGTAAGTAAAATAGAGCTGGCGATGGATTTGGTTTTGTTTTTGTGTAGATTTGCCCCTTGCTGATGAATGAATGAGAGGGTGCACTGGAGCATTTCTGCTGTACGAAAGTCCACTAATCGTGGCAGTCGAGTCGCAGTTGTGTGAAAAGTTTTATATCCTTTTCTCATTCATTTTGAGAGAGAGGCGAGGCTCATAATATTCGTCTTGTTCTTCTTCCTTCGCCCTCCTTAATTATACGGGACGGCATAATCTGCCTGAATCTCTCTCCCTTCAGCTTTCACTCCCACCCACACATTTCTGAAACCAATTGAGGACACGAACTAAGTAAATGCAACAACAAAGCAAGATCACCAGCCACTCCAACTTTCGTCGTCGGAACGCGCCATGCCCACGAGCCATACAATCTACACACTTGTGCGTACCGTATAAATAATATTAAATACGAAACCCCACCCTTAATCATAACATCGTAATCTATTACGACTACCGTGACGATGACGATGATGAAGTGGCTCCTCTGACCAGAGCGAAAAAAAATCTCTCCATCTAAAAATATATACGTCGCCCTATCTTATTTTCCAACAAACAATGCAGACATCAAAGAACTCTGTTCCCCAAAATTTTAGGTAATGAGGATTGTAACCAAGTGAAAGTGAAAACATCAGAACAGAACTCGTCTAAATTAGAGAAAAGTTTGGTGTAGTGCATGGGATTTAAAATATTTAGGGGGAGGAAATAGACGAAACAGATGCCATATTTGGATGAGGGGGAGCCAGAGATGCGATACATGTACACAAAAGTTTGACTACTTGCACACCATCAACCATGGATAATGACATAATGCCGGTGTATAACTTTTCCCCTGTAGAAGAGAAAGTACTTGGGGCAATTTAAATTCAATTTTTAACTTTGTCCTCGTCCATCCACTGCTCTGCTCATGTCCCCGAGTGAAAGTTGGATGCAAGTTAACCGAGGTGAAATAAAGTGTAAATTAAGTAAGTATAAAAGCTGTCTCGTATCTGGGCAAATCCACTCCTGGCTCCTGTTCAGCTAGGCTACCACCACCACCACCGGCGAGTAGTGAAAAGAGGGGAGAGAAAGTTGAGTTTTGAAGTTTTAAGTCTCCAGAATGGAAACTGGTCATGCTTAAAATTTTGACGGCAGGAGCAGCAGCAGTGAGAATTTAGCTGGGCTTATGTTTTGTGCATGAGAGGAATCACATGACATGATGATGATACGTTATATCCAAGTTCTTTTTTGTAAATCTCATTTTCTCCTCCTATTTATAAGCTGCATAGTTGGTGGGTGCATCACAGTGACGTGATGACGTGGGTGACGTTATCCAACTTTTCCAGACTTTTTGGTCGTCTGCAGTTGTCTCACACATTTATTTAAATATTTTTCCACTTATCCACTAAAATAAGAGAGAACTTTTTTTGGTGTCTTCTTGTATCGGATTACTTTTTTTATTAAGTAACTGTGTCCTCAAGTATGTATAACAATATTCCAACAATTTTCCTACTTACACATTATCCATTACTTATTTTAGCATTAATATGTAAATGTTAATACGTACGTATATTTTTATTATCACAATGATTTAAAACTCTAAACTGGAATTATTATTCGAGATTGTTACCCTGTTTCAAGAAGTCAAGTCCGTCGTGATGCTGGTGATGATTCTGCACTTTATTATTATTTCGTGCTTGTCCAAAGTTTGCAAGTCACTCAGGAAAGATAGCGGAGCAGCATGTCATGTTGCATAACATTCTGAAGTAATTGTTTTTGTTGTTGTTGTCTTATCCGGGGATATAAATACCTTATCTTTTTCATTAATCGGCACATATAAACATGGAAATATTCAACATTCTCTGATATAAATCTTAAATATGTACCTTAACAAAACAACCTCAACATTGCATCGTATTTATTATTGTTACGTACAGTAATTCAATTCATTCAACAGTGTTTATAGGGACTTTTGTTTGATGTATGTATGCAGATGACTCACAAATGTCCCAAGAAGAGGAGGAGGGTCAGCGAAATCAGGAGGATGAGATGATTCGGGTTGGAATCAGGTGCAGCGTTGATGTCGGAACAGTGACCTGTGAAATAAGATAAGCCAGTGAGTGAGTGAGTGGATAAGGGATTAAAGCGAGGGAGCAGCATGATGTTGACATATGCTCTTATCCAAATATTGGGATTTGTGTCCTTCTCTCCCTCTAGTCAGTCAGTCCGTCAGTATAAAAACAAATAAAAGTGGACTAAACTCGGTCCAGTCCACGTCTCCACATTCCCGTCTCTATTTTTCTTTGACTTTTCTACTCCCTCCCTTCAGACGAGGAATTCCCGGAAGGGTTGACTACGAAGACAACGCTGACTTGACTTTGGACCTCTCCTACTAAGCAAACAGATTGTGCCGGATGGGGGACTACTCGTTGTTAGTTTCAATAAATACAAATAAGTCAAAAAGTTGCCATCTGATCGGTAGGGGTGAGAAAAATTGCTTCATTGCTGGCTGGTCTGGTCGAACATAAGCGGATTGAATAGAATTGGTCAGATGTGACATGTTACGAAGGAGGGGACGTCCCAGGCAGGACGAATACAGATAATAGAATTTTGAACTTTTTTGTGCCAAATTTGCTTTCACTGGAGGAGAAAGAATGTAAAGAAAAACTTGGATTTGGAGATTTTGAGATAGATGCGTCGTCTGCGTGGTGTACTGTAAAGCAACGATAAACCAAGTTTCCTACTGAGCTGTCAACTATGTATGTGTGTGCTTTGGGGTGGTGAATTATCAAGTGAAAAAAGCATTAGAATCCTTAGGTAGTGGACATTACGTACCAATTTTGGTCAAATTGAAAGCGAAATCTCCCTCCCGTCCGAGATCCACGTTGCGTTGGCATGAGTCAGAGAACGAGGAGAATTCGAGCAGTTGGACTTTTCCATTATTATTATTACGACCATTCGTGGGATCTAGTTGACCACCGAAATTGTCTCCGTCCTCCATGCCATCACCATCATCATCATCGCCGTTGGTGGAGAAATCATGGCGAGAAGGGTGGGAGCGGACGCGTTGCTTTTCCGCATTATGGGGAGACCAACGCCAGGACAGATCTCGGAAAGCAAAACAATGTCGTTGTGGTCGGTGAGATTGGTGAGAGGATGATCGAGTCGTCACGACGTATGTTATCCCCTTCTTCCCGTCCGACCACCAACCATGGCAGTTGTAGTCTGAGGAACAAATGAAATAAAATGGCATGAGATAACCGACAAGTATCTAAAAGGAAGCGCGCAATGAGTAAACATTAATCAACATTCCTCCAATCTGACCATGTGGACCAGTAGTGTGGACAGTATGGTTACGCACAGTGGCCGCGGAAGGACAGAGGGACAATGGCCCCACGGTTATTCGAAGTCCACATCATCTGCCCATGTTGTATGAACCCCTCCCTCCCCTATCCTACAATGTTAATGTCCCCACTTCTCAGATGTCCCCACGGCCCGCGCACCCACTGATTCCCTGTTATCTGTTGAATTATATTATTTTGATGTTATGTACATACTCAACCAGATTGATCTGGTTAACAAATACATTTCCGAGTTTGCTATTATTTGGTTTGCGTCGTCTTAACTTTACAAATTTCCCCATCATCTGCCCATCTTGTATAAACCCCTGCCTCCCCTATCCTACAATGTTACTGTCCCCACGGCTTCCGCGGCCACTGGTTCCTTACGCGGGGAGGGAGCCCCTTAAAATCTTGTTAGGGTTCAATTACTCTCTTTCTTGATTTTATCACAAAGTCACATTCCTTCTCTCTGATCTCGAGGAATGTGATTAATGATACCCTCACAGAAAAAACAGGTATCTCATATCAGACAATTTCTCATTTTTTTCAACTCTCTCACCTGCAAACACGTCCATATTATCACAAATTTGAGATTTGGCCCGGATTTGCATCGACTCCGGAGATGAGCACCCCACCGAGAGAGAATTGGGACTCTTATTTTTCACATTAGATTCGCCATCTTCTTCGTCTCGCTCCTCATTTCGGCAGGAGTCTGGTCCAATTCGTTTCCCATTCCAGGATAACCCCGTCACCCCAAAGTGACCTACATTGGGACATTGGATCCTCTGGGGCGTTGCGGCTAAAAATAAAGGAAGAAGAAAAACCTTGAAGAAATCTCATATACGTCAGCAATCGTGCAATAATAAAGATCCGGAGTGAGTCTATATGAAGAATGCATACATAAGGTGGCCAATATGTGGCTTGGTTTGGTTTGGTTTGGCTGGTAACCCACTTTGGGCTTAAATCGTGTGGAAAGAGTAAATATAAAAACATATCGCAATCATCACAACTTTCTCCCCGAGTCGAGAATCAGTTTGCCAGCGGCCCAGACCGCACAGCAGATTTTCAGATTACATGAAAAAGCTTTAAAACTGGGAAAGAATTGAAATGGTGAAAGCCCTCGAGGCTCCTCCGCCGGATGGTGGAGGAGGAATCATTCAATCTCTAACCAAACCACGGCACTCACCATTTGACTGGTGACTAAGTTTGCCTAACTGGCTGGGTGGGTGGCAGGGGTGGGCAAAATACTTTGGAAAAAGGCAGGATTTTGAGCCCCGGTTTGCCCATGGTTTGAATTTCCGGGGGTGTTACACTCACAAAAATATGAGAATCCACGTGGAGAATAAAGCAGTCATATGAAAATGCAGGTTTTGTGAAGAAATTAACTTTTTATCACTGTCAAAATACATTTTAAACCAGGCTTCTTGACTTGGTCGGAGATTCCCACTTACTCTCCGAGCAACGAGTTCGATTCTCCGACCAAGTCAAGAAGCCTGTTTTAAACTAAACGGTAATATATAGAACTTTACAGAAAAGTATTATGCTATGAAACGACATATTATGTTTGTTTGGACCGGCACCACATCTAATATAATTTGTAATTGCAATTCTCTTGTGAATTAAATAAATGACGTTAAACTGCAACTATTTACAATTTTGATGTTTCATGATTTCTTTTTACTAAAATACTGGAATGGTTTAATTTTAAATTATGTAGTGTTGTACAACTAAAATTGAAAAGACAATTTAGGAGTTTTAGGGTTTTGGTTTAAAGTTTCTACGCAATCTAATGTACGCGAAAATACATTGGTTTCACGATTTAAAAAACATCAAGTATCCTGACAGCAATAAAAAGTTACTTTCTTAACAAAAACCTGTACTTTCGTAGGACTAGTGCCTTCTCGATGTAGATTTTCGTCTTTTTGTGGGTGTAACAACCCCGGAAATCCAAACCCTGGGTAGAACTGAGCTCAAAATCCTGTATTTTCCTAAAATATTTTCCCCACCTCTGCTGGGTGATGGGTGAGATATGTACATACCTATCGCACCTTATTGAGTCCTCATCTACCACTGCCTAGATTTTGGTTGTGAGTGCTAAACGAAAAAGTTGGAGATCGACTACTCGAGGACTTTTGAATCACAAATATTTAATCGCCTTTCTCCACTCACACTCACACCTTCGCCGCCACCGCCACAGACCAAATAAGAAGAGTTTGATATCTCGTCGGATAAGTGACTGACTTTCTAACGAGAAAGGAAATTATATTATTTTTCACTTTCTCCGTCAAGCCTTCAATTCTAATTTAACAAATAAACTCTCACAAAGAGAAAGTTGGCTTATCAGCCATCCTCTCTTCTCCTCCTCTCCTTTCTTCCCTAAATATATCTGCAGGGAAATCGTCATCATCACCACCGCCGTCAATAAATTAACCAAGTCCTTATCATTTCCATCACTCCACTTATTAATTTGAATCCAGTTGACAATCAAAATTCGACTTTGAGCTGGTAGAGAAACCCATAAAATAATTGAGTACTGAACTTTTAATCCTCCATCCATTTTCCTCCGTGCCTTATCGAGCGATAATCATTAAAAGTGCTAAAGTGGGGAAGGCGAGATTATTATTGAGTGAAAGTCAAAAGGGTTGAGGAAACCACGAGGCACAGATTCAGCCATAAGCTGAATGAATGTACTGTTGGTGATATTTTATCGGATCTGTTGGTTGTGACTTTTGCTACTCTCGAGTCCTTTTTGCTGGAGGCTGACATTCCAGAATTAGAATTCCAGACGTTGTCTTTCCTAGTTTCCAGCTTCCTCTGCAAAAGCAGCAGCGGAGGTGGTGGTGCTCCTGCTGCATCCATCCCCATTTCCCTGAAGGGTTATTTTCTTGCCTGCTAAAATTCAGGAAACGTAGCAAACCGGGGATACTTTCTTCTTCCTCAAGTTGCAATTCTCCACAATCTTCTTCGTCTTCCTCAATTGCTTGGATTTTGTATGGATCGAGACCGGGACAACACAACGCAAGCAAAGCAAGCCTCCAGTCAGGAAAAGTCAACAGTTCTGGCCAAAAAGACTCAAGGAAAGAATGCCTCCTGAACCGAATGTGGGTTCCGACTTGTTCAAATCTTGGATACTTTTGAGCAAACGAAACCAGGACACGATCAGCGATCAACAATATATATTGCGGTGAAGGAAGAAGGAGAAAGTCGCCAGACCAACCAGACCAGACCACAAGAGGGAAAAGTAAGTAAGCAAACTAACTGGCAACATTCTGCCAAACTAAATATGTCTTGATTTTCTTCACGCTCGCACAGAATTGAGAGTGCAAACATGATGTCACCTTTTACATACCGACGGGCCAAAATTCGGAGGAAATCTTGTTCCATTATTTTATACACAAAAATCTCTTGTGCAAACCTTCCCATTCATTCAGCTCAGCACACATAATATTCTTCGCTACAACGTCTCCATTAAGTTTTATGGCTTAATTTGCTCACATATTGCAGCAAGCTAGATATGTGCTACTCGAGACGGAGTGCATTCTTCTAGTATGTATGCATTCACGACGACTACATATTTACTACTATGGACACGATCGCAATTAAGTGTAACCTTCCAGCAAATCTAAGTAGCCAGCCGATCAGGAAATGCTGTTAGTTAGTAAATATGTTGCTCTCTATCCAACTTTCATCCAGTGGCCGCGGAAGCTGTGGGGACATCTGGGGACGTTAGCAATGTAGGATTAGGAAGGGGGGTTATATATCTAACATGTGCAGATGATGGGGACATTGTTCCTCTGTCCCCACACCCTTCCGCGGCCACTGCTATCATCCCTCGTCACTAACAAACTGCTAACTGCTACCAGAGCATTATTTTATGACCCAGAAACACAACAAATAGTTAAGCGTACGTACGTACGTACAACTACACCTCCTCTTAATCCTTCAATGAGTGGATAACAAAAAGGTTGTCGTTCGTGGGCTGAATACTTATCACTTTTCTTGTTTCTTCCACCTCATCTATTTCCCTGATTTTCTCTCTCTCTCTCGCTCTCTAGCCCTCGCTGGACAAATAAAAATGCAACGAGCGTAAGTAATAAGAGCCCAACTTTTTATTAGTTTCAAATTTCGGGATCACTAATAAAACTTGGGCTCACACATACACACACATGCTCGCACTCCCGGATAAAAGACAGCCACGTACGTCTCTTGCCTTTATTTTATTGCTTCATTTCCAACGAGTTCGAAAACCTGTGTGTGTGTGCTGACAGAGCCTTCAGCGTTCCTTCCTTAACTGCACCCCTCTAAGCAGGCAGCAACATTGTGTGAATTTTTAATGAGAATCGCTCTCCTCAGCTAAGATGCTAATAACGGGTTAAACTGGAATTCATGCGCTGCCTTCATCATCTAAAATGTCATAAAAATATTTTCAAGAAGCACGTCGTCGTCCTCTCTTTGTCCGACTAGTTTCATTTCATACATGCATTTCGCCAGAGGGACGTGTGGTGTGTACATAATAATAAGTTTAATGAAAAAGAGGGCCCAATTAAATTTTACGTAAGTATACATTTTATGGAAATAAGGAAGAAAGAAATGTGGTGCTTTATTATTCTAGCTAAAAAACATTCCATAAAGGAGACATGATTTTCAGTTTATTTAACAAAACATGCAATTTCTTCTTAGGCATAAAATGAGAGAAATGATTGATAAGGTTGCTTAAATTGCGACATGTTGTTATAACTTTTAACAAATTACTTACTTGCGAGTGGTATTTACATGTGAGTGTAAAATAATATATTACATTTGCTCTTGACATTTCCACCACCAGCAAAATGCTCGAGAGGTAGTTGACTTTTGATGGTGTGATGGATATGTATTTAGAGAATGACATTTAAAAGCTAATGTAACGTACCAAACCCACCATGTTATATTGACTATGCGAGTATTTAGGTACATGGAGTGCATGTACGTGTAGATGTAGATAAGCATTCTCGAAAGCTAATTAACATCAATGCCAGGAACGAGATTAAGTGAAATAAGGGCAAAACAACTTACAAACAAGAGTGACATACGGTTCCGCAGACGAGTTAAAGTTTGATATTTGACAGGCATCCTCCGCTCTCCTCGCCATGCTTCCTGTTCAATTAAAGTGCACAAATCATTTACATTTTCGTATTTACTGGTGTGCTGCAAGGACGAGACAGGAAGAAGAGGATGGAACTGCACGTATGTATTTATGGAGAGAGAGAAATGCATCGAATGTACGTGCTATTTCGTCCGGTTGAACGTGCATACAGAAATTGTGTGCAGAGTAGGAATGGAATTCGGGACTTTATGTAAGATTCGGACATGGTGAATTCGAAATTAATTTAAAAGATATCCAGGAATGGTACATAATGAGACAAACGCTGTCAAGGTCGAAATTCCATGGGATATCAAAACCAGATAAAAATACAAAACAGCGGGTCGAGAATTTTGGAAAATAAGGTACAACTAAATAACCAGATAAAAATAGCAGGAATTTTGAAAAAAACTTTCCCCAAAAAAACTTTCACTCACCAAACTGAATTTCCATTATATTGTCATCTCTTTGGTGAAATGCGGTGCAAACGTAGCCCGTTTTGCTGCATGAAATAAAAATTTGAGATAATTTACGACAGTTTTTACAAGAAATTCATCCCTACCATTCCGACGTTGCGTGGATGATGACCACGTTGGTGGGGTCGTAGTCGGGATCGGTCATCATTTGTCCCCTACTCGTCGTCGTGTCCAGCACCTGATAGCACATTGCATTCATAGCGAGAGAATTTGGCCCGGTTCCAGCCAACTCGGAAAAATTGCTGTACTGCAGATTTCCAGAGAGAAACGTGAAGGTTGACCCCTGGTTGAGAGTGTGCCAGTGGGAGTGGTCCTGGATCCACGAGGGGAACTGACACGGCTTGGCGGCAGGCACTGTACAAAAAAAAATCAAGTATTTTCTCGACTGCTTTCACCAACTAGCCACGCGACAAGAAAATTTTCTCATTTAACACGAGCGATAGTACGGAAAGAAAAATGCACAATATTAGCAGTGCTTCGTTTCTTGCTACATTTCTTGAATTGCAAAGTAAGAAAAGTAAGAAATGCAAGAAATGCGAGGTGCATGAAACTGGGAGAAAGTGCAAAAAATATACGCCATCTAGACACGCGCGGTATGAAGGACAGCGCAGCGTCGGGACGTAGTTTCTCCCACCGTGCATTTCTTGCAGGTCAAAATACCTGCAAGAAACCACTTTCTTCCCGTCATTTCTTGCAAGTTGTTACTTTCATCCGAAACACTGTAAACATTTGATTTGGGCATGTTGTCAACTTTTTCCCCAAAAAAAGATGAGCACATTAAAACCCGACAAGTGTAGATAATAATGCAACAAAATACTTAATAATGCAAATCCCACTCGCATCTTGTAATACATTTTCCCCTAAAAAATTGATCTGCACAGGATTGTACCGTTATTACTCGTGTTCTTCGTCTCTCTGCCCCCTGGACAATTTTCCTCCTCCACATCCACACGTGCACCTAACAACTTTCTCTTTTCGCTATCCACATCAATCTACGTACTTTCTCGCAAGACTGTAAAAGCCATTTGGCGTTTTCTTCCCTCATCTCTGTCTCCTCTCACTTAACTCCCAGCCAGCTCATCTCATCTTTATCATCGTCCCATCAAAATCCAATGTTCTTAAAATGTTGTAAGTGAATTGCAACCCATCACAGCGGCAGCAGTCACTCTTTCGCCTCATACAAGGCCAAAGAAAGCTGGGAGAAATGCAGTTCATGCACTAAATAAAAACGAGCTTTATATAAAACTCGTTTGATCTCCTTCCGCCCCATGAAATTTCTCTAAACTCGGTCCAAAGTATGGAGAAAGTGGAAAAAAATCTGGCCGGATCTGAATTTATTCCCGTTCAGAGACTTGAAAGAGAGAGAGAGAGAAAAGAATGAAATAAAATTCACATAGGTGGAGAAAGATAAGATATTACACCAAATCTTTGTTCCATGCAGTCCTGAATTCTCCAGTAGCATTACCACCCACCCACCCACCTACACCATTTTTTTCTGGTCGCCACCACCACTTTGAATGTATAAATCCTGCTTTATTTTTTTTCTCACAGCGCTGGTTGTCTGATTATGCCACGAATCCTGCTGACTGGTGGAATTTCCAGTGGAGAAAGCACGTGGTAAAGGAAAGTAAATATAATTCGGTGTGATGGTGCATGCTGAAGTCGGCTCGGATAAAAAAACAGGCTGCATTTTTTGGCCGTTCTTGAACGTGAACTTCGCATTTATCTGATTTATGGAGGAGGTCTTGGACACAAAGGCCAGACGGCTTTCTAACTTGGTAAGCAACACCACTAACCTATCCGTTGCTGGTGGGTATTCTGCTTATTTTTAGAATGGAGATCTCCCAGCGTGTGCTCTCCGATTTTGACCAAACTGGCGGAACTTGATATGAAATTTGGAAAAGGCCCGATCTCGAAGGTTTGAAAGGGATATTTGCTTCCGAAGATGAAAAACGCGACAAAAAGGTGACTAATTTTACACTTTCTAAATTTACTGCGCGTTTTCTACTCTTCGGATGCAAATATCTCCGTCCTGAAAATTGGAAGATCGTATCTTTTGCAAATTTCATATTAATTAAATTTGTGATAGACTGACACTAGTTTGCTCAAAATATGAGAGCATACGCTGGGATACCTCCATTGTAAGTAGGAACCACGAGCAGAGAAAGTCGAGCTAACTTAATTTTTGAGATTTTGTCTGCACTTTCACTCCTTCCAAAGTTAGTCAGCTCAGCCACCTTGGGCACATTGTGGGTGATTCTGTAGGTGAAAAGTTTCTTAAAAGGCGTTAATTGTTGCAGATGCTTTTAAAACCCCGGACAGCAAACTTTTCTCAGAAATCTACTCTGGAGGAAGAGGGATAGCTCATCATAAATGTTTTTTTCATAACCTTCCCAATTTGCGGAGATCCTTTCTCCTCCCGAATCAGAAAAAAATCTGAGAGATAATTTAGCTTTGAGACGACGACTTCTAACCCAACAAACATAATTCAGCATTCCCGGAAGAATTCTCGAGCCGTCATAAGAAAGTAAAAATACGCACTAACCACCAGGAGAAAGTTATTATTGTAAGACGAACAGCAGCACCGCAACCTCAACCCAACTTTCACTCAACCTTTCTCCTGACTAACTTTCTCTCCTTTAAGTCAAGGCTCGAGAGAGACAAAAAAATTCACTGCAAACTAAATGATCTCATGGGGAGTTAATAGTGCGAGGCGGTCCTATTATTATTACGATGTGAAGTTTTTCTTCAAAAAGTTAGCCATCTTCTATGTATGGATACCTGAGAAATTGCCCATTACTCACTCAACACCAACCAGCCAACTATTTAAGACGAAGACTGGCTGCTTTAAGGGAATGGGTAAAATGGGAGAGAGAAAAGGAATAAAAATACTTCCGGAAAAAGGGGGAGGCCGAGACTCTGGAGAATTTCACATTCCAAGATCACATACATAACTTGGATTGCGTAGAATAAAAAGTTTGTTCAGTTTTTCTTCATAAAAGTCACTTGGGATTGGTGAGAACATAGACATTGAGATTCTGGGCTGGTCCAGAGTACAAAAAATGCGTGTAATATTTTTTCTACTTAATTTATTTTAAAATGAATTTTTGATAACTTGTAAATAAATTATTTACTGCCAGTAAATTACTGGAAATCATTTTTATCTACTAACGTTTGTTATCAGCAAGTATTCGATAATTTTGTTAATCGACGCTAAAATCATGGCAAACCCGCAAAACTAAAATGAGACAGAATTTCTCATTCTTTTGCAAGTAAACCACTTATGTTCAATGAAGTAAAAAAAACTAAAACTAAATAATCCCACGTGAAAAAAAATGAAGTTGAGATTCTTTTGTGAAATTCCATTCCGCCCTCGCATGTTGGTGAATGAATACATGCTGCACTTTCCCCCCTTAAAAAGAGGAAACCCACCAGTAGCGGATACATATTTGTACATTGTGGTTTTGGAGATGGAAAAAAAGTGTTGAAAATAAAGTAACGACATAATGTTGCTTGCTTGCCATCCTCCTAAATATCATCCCCTCAACAAGAAACATTTTTACAATTCACCAGGAAATGCAGTTTAGGCAGGAAAAAGTAGTAACAACATTTGTTCCATGTCCCACGGTCTCATAGATAATTTCACAACATTCCATTCTTTCTCGTTACGTTATTATCAGAAAAAGAGGAGAATAAAAGGAAGAATTTGGAATTTTATGGTGACATTTATCCAAACGAGATGACATGATAAGGACACAATTGTGCGTATTAAAATGCATAAAAGAAGAATGTAAATACATACTATTTACTAAAACGGGGTGGAGAATTGTTGCATATTTTTTGGTAAATACACATGCTAAAAATTTGGTGTTGTTATTCATCAGAAAATTGATGCGAATTTGACGGATGATAATTTTTAACTGAATTTAAAACGCACTCACCTCTCCGCAGTATCATCGTCCTTGATCCCTCCATGGATGAAAGACCTGCAAAATTACGTGGAATTAATTCAGATCGAAGAGATTTCTTCGGCACGTGACGTGAAAAAAGTGGGTGTGCAATATTCCTACCATTACAAGACGCATCTCCAGACTGGGCTACCCGATAAACTTGATCCACGGTAGGAGTCGCGTTATTATTATTGTTGTAGCTGCTGCTGCTGCTGCCCAAGCTGTGAGAATGGGTGTGGAATTTGCCTGAAGAATGCGAATGTCCAAAATGTTTGATCCTCTCGTACACAAAACATCGGAACCTCTCTTCATACGAGGCATGGTGCGTGTAGGAAATCAAGCCCAGAAAGTAGCGAGATGACCCTTCCTTCCAACTGGCTAAACAGGTGAGTTCCTCAACTGAGCGAATAAATAAATAAGCGAAACATTAGAATACAATGGGAAATAACTCATTCTTTGCATCTCAAGTAATCAAGTTGATGTTCTCTGCTAGAGAGAGAACAGGCAAAAGTAGTAAATAATAAGCAAGAAGAAGAAGTAGCAGCTCAGTCTGGGGTACGCACACAATGCGTAAATTAACTCGAGGAGGGAGGTCTCCTTGTCTCAAGAGAAAGGAAGGAAAGATAACTTTGTTCGGTGCTTAATAAGTTGAGATGAAGATGACGAAGGCGAAGAAGATGAATATTAAAGTGAAGGCCTTCCTTCGTAATAACGAGGCTTATTATTGGCATCCGCTGGAAGGAACAATTACTGGATGGTACTCGACCAAAATTCTCGAATCGTGGTATACTATGCACTCCCAGTGGCCGCGGAAGCTGTGGGGGACATGTGGGGACACTAACATTGTAGGATGGGGGAGGGAGGGGTTTATATAATCTGGGCGGACGATGGGGACATCGAATAACCGCAATAACCACCGAATTTCCCCTCTGTTCCCACTCTTCCGCGGCCACTGTGCACTCTCAATCTATGCACTTTTTCTCTATTAAGACTGGAACAATTACTGGATGATACTCTACCAAAATTCTTAAATCGTGGTATATGTACATAAATACACACTAGAGTTACGCACTTTTGTTCTATTAAGACTTGAACTATGTATGTATGCGTATGCTAGGAAAAATTTAAAGGTAGTCTCCTCAACTCCACTGCGAGGAAAATGTGTATGTATCCCAAGGCAAAAATTCCCTCAACTTTCTTTTTCTCCTCTCCTTCTCCATTTCTACTCCACGAGATTTGCGTAAACAGGGAAATTAATTAAAGAAAGCCTTGCAACATACCCGAACTTTCACTGCCAGGAATATCTGGGCAAGATTGGTAATTAAAAACCAGTCTGGACGACTTTGTACAAGAATCCTGAAACAAGAAAATACTTACTGAGAAACTATTCTGGACAAGATTCCAATTTCGATGAGATTCTTGTTATTAAGAAATATCAGTACGTACCATATTTGAGATGGGAGAGTGACATTCTCCTTGGCCCCGGTTGTAGCTCACGGTGAAGTGACCTTTAAAAGGACAGTCCATCGGGACAGCTTCCAGCCGAAACATTGCTAAGAACAAAAAATACTTTAGCAAACCAAGCCCAAATATGAGACAGGTCTTAATAAGAAGTTATTTTTACTGTAGAGATTCGCATCTCCCGTGATTGTTGAGCAAATTTCGCGCAGAGATCTCTTCTCTGGAATGCAGAATGCTGTAAATGTGGTCGGTGAATAAAATTTAAAACGATGTGAGAAACATTATGCAATGCTTTTGACAGGTGTGAACTGAACCTACATTCTTTAAATTGGAGTATGTTGTAGTGCTTCTCCCCACTGAAGACGAGACATCTGTAGCAATTTTCACGCCTGTGGGAGAAAGAATTCGTGTGAAAAGTTGGACAAGTATTTCAAAAACAGTGGCCGCGGAAACTGTGGGGACATTAACATTGTAGGATGAGGGAGGGAGTAGTTTATATAACATGGGTAGATGATGAGGATATCGAATAATTGTCCCCATGCTTCCGAGACCACTGTTCAAAAATGTTGTTAATTTGGTATGTCCAATTCCTTTACCTATTGTACATGAGGTATTTCTCATTCTCCTTCTCAACACAGTGTCCTTTTGTGCTAATTGCATCCCGTGCAATTGTAATCGCATGGTGAATACCAGACTGGAACCAAGATCCACGGAATGATTCTTTAAAGTGACATCCGGAAGCTGGAGGTAAAAAAATAAGTTCGATTGAATATTTCGATATTTCGACTTATTTATATATTAATTTTTGACTTGAGTTTATGTATCAGATGGCCCTATTTTATCATCAGTAAATCAATTATGTACGTCATCCCAGTCCTGTAAAATAATACGTCTGACATAATCCTTCCCTCGTAGAAAAACAATTTCCTTCTTTGATCCTCCTACGAGCCTGAGATCCTCATATTGAGACATTTCTAGTACAAAGCTCCCATATTACATCGTCTCATTCCTCCCACTTTGGCATCCAAATCCCACACAGTCCGAGGACAAAATCGACAACATGATGACATGTCTGTCTACTCACTCTGCTCCGTTTCGCTTAAGAAGGAATCTTTGTTTTTGTGTGATAAAATTATTACGGCGAGTTTGTCTCGGGTCCGAACAACTCCAACCACTGTCCACTCATCCACTTCAAAGAAAAAGCAAACTGGACTGCTGCTGTCCAAGTTTTATCATCAAATCAAATCCTGTTATGATTCCTTGGTTGGATGCATTGCTCGCTGTCGTCTGTGTCGACATGACAGGGATTCGCGGTGGTTTTAATCACTGGCAAAAACAGGCGTTCAAAACCGGTTTTAACCATTTTCGGACTTCCAAAATATCCAAAACTGTCCAAAATAGAAAATGGGGCAAAAAGTTCATTATTGAATTGTTTCATATCCGTTGACGTGTAAATTATGTGATCTCAATCTCCCATTAATTTTGAGCATTTTAATGTGTAATACATACGCATGATTTAGAATTGTTTTAGTTTCCCATAAGACAACATCAAAAACAAAAGTTTTCCAAGTTTCGTGGTATTGTACACCAACCAAAATGCTCCAAATTAATTGGAGATCTGTGCATAGATTTGCAAAATAGTCGTTAATTAAGAATTTGTAACATTTTGCCCCATTTTCCAAAGATGGACACTTTTGGACATTTTAGACGCTTTTGGATGGTTCGAAAACGAAACACTGGCGATTTTGTACGAACGCAACATATAAAATGACAGGCAACTTGGTCGACAGAACTTTGACATCCATTAGTTCCTCTCTCGGGCACAGAGTTACTTTCTTCGTCTCGTCGTGGTAAATACATACATAGTTAGGCAAACCAAGGAAATTCGCTTAATTGGAAAGACATATGAGACATAAGAACAGTGGAACAGCAGCACGGGAAAAACTTGGGGAGTAGAGAACAGGGGACTGTGTAAGTAGACTGGAAGGAAGGACGAGACAGTGATACAACAAACTCGCGAAACAAATGTAATTAAGTAGGAGCACACGCACACTAATTTAATACTAAACTTGGCCTTAGAGTCCGTAATGATGATACGGGATGGTCCTTCTTCTCTCTTTTGATGGAACAATAAATGCATCGGGAAAACTCAAACTTTGTCACGTATGTATGGGAGGAAAATATTTATCAGGGGTGGGGTGGGTAAGATACAAGATACAAAAATGAAGATACTTACTGAAGAAGTATAAGGCACAAGGTATAAAGTATTCCTTGCTCATGTATACAAGGTACAAGATGCAAGAAACTTTCCTGAAAATTAAGTAGTCAAGATATATGTCTCGAGAGATATTTTTAAAGCGCAGAGGAAATGATTGAAAAACTTGGAAAATTATAATTATGTATGTCATGGCTGTCCTAATTTTTAAAATTGTCGTTATTTGACATTTCAATAAAAATGCAATAAATGTTTTTTCTTGTCCTATAATCTTTACCAAGCAAATATATCATGAGAGAGACGATTCGTATTGTTATTATTGATTTCGGCTTATCTTGTCCAACTCGATCCGGACCTTGTGTCAGTCGGGCTCAAGAGTGTGCAAGACGGATCAAGAGTAGTAAGGATTACATCGTGACAACTTTATTACTTGGCATTGTTACTCGGATTGACAGCAAGTTTCATTTTGTCCGGATAGAAAAAAGCTATCACCACTTTTTTTTAGGAAATAATACAGAAAATGCAATCCAACAAAAAGAGCGAACTTGAAATTCGATAAGCTTCAAGTTCAAATTATCTAATTGGTCACTTTCTCTCTCCATTATCTCTCCAAGTTTTTGGCTCATTTCAATAAAATTCTGAAACTTGCACCATCCAATTTCAAAAACTTTTCTAGTAAATTGAATCCTTGACTGGTTTCATTTCAATCAAGCAACTGGACTGGACGGCTTCCAGAATCCACTTCAGGCAGTGGTGGACAATTACACAAAATCCTCATTTAATGAGGTAGATTGTCACGATCGTGTAATCTTTTCATTGAATGGGTAAAGTTTCATTCAGCTGCCCGATCCAACAGAAGTAGCCGCGGAAGCCGTGGGGACATTAACATTGTAGGACAAGGGAGGGAGGGGTTTGTATAACATGGGCAGATGATCAAATAATTGTCCCTCTGTCCCCACCCTTCCGCGACCCCTGCCCAGCAGTCCAACTTATCCAACTCTCTCTCTGAATAGCTAACTAGCTGCCTTATTCCTCGTAATCTAGAATCTATCCGAGGAGAATAATATGTAAACTTAATCCGTTGCCTGTGATGGTATCGGGGAGGACGGGATGGTTATGGTTCCCCCGGGGTGTTGAATGTACTTCTTTTATTTCTCTTTTAACGAACCAGGATTGATTCGACTGACCACTTGCTACTTTGAGCCTGATACTCCCACAAATTCTGCCCTACTTGGAGTGAACATATACCCAATGGATTCGCCAAGTATCTACTACTTAATTCCTTTCATGACTAGCTTTCAATTTCATTTCACTAATTTTCGAGAAGAAGAAGAAGCCTTTTCGTGAACACCATCCGCCCACGACTAAAAGTTACACCTAGTTAGCTAACCACCAAGATGTGATCATTTCCTTTTTAATTTCTACGCATTTTTCCATCCCTGTCAAAAAGCTGGATTTCTAACATCCCAATTACCTCGGCTGTACTTGGCACGTACAGAATTTTCTGGTGGAGGCACTCTACTCTCCAAGTAAATTAATGACATGATGCAGACTGGCTTATTGAAATTCAAAAGAAGTTTTGAGCAAGGTAGAAAAAACGGGAGTTGGTAATAATGAGTTTCTTTATGGACACCTTGCCCTCCGTCAGAATGTTGTAATCGCGTATATTAAAAGGTCATCTTATGCAAAATATGGAAAAATATGTACTTGGTGCAAAACAAGTCTTAAAAAAGGGGCGGAAATGTAATATAATAATAATAATAATAATAATAATAGCCTTTATTATCCTCATTTACTAGTACTAGGGAATGCACAAAAATGAATTTAGCATAGCACACTAGCCTATTTTCGTGAGCTTACATCCTATTTAAGCCATTACTACTACCGTCAACGACGTCAAATTATAAATTTAACTAGATGAACAAAACAAAACTAACTCGCTACCTACTGGCGCGACTATGTTGGTTGCATACCAACACTAGTAATGTTTGTAAAATTTAGATACATATAAGATAATCCAATATTTAACCAATTGACAAATTTTAATTAATAACTTACTTAAATTATAAATTGTGTTGGAAAAATGCACAAAAAACCAACTAAATTTTGAAATACAAACCAATTTTTGATTCCCCAACCAACCGAGGAGTGAGGGACAGAGGCCGCGTGGTAATTCAGATTGTAAAAAAACACATTAAAATAAAGAATTAATAAACAAATTTTGACTGGAATAGTTGACCAGCTTGATAAAGAACGATTTTCGCACATTGCCAATTAAAATTAATGTTATTACCAATTAAATTTAGTTAAAATTAATATAATATAAATAAATTTAGGAGAGCTCGTGCAAGAGCAAATCCTCCTCGGTTGGCGCGCAGACGGGGAATGAAATAATAAATTTGTATTTAAATTAGATTCAACTTTTTCGTCAAAAAAGTAAAGTTTGATATAATCAAAGTGAATCTTTTAATAGTAGGTGAGCCAAATCTGAGTGATAATACTTCTCCATTTTCCTCGAGTCTAACCTTCCCCTTATTTAATTCTCTCATCAAAATTGTAATTTCTCAATCTGCAATCTCTCTCCACTCCTCCACCTCCGTCGTTCTCCACCCAAAACGAACGAAACCACAGCGTAATGACGACGCCAACCAGCCCATTCTCATTACAACAAAGTGCACGGAGAGAGAGAGGATGTACATAATAATAATATTTCCAGGGAGAGTTGTTGAATTTGAAACCGGTTTTCCAAAATTTTGAGGGAAACCTCAGCAAGAACGGGAGGAAGGGCAACAGCATATAAAACCAAAACCACCACGATGCCCACCGCACCACCAGACCGATGATGATTATGACGGGATAGAGATGAAACAGACAGAGCGACAGAGATGAGCTATTCCCCGGTCTGGTGCAGATATAGGCGTCCCTTTCAACTTTAATCAGACTGGGATTACTTGCAGATAATTGAATTTGCGGAGATAGATGAACCGAAGCGGGAGGCGGAAGGGAATTTTCGGAGCTGTGTATGATGTAACGTTATGAAGTGGTGTTAGCTGCTTATTTGGATCGTTTTGTCCGTCCGTTTGTGGGCAGGATGTCTCCAGGACGCCGCAACATAATCCAACGCCGCTTTCGCCATGGCGCTTCTAATTTTTAGACCTCTGTCGAATTCGATAATGGGGTCAATCAGACCACCCCCACAGCGCCAGGGGGCCTGGTCTACAATTAAATTTAACCTTAATTTTTAAAGGAAATTTCACCACGAAATCAATTCCGTCAATATTTTTGACCACCGACCAACTAATGAGGACAAGACCTAAGGTCAAAAATATATAATTTTCATGTGGTATTATTTTACATTTTACTGGATGACGCCACTTTCCTATCTTCGTTTAAGCCTGTTTATTACATTATCTGGAAAGGAGAAGACGAGCACCCCCACACAATACAACAACAATAATTTTGTCATGTTCATTTGCCCACGACGATAAATGATTTGGTGTAACGCAACACACACACATGGAACAATATATTTTGAAACTCTCCCGACCACCAACCAACCACCGAATTAAATTTTATGCATGTGCGACACGCAGCATGGAAAAGTTGACAGCAAACAAAGTTTAAATCGAGTAACAAAACCACCCTCGTTCCTTCGTCATCCATCTCGCCATGATTCCAAACAACTGAAATGAGTTACAGGACACAATACTCGACGGTATTGTCAATTCGAAAGTTGTTGCGGATGAGTGAAAGTCAGGCATAATTTCATTACTTGCTTTACGACGTGGTGGATGGGATGCGTGCGTGGTTGGGGAAATTATCTCAAGCTTATCACATCATGACTTTATATTTATGGGGCGACGACGAATTTATAAAAAAATTCGGGATTTTTTTCATTTAGAAAATTGATATGAGAAGAAAATTACCTCTCGCTTCGGCCGTGGCTCCTCCGTTCAACGCTAAATTTGAGGCTGATTGTTCCGACATCAATTCATCATAGTTGGGATCGGAAAGGAGCGTTTCGCCATTTTCGCTCACCACGAGCACACTCCAAATCACCCAGAGGAGTGAAATTTGACGGGACTTTCTCATTTTGCTCAGCATCTTAAACACTCTTCGTGGGGTTGATTAAACCTGTGGATAAAGAAAGCCAGACATCTTTTTTAGCATGTTTGAATTCCTTTGAACTGTGTAAAAAAATTGCATATTTTTTCATGAGCGAATTACGGAGGACTGTTTGATTGTAAAATGTCAAGTGGAATTTCTGCGAAATAAAAGTTCAAGGAGAGAGAGAGAGAAACCGCAAGATAAAGCTAATCTGAGCGTGTATTAGACAGGGTATCGTTGTCTGTGGTAGAAATGTGGGTTATGTGGTCAAATTTTCGGTTTAAAAAATTTCGAAATTTTAAATTAATGTCAAATGTAACTCATGAAAGTATACAGTCAGAATTTAAAAATCTAGACACAAAAACAAAATTTTTGTATGAACAACCCGTTTTAAATTGTGACTTTCGCGTAAACAATTTCATGCACAATTTTTTAAATAGATTTGGACAGAACCCTACCCAATTTTGCAGAGCGATCAGAATTCGCTTATGTCTGGCTCGGTGCGACAAGTGAATCTCTCTCCAGTTTCCTTTTCCCCTCTTCTGCAGCCATTTATTCTGCACAAGGAGACTTTATTTAACTATCAAATATTAATTTCGCGTTCGAAAAATCAATACGTATTGTGTGCCAGATTTTCTAGGCTCGACACACAACATTACGAAACTAACTACATCCTCACCGCCACCGCCACCGCCACCCGAGAGAGTCGTGTAGTGTCTGGATAACAAAGACGACACTCGTGGAGGACGAGGACAATACGCACTTGTAATTAGAGAGAAAATCCCTTCCAAAGCAGAGGACAACTTAATAAGGTACTTATCGCCCATACATATTCTGATTTTGTGTGCAGAGCGAGCTTAAAGTTTGAAATTGTGGTGGTTCAAATCAAGGATCAAAATCCGCAGGCTAATTCAAAATCCATCCATATCCTTGATTGCTCGATCCACAATACTTCATGTTATTGTTACCTATTTCGAGCACCGTTCGTATTTATGAAAGTGAAACGTTTTTTGACCCCCTCCATCCATTTCTTCATTGTTGATACATAAATGTGTAACTGAAACTCAAGAGGTTAAATTGTCGCCTGCTGTGCAATTCAATTCTTTGAATGGCTGGCCGGCCAGCAGACTTTCTAGGTAAGAAAATCCACAGGAGAAATTAGCCCAGACTGACAAAAGGACGCAGCGATCCATTAATAACGGCACCCATGTTCAAGTATTATTTACCGATTTCGATCTATAAATCCTTCCCAATTTTTCTCACACTTTTTGTATTTACTTACATACTTGAGATGACTAATTATCACCACATGGCCAAGTAACAATAAACTTTGGGTACAATGTTGTCCCAAAAGAAATAACTGTACAGAAATACGTCGGTTACATAACGCATTTCTAGCTCAACTTACACGTAATATCAGTTGTTGATCCATCGTTTTGGATTAAATAGCTTGAACCACCATGCACCGACATAAATAAACTGTCTCATTAAACTGTTCTCACGAAAGAAGCAAAATAAAGCCTCATTTAATTTAATTTGTGTAAACATTTACATTCGGTGGGTCGGTTCTTGGAGCTCGAAAAACATAATGTAAACTACGACGTGACTCTTCCGTCCAAGTGTTTATTTTGATAATTATTTAATGTGGTCGATACCAACAACGTTTATTTTATACCCACCTAACGAAAAACACTAATGATTCTTAATAGCTCCTCGTCTTATCATCAAACCCTTTTTCGGGGGTAAACATCACACCCAAAAATCTTAATCTAGATACATAATAGGACCACGACCACCCATCCATCGAAAAAGTATGTACACATTCACGTCATATTTATCTGTATTATTATCGATCAAGGTACGTATAAAAATGGCAGCACGTAGGGCAATTATTGTGTGTGTATATAAGAAAATTTACCCAAATTCATAGGAAATTATCTATCTTTCTTTGAGGAAAAGTTGGAATTAAAATTCAACACCAAAACTCATACTTATTATGCGTGTCCTCTTCCTAAAATTTTATGCAGTGTCAGCAGCACAAAGTTGAGTTGTAAATATGTGCGTGTCGTGTGATAACTTGAATAGCTCCCCTAACAAAACATCTGCCCTTCTGTACGTATAAACGTCACAAATAATAATATAAAATAAAACGCGTGTGAGCACCAAGAACAAGCTGCAGTTCAGAGATAATTAGAACAAACAGAAGAGAGAGATTCCATTCTCTCATTTGCTGCACCAGCAGATCACACATTTCATTTCATTTCGTGAGGTTGAATTGAAATTGAGGAGTAAATATGTACAAGTCATTTATTTTTGTAGATATACATTTACTGCTTATGACATGGGAATGAAAAGTGCGTGAAGGAACAAATTCATCCAGGATGAACTTGACTTTTTGAAGGGTAATGTTTAATCGAAGTTGAATGAGGCGTTATCTGGATCTCACCACCTGCAGCTCAGCCTCAGTCAAATCCAGTCACGGAGAGTGAAATAACAATAGAATTGGAGGATATAATAAAAGATGCGGAAATAATGAGAATCATTTTATTAGGGAAGCGAAGACATTACATTTCACGTACTTTTTATAGTAACGAAACCATCTCGATACTAAAATAGCACAAGACTTGACATTGAGTGGAAGTCAGCCCTGCGTGTGGAATAAGTCTTAAATTATACGCAACAAAGTTATGACAGTAATAAAGCCAAGTGTTGCATCTGCTTTGGAGAACTAATTACCCGATTTCAGACACAAAACTGTCCCAACTTGCGTAATAAGAAGGAGGATAGCGTGTACACAAAACTTGAATTAACAATGCAGTAAGGGTTGATTACGGAAGATATTGCTATAAATGTTCGTAGTGTGCTTCTCATTTATTGTGGACGACGACGACGACGACGACATCCCCCACCACCCATTCTTCTCCTTATCCCCACTCTGCTGGGCATAATTTGTTTTGCTCAAGTTTTTAGTGTATGGTGTTCCCCGAGATGAAAGCTAATTAGGGGAGACGACTAGGCAGACCTTCTCCATTCGAATCATAACTCTTTCCGGAGAGTAAATATAATATTTCTCAGAGGACGGCACAATATGCTAATTTCGCCTTGCGTAACGTATAACGAAGTGCATTTTCGCATAAAATGGCAAACTCGACTATTTTCTCTTGTCTGCAAAAAACTTTTGTATTTTTCATCTTCTCAACTTAATTTCAGCGTTTGTCGACTTTACATATTTAAATTTTGTGTCGGTCGACTTTTCAAATGGAGAAGCAGTGTTTCGGGTGGAAAGTAACCACTTGCAAGAAATAATGGGGAGAAAGTGGTTTCTTGCAGGTATTTTGACCTGCAAGAAATGCAAGAAACTACGCCACGCCGCGATACTTCATACGATGCGTGGCTGGATGGCGCATATTTCTTGCACTTTCTCCCTGTTTCTTGCACCTCACATTTCTTGCATTTCTTCCTTTGCAGTGCAAGAAATGTATGCACCAAACCGGCAAAAAACGGAACACTGACTGGAAGACTATTTCTCTCCCCTTCAGAAATCATGAATCTATGTAACGCATAAGAAAACGTATGGGATTTCGGCCTGGCCGGTAGAGTTGAAAGGGTTGATGAGCTGTAACACTCTAAAGCTGCACAATTGGAGTCGTCGTCGTAATGGATTATGAGATTTTTAATGTTCTCATTCATATTCATCCCCTGACACCTTCCTTCCTTCCTCTAATGGCCTTCTTTCTCATTAATCAATCTCCTGATTAACTTTTACACACTTCGTCATACTTACACCCGGGACGGACCGACAGCTCACTCATCCTCTCGTTCAACAAAATTAACACAAGTTATAAATATGTCAGTGCAATTGTGAAAATGATGAAGCAAATGTTGAGGGTGTCACACAATTTACAATTTAAAGTGGATTGACTTTTTGACTGGACTGGACTGACACATGCACTCACTCGCACACACTTATTCTCTCACGCATGTTTAAGATAACAATTGCATTTTCCTCGTAACGACCGACCAACAAATCGAGTGCATCCTCTCTTTCGAACTATGCATGTACGCACATTTTAAAAATTACTACGCAAAAAAAACATCAAACCCATAATCACCTCTGAGTGAGTGAGTTTGATGTTTTTTTAGGGGGAGAAACTCGATTATAATGAGTAATTTTTTAACAAGCGTAGTGAATACATAGATAATAATTATGAAAATAATGTGCATTGTTCGTTACGGAAATTTGAAAAAGTTTGTCATTGCGTTAAATAAGTCTGGCTGGGCAGGAGAAAAAAGTGGTAATAAGAAACAACCAACTCGTCAATTTCACACACATGAAATACGTTATGTAACCTTCTGCTCCTAGTAATTGACCAACCAACCAACCAACCAATCCAGTACATAACCAAGCCGTAAATATATAATACATATGCAGTCTTTGTTCTCATGTCTGCATAAATAAAAGTTGACCCTCGTTTTTGTGTGGTTTAGTTTCTGGTTAGTTGTGGGTGGGTGGTTCACGCACAAGAAAATTAGCTCGACGATGCGTAAACCAAACCACACTATTTGGGTTTGGGTTTGATTTTGTAAACCAAAAAGCTGGACAAGTCTGCTTGGTGGTCAGCATAATAGAATATCGTCTCACTTTATTTCCACTGGACTGAATTACATGTCAAGAATTTATGTATGTAGGATGGAAGTTTGAATCTAAATTTTCTTGGCACTTCCATCACACCACGTTTCCCGTGGATTCTGGATGGGATGTTTTGCTCATGTATGAATTTAAAAATTGAAAAACGCCCTGTCTGTCTCTCTCTCTCTTCAAGGTTTTGTTGTTATTTTCCTCCCGTCCCGTCGTGGTGCTTTCGATTTATTTTCGATTTCTCTACGTACGTAGCTGCTGCTCCTTGGGAAAATTGGATTGCATAACGAGATGCTAAGTAAATATAAAAAAGGAGGAGGACGAAGAAATGAGAGATAGCACAAAATACGATGCGATATGTTATGTTATGCATGCAATTCATCTGCAATTCAATTCCACTTCCAGGAGAGGCTCCTCAAAACAGTTTAAATAAGTTGGAAAGCAATTTTTGAAACATATTTTTGTATTAGAATGTGACGCTTTGTTGGATGGAATGGCTGATCCTGAGTAAAAGGGAACATATGAAGAGATGGACAGGTCCTTGAAAAATGGGAGGATTCCTCTCGCTCCGTGCTATTAAGTGGCCCGACTTGGCCCTTCGTTATTATTAAGGTATCAAGTAACACGTCAGTAGTAAGGCTACTTGTAGAATAAGAGGCGACCCATCCATCCAACCGTGCAGGCGTCCCTTGATAAATACGCTACACTTACTTACTCTTCTCAAGTTTACTTAACAGAATAAAGGTTTCTTGTGTTCTTTTAGCTTTCGAAGTGCAACTTTGGTTTCTCGAGAGTGAGACAAAGCCGCAAATCCATGAAAAACAATGGTTAGCAGTTGGTGGATTTTCACCTATATTTTCTTTCCATCCCGCTGGCTATCCTATCGTTTTGTAATTCTCGAAGGGAAAAGTTTGCTTTTTTTAGAAAAATAAATATCAATCTTTCCGTATCACACTTATTTTTAACCTGGTTCTCATCTCATACGTATTGCGCTGGGAATGGCATCGTTTCGTGACGTATTTTAAATCCATTACAGTATAACCACTAGTTCTCGTTTGTTTTACGATGCTCCTGGATGAGATTAAGGGAGGTTTTGAAAGGAACTGTGCTAAGAGGATGAGTGAGATAACTCTAAAGATGCCCTTACCTTTTATTTCACTAAATAAATTCAAG